ACAACATATTTTATTATGAGATATGTGATATATTTCCTACTATATATTACTTTATTGCTACAAATACTAAATTAAACTTTGAAGTATCTCTTGCAGATGTTTTTTAGTCACCAACCTCGCATATCAATTCTATAGCAGTATTCTCTGTACACTAACAACATACATATATCATATTTAGATATGCATTTACATATTTTACTAAAAAAACAAAAAGTACGAGAATAATCAAATCGTAATTCTTGTTAATGATAGAAATGAAGGCAAAAATGAATATCGTGCCACAAGTTCAAAATAGAAATCCAATTTACGAATTTAGAGCATATCCTTCCTTATGTGTGTTTAACACACAAGCTTTTAGCTTATGTTATGTAACAGACTTGATTAATATTAATTATAATAGTTAGAGTATTTGTGTATGCGCGCTCGCGTGTGCATGTTAGCTAGTTAATTGTTAGTTTTAAGATTGCAATAAAATAACAAAATTAGCTATCCATTAAATATGTCATGAGAATGATTAAGATAATACCAGGAACATCTAAACAAAATGATATTACAAAAAGGATGAACATAACATTAAATGAGAGAGCCAAATGTATGCTAATCAAGTCTAGTTTGTCTACACTGTTTTAAGTATACACAATAAATACAATAATTTATCTCATAAATAAATGACCTTTAGTTCTTTTATATTATTATTTACATAAAGAAGTATAGTTTGGAAATGAGGTAGATTTTTCATATTTGAAAGTTTTTTGGTTATGCCTCATATATTTTGATAGACTCTGACATTAAGATAAATTAAACTCCAAAGAATAGTAAGGTAAACTAAACTCAAAAGCAAGAAAGTATTATTTTATCAACTATAGATCTAACATATATGTATATAGGTTTTGGGATAACCAAAAACAAAAAATCATCACAAGCAGAAATGTCATTTTTAATGAACTGCTAGAACTTTATAAGAAAGTAGCATTGAAAGAAATTTTAGAAAGTGATGTATCCAATAAAAGGCAAAATATAAAGGTAGAGCTTGAGTCATAACCAGAACCAACAGTAGTGCCAGAAACTCCTATGATCCAAATGAGGAGATCTAGTAGAGTATCAATAGCAACACAAAAGTATTATCCTTCATTGGTATTATTTGTTATTAATTGATATTGCAAGCCAAAATGTTTTGTTGACGTCATGCAAGGGAATGACTATATTAAGTGGGACCTAGCAATGAAAGATGAGATAATATCTCTTCAAAAAAATGGACATGGTTATTAACTAAGTTATCAAAAGTAAAGAAAGCATTGCAAAACAGGTGGATCTATAGGTTGAACGAAGAATCTAATGACAACAAAAGATATAAGGTGAGACTTGTAGTGTGAGATCCAAGCGTTAAGCGAGGGCGGGGAGTGATCGTTGGTGCAATGTGAGCACAGACAAAAAGCGGCTCTTGGCAAGCTTCTGGCGATAAAAGGCATATGAATGAATCAAACTTACATCAAAATGAGAGAGATCCAAAAACTGTGTATACAGTTAAGAATAGCTTAAAGGAATTGATTAGGACTACCTATACTAACAAAATACATTTACTTTTCGATGACCTATCACTTAAGAACTTCAAAGTTAAGCGTGTTTAACTTGAAAAATTATGTGATGGGTGACCTTCTAAGAAGTTCCCACAAAGCAAACTGAGAAGTCTTGTGTTAGTTTGTAGGGACTTGAAAAGTTATTGGATGAGTGACCTTTTGGAAAGTTTCTACAAAGCACATTGAAAAGTTTTGTGTTAGTTTGTGGGAACAATCGTCAGTCTTGAATAAGTTGTTGTTACATGTAGTGAAAGATTTTTAGCAGAAATAATCTCTATAAATCATCAACAAAGATTTTTATTTAAGTTGTGCCTTTCATTCTACAACAAAGAGGCAAATAATGCTTATTTGAACTTTTACAATTTTGTACAAAATACAAACTGAAAAGTCAAACCTAACACATGATCTATTATGCAAGATCTCAATATATTCCAACTTTTCTTTTGAGGAGGAGGGACATCTTGTAAATCATCTGCAAAAATTTCCATTTATATTGTGCCCTTCATTCTACAATGAAAAGACAAATAGTCCTTAACTGAACTTTTATGGTTTTGTATAAAATATAAACTCAAAAGTCATATCTAAGATCTGATCTTTGATACATGTTCTCTACATATTCCAACTTTTCTTTAGGGAAAGGATATCATGTAAATAATCAGCAAAGATTTCCAACTTTTCTTTTTGAGAGAGAGATTTCTTGAAAATCATCTCCAATGATTTTTATTTAAGTTGTGCCTTTCATTCTACAATGAAAAGGAAAATAATCCTCAACAGAACTTTTACAATTTTATAGAAAGTACAACTCAAAAGTTAGACTCAAGATTTGATCTTTGATATATATTTTTTACAGAGTCCAACTTTTCTTTGGAGGGAAGGAGAGACATCATATAAATCGTCGGTAAATATTTTTATCAAAAGAAATGGACATCCTATAAATCATCTCTAATAGTTTCTATTTAAATTGTACCTTTCATTCGACAATGAAAAGGCAAATAGTCTTTAACAGAACTTTTACAGTTTTGTAAAAAATACAACTCAAAAGTCAGATTCAAGATTTGATCTTTGATACAGATTCTCTACATGTTTCAACTTTTCTTTGGAGAGTGACATCTTTTAAATCATTAACAAAAGTTTTCTTTAAAGTTGTGAATCTTTAATACAAGTTCTTTACATATGCCGATGGCTTGAAGAAGTGAATCTTGGAGCAAGAATTATACTTAGCAAAATAGGTTCTTGCATGCATGTAGCACATTTCTTTCTCAATAATATTATATGAATTTATTTAAGGGTTGAGTTGAGCATTCTCACATGTATACTTGTTCAAAAAAGAAAAACTGATAATTAAGCAAATGTAATAAAACCTCCAATGGATTCAAACGAGGCAGCAAATAGAGAGAAAATTTCTTCAATTCCCTAGCTTAAGGAAAGAGAAAGTCTAACTCTATGAATGTCATCGAGAAATTAAAATTCATGAAAGAGAAAAAATATCTTCTAAGGATGAATCATAAAATCTCTTATCCTCTCTTGCTCCTGGTGTGCCTATTTCTTGTATTCACGAAAGAGAACAATGAATTGCCAAAAATCCAAAATGTCTCTTTATATCTAATATTTATCTTCTTCCATCTCTTTCACTCAGCGGAAAGAAAAAGTTCTTTTATATATATATATATAAGTTTGTTGTATGTAAAATAACAAAATTTGTTATAATCATTTTATTATTAATGAATTTTATTAAAATTAACTTAATTAAATTATTTTTACATTGAAAAAGAACTTTTATCTCCATAATTATTTTATATGTATACTCTTTTAGTAATTTAATTATTATAGTTTTTATTCTCCTCTACTTTTATGGCATTTTATATATTTTATGGATTTTATTTAAAAAATATTATTGTCATTTTGAAAAAATATATACTAAATATATTGTATTTTATTTGTATTTAAATTGACAAGATTAATTATTTTTAATAGACAAAATTAAGTATTCATACCTGAGACATTTGATCTCTAATACAGCTTATTTACACATTCAACTTTTCATTTAGGGGAAGGACATCCTAAAAATCATGAGCAATGATTTTCATTTAATACCAAACTGGACAAGAAGCAGAGCAATAGTAATATGAATAAATCTCTTCAATATAGATAATATGAATCACCTCACCATAAAGACTACATGTTCAATATAGAGAATTAACAAAACTTGATTTCTTAAATAAAATTAATTTTATTTATTTAATTTATTATCCACACACAGACACATATATATATATATATATATATATATATATAGATATATATATATATATATATATATATATATATATAGAGGCATATATACTACGTTATCCTACTCAACTTGAATAAGAATATCTCCAATGAAGGATATACATATGGTCTAAAAAAAATTATCGTTACTTATTTTAAAGACAAACAAGGATGTAATTCTAACCTTAAAAAGTTCAATGTAAATGAGTCTAGTCACCAAAAGCTACTTTTCAACTACATACACAGGTCACCAAATTTATTTTTATGGTTAGATGCATGCAAAAATGATAGAATGTTGAGCCATTATTTTAACATGAAAATGACAAAATATTTAACTTCAGTTTTTAAGATCAATTTTTAGTAATTAATACTAGTAAAACTTAATTAAAAGAAATATTTATCTCACTTTTATAACTTAAATATAATAAACAGCTTTTTAATAAAATAAAAAAAAACTAATTTTTATTGTTAATCTCAGATATAAAAGTTGAAGCAAACAAAATCTAATTTTTTTTAACAATTTATCTAGTGGATAAAACTTAACATTAATCATTGAGTAAACACAATGCAACTTTAAATAATCAAATTTGACCCTAGACAAGACTTTTAAAAAAAAATTGGTGATTGTGCACATTTGTTTTATTTTTTTTTTCCTTTTATGAAAAATCTATTTCATTTTTTAAACAATTGTTTTTGAAAAATTTTAATGTGTTTGTTTAAACATTGATAAAAATGGGAACCTAAAAGAGACTCATTTTTTACTATTTAAATAAATTGGACAAAACTATACTAAAATTATATTTAAAAATATTTTTTCACAATTGTAACAAAAAATATTACTTTACATGAAATCTCTTAAAACTAAACATTTTTTTTAATATTTTAAAATTCACTTTTAATGTCAAAACAATCAAGCCTTAATCATTTTTTTTAACGAGGGATCGTAAAAAACACAGTAAAACTTGGATGCAAGAATCATTTCCCACATTTTAGCACCAAGACCACCCCACCGAACCAATGTTACCAAACATTTTCATGCATGATTACGGGCATTTGATCAAAATATGATAATCCTAAACTATATCAAACCCACGTAATATAGAAAGACCTTGTCAAAAGAGGTAAAATCCCTTCGGTGATCTTCACGCCTCAGAAGGAATAGTCTTTAGTTGTCCACCGGAAGATATCTTTTGTATACACTAAAAACTACATATCAGACTTTTCTTAGGACGTCTTAGAATGTTTTTCTACACCACCAATTCTCTAGTGGTGTCATGAGCTTTTATTGTAATTATGTCCATCCTTTTGGAATGGTGACCCAGCAGGAGCAATGAGACCAAGGCTTTCCATCACTCTTATCCTCCTCGAACTAAACTCCTGCGACTTTCCTAATGGGGTTGCTTCCTGAGTACAACTAGTAAGTTAACATAACAAGCAAAAACGGAATAAGCAACACACGAAATAACCAGGTTCCACTCCATATACTTACTTGACTTTGGCTAGCCAGATTATCATCATTCAACATCTTATTTTGCTTTTGGGGCTTGACTTTATTCTGCCCATCATCTTGCTTGGTGGATTTTCTCTTACCTGCAGAATTTTCACTTGATGTTCTTGCTGACAGAGGACAAAAAGAGAAACTGTGCGTTAGACTAGGCTGCGTATATGTTGTGGACTTTATGTATTGGCTTACAATCAATGAGTAATATCCAGCTATCACAAAATGAGTATCTAATCTATTCCAATGACTATAGGTAACATAGATGTTATATTTTAACTCCCCCTATGAAGCTGAAGCTACCAAGTTCTCAGCTTGATACAAATAAACCTGGCCAAAAAGTGGCAGGCGGGGCCAAATGCAATCAAACAGACCCAAAACTCAGCACCATGAATAAGACCAAATAGACATAACCAAAACAGCACACATAAAAAGTGAATACAACTTCAAACAGCAGCAGATCCATAGAGAAGATAACCTGCCCTGGGTATACAGTCAAACAGCTGCTTGGAGTTGTAGAACTATGGCAAAAAGGGGATGGATTAGGCTGGAATTGGCCTGCGGTGTTCATCTCTGTCTAACTTGCTGAAAAATTGGGAAAATGCTTTCAGATGGCCTGTGCACCAAGGCTCAAACCGCAGTGAGCATTCAGATGACAACTAGGAAGCTACAGATCTATCTGAGAAGCCACAGATCTGAGGGGAAACTTTCCAATGAAGAGACAAAGCACCTCAACAAATACAGCTCGGGATTATGTGGGGGAAAGAACAAAGCAGTGCAAGCGCACCGCTGGAGAAATTAAGGTTTCTAGCTCATAGTAGCAAAGGGGAAGAACAACTGTAAAAACACCTTCAACAGCTAGGACAGACGGAAGAGATTGAAGAGCAGCAGCCAGAAGATCTAGGAGTAAAGTGTCACTGGAACAGGCCCACATGTTTAAATGTGACAATGGCTTATGGCAGATAAAATGAAAGCAGCCACCAGAAACTAAATCAGATAAAACATCAAACAAAGGAGTTTCAGGAACTATGCAGCAGAATAAAGAAATGATTATATGGAATCACTCCAATACCATGTTGAAAGAAAGAGTAATTGAGATAAATAGGGTGGTATACATTCTGCCATTTAATGATGCTTTTACAATCAGAGATTTGTCTAAGCAAACACAATCTAATCTCTAACCTATTTATCAATGAATTATTGTTCTACTATGACCAACAGAAACCTTAATTCTAACAGTTCAAATTTGAACAAAGGCACTCTTTCTTGCTTTTCCCGCAGTTTGAATCATCTGCTTCAAGGTTCTTTGGCATCATCTCATCTCCCCAAGAAGTTGTTCTTTAAAGAACCATCAAAGGAATATTTTACTTTTCAATAAAATTTATTACTTTCAAAGGCTCAAGCTCAACCTTGAGAGCTGAAGACAACACTCCCCTTAGAGGAGTATTTTAAATTTATTTAGGCAAATACCTTGCACTAGAAAACTTGGGCTTAATTCGCTATCAAAAGCTAGCTCATATGAGGAGGACTACCAAAGCTCTTATAAGAAGTATTCTAACTTTACTCCTAACTAATATGGAACATTTTAAACCTTGTCAAGGGGAGTATTTTATGTAAACCCATTTCCATTTAGTGTCTCAAGTCTCAACCAAAGTCAAAGGTTTGCTTCCATGTATCAGGATCCTAAGCATGTTGTACCATTTACAAGTTTCACCAAGATAAGCACTCGAATATTTAGAACAACAACACATTCTGCAGAATATGTCCAACATTTCACAATCAAATGAATCCGCTTAATATTTACTCTTTAATTCCTTTCCTTTGACATGATTGGAGCATACATGCTAGAAGGTAATGATTACCAATAACAACAAATGGAAAAGGGTCATGAAACCTTTGATTTGGCTTACTGTTATCCTTATCTCCATTTTTCTTTTCTAGGGAAAGAGAAAATTCAAAATAGCTATACCTTTGGTATTTTGTAGAGAAAAACCATTAGAATTACAAGAAAAAGAGCTAACCTTTAGTCTTCGATGATGATCCCTTTGATCTACGGGATTTTGTGCTAGGAAGATCCTTCAACGCATAAAAAAATTGACAACAACACAGTTAATTCAAAATGTTTAAGATGCCTAAGTAAAAAGCAGTAGATCATGCTCATAACTTCATCATTAGCAATCCAAAAGAAGGTGGTACAGGTACCTGTTCAAGAGCCTGCAGAAATATGTTCCTGAGAGAACGATCATTATGCTCTAGCATCTGAAAGCTCAGAGATATAACCAGTTAACCACGGAGAAAATCATGCCAAAGCCATGACATTAACAAAGAGACAAAAAGAAAGTACATATCAAATGGTTACCTAATATCAACTCACCGTCCCAAACTCAGAACGACATTTAATAGGATCTGCATAGGAGCTGCAGAAGGAAACAAGACACGTCATTCAAAATTAATGTGAAAATTCACTAAATTGTATAGAACATCAATAGGAAAAGGCACTGACTATGTATAGCTTCCATACAGCCTAACAAGGACCTCTCGGGGCGATAGTTTGCTCGGTTTAACGCTCTCACTAACACTGTTTTCATCAACAACCTACAACAAAGTTAATTATTTTAGAGAAGGCAATTCAAGGATTAACTAGCTAACATTAAACATGGTCTCTTGTCTTTCATGAAGTCATATAAACCAACAAGAATGAAAATTCAGGTACCTGTGCAGGCCACCATGAGCCATTACGAAGTTTGATAAATATCAAATCTCCCAATGTCACTGAATCACTTGCACGTCCTTCAGTAATTTGACTTTTCCCACTCTTACTCTTAGAAGTCTTCATGATTCGCATTCACCGGCAAAGAAAACTCAAAGGTCCCAACTTGTCGGTTTCACAGCTAACTAATGAACTAAGACCACAAGAAAACATAATCAACGGTATTAAATTGTCATACCAAAGACGAAAACCCAAGAACTAGAAACTGTTTAGATGTTTTCTTTACTTTTTCCGATACCAAATCTTGAAAGTAAATAGAAGCTTTTCACGTTTCTTCTTTTACCAGTGACATGCAAAACTAAATAAATAAATAAGAACAGAGAACGAAAGCATTTGGGGCAGACAGCTACTTACAGAATGTGGGGAGAACAAAGCTCGACTTCGCCTTGCAAGAGACAACCCAAAAAGTGTTGAGTCAGGACTCCTCAGAATCTTTGCTGTTCCGGGACAACAATTAGATTTTGTTAAAAAACATTTTAAAAAATAATGTTTAAATATTATTTTAGTCGTGTACTCTGAAACTTATTTCTGTAAATTTTGAAAAAATATTTTTCAAATAGTTTTTATTGTTAATATTTGCATATAATATATTTTTTCATTACAATTTTTGTATATAATGACAAATGTTATTATGTCATTTTATTATTAAATTTTAGCTAATTTTTATTAGAAATATTATTTTACTTTTTAAATTTAACTATATTTATTTTAATTTTATTGTAAAAAGCGACTATGTATCTTAATTAAAAAAAATGTCTAATCATGAGAAAAAGTTATTAAAACAAATACAAAATTGATGAATTTTAAATTTAAATTTTGAATTTAAATTTCAAATATAATAACAAACGAATTATATCCTTTAAAAGGTTAAATTATTTTTTAAAAATATTAAATTATTTTTTAAAATTAAATCATATTTTTTGAAAGTCAAATTAAATGATTTAGACTTTACATTTTATATAAATAATTTTATTATTTTCAGTAAAAAGACATTTGACACTAAATGATTTTTTTTCCTACTACAGAGTTGTCTCTGTCAAAGCAATTTCAATTACAATAATTTATTATTATTATTTATGATTATAGATATTTTGTATTTAGTTATAGATTTAATCTCTAATGATTATATGTAACTAAATATCTCTTTTCATGAATTGAGATAAATTATTATAATATAACACTTTTTAAACTTTAGTTTAATTTTATGATGTTAATGTTATTTGTTAATTATAATTATTTTTAATAATAATAATATTATTATTATTAAACTAGTCACTCAAAAATAAATTCTAATTAATCAGTTGTTGGACAAGTATATCATTAATAGGTAAACAAAATTAAGAGATAGTTTGAATTTAAGAGTTGAGATAATTAATCTATCACCTAGAGTTTTAACAAGTTAATTAAGTTTAACAATTTCTCAACACTTTATTCGTTCATAACAAAATATTTTATTTTTGTAGTGATAAAAAAATACATGCTTTGCATGGGAGAAATACTATTTCATCAATCAAGTTAAAGGTATGTAAAATATTGATACATAATAATTTCTTCAAAGTGACCACAAATAGCATAACTTATATAAATCTTTTCATTTGTCTAATTCAATCTGATTCATAGTTATTTACTCAATCACACACATTCTTGTTGAGAAGCATATTCAACGCAACTTAATAAAATTGAATTGAAATATACATACATACATATATATATATATATATATATATATATATATATATATATAAAATCATAAAAAATCAAAGTTTTGAGCTTTCATCTATATAAATCTATTATGTAATTTTTTCATTTTTTTCATTTTTTTATTTTTTATTTTAAATTTTATTTTAATTTAAATATTCTTAACTTTTAAATTTGCTTTTATTCAAAATAATAATAATAATATATTTACTATATATTTTTGTGTAAATACTGTCTAAAATACTATTTTTTATTACAATTAATAATTACATTTGCTGAAAACTTTTTAGAAAGTTAAAATCAACAGCACATCACATATTTTTATTTTAGCTTTTATAAAAAAAATATATTATTGGAATAAAAACATGTATTTTATAAAGGAACTAAAATGAAAAGTAATTTTTTTTCAATTTGAAAAACAGTGACAGTGTCCTCTTTATTTTTATTCCTTTGTCTTGTATAGACTAAAATCTATAACTAATATGTTCATATTTCTAAATATAATTATAATGAATTACTTATTTTATGAACATAATTTAAATACAGTCATTTAAGTATTTGTCTCTAATTAAATTTAAAATTTTACCTAAATAATTAATATAATAAAAATTAATATTAAATAACGTTACTAATTTAAGAAATAAATCTCTAATTTAAATTAAAAAGAGCACCAAAAATATTTAAAATTCTGCAAACATATAAGTTTTACCCTCGAATAATCTATCAGATAATCGGGCATCATATATACATCTACATGCATAGAGATCTTGTTTCGACATTGTTTGGTACACACCGATTTTGTTCAGTCATGGCTCAGTCGTCAAGTTCATGCATGATATTGTCCTGCCATAGGGAGTGTCCAAATATTCACCGTGTAATGATAATGGGTTCAACAAATTAAACTCAACAAGTATAACAATATCTAAGCAGAAACCATCTGCTAATGTACTCTTAATATATTCAACCTCTACAAGTGATGGCAACGTTCGGTGTGAATAGCTGCTTGATACATTAATTTGTCTATTTTGTAGTTCTTCTTCAAAGACTACAAGAATGCATCTCTTTTTTAATTGACAAACATTTTACGTTCATGGTCATGGGTTGTTATTCTTTGAACTGGTGCCAAAGTGAAATTTGGGTCAGGGTTGTTATACCTTTATAGTTTTAATGTAGTCAATTTATTTTTTAATAAAATGTAATTTTTTATTGTTTATATTCAACTATAAAGACTAATTTTTTTAAAAAAATCTTAAAAAAAATTCAATGACTAAGATTTGATTAACATAAAGAGTTGCGGTTTTATGTACTGTAAATGATTTGATCTCAATTTAACGACAAAGCTTATGAAATAATATAATTTAAAAATCAATTAAGATGAATTCACAGTTAATTTTTTTTATTTGCATAAATTTAAAGCAATGGTATATAAATTTTGTGTAGAAAATATTAAAATTTCTTTAATGCTTCCTTTTCTTCTATTTAATTTTTTTTTTATGTAAATCTAAGGTAAAATTTCATCTGTTGTCAGATATACTATCTTAAACGAAATGACCATCCTTCATAATCATTTTAAGAAGGCTAAAAACTTATAGCTAACTCTCTTAAGCTACCGGTGGCTATGCATTCGATGTTTTTTCTTTTATTTTAATTTTTTTGATATTAATCTAAGGTAAAATTTTATTTGTTGTCATCTATACCATAGACGAAATGACTAAAAACTTATAACTAACTCTCTTAAGCAACTAATCGCCAAATATCTACCTGGACTAGATGCTTATGCACAATTGCTTATGCATTCGATACTCCACACATTCTCATATCAAAGGACTGTAGTAAGTAGTCATGTTTCTCACTTTTTGAGATTAAAACTTTTTACAGTTACGTTACGTTGGATTAACTATGCAAAATTGCCACAACATCTTAGTTGTGCATCACTCACATTTGAGTCATGGGCCCATGTATTACTAGCCTATGTCATTATTTGAGATATGCAATATATTTTCTTATTATTTTGCTTGTGCAAATACTTATTTGAGTATTAAAATGCCTTTTACACGTACACCATTCCTTCATCATCAACATTGAGTGCACCAAGTCATTGTAGATGCTTGATCACTAAACCACATTGAGTTCACCTCTCTTGCACCCATCGGAATAATAACGTATCTCAATTATCTTATTTAAATATTCAATTACTCTCTCTCATCTTAAACAATTATGCTACACGTGGGCCTAATGCACCTTGAAGTAACCTTAAGGTCTATATCTTCATCAACTTATGCCTAATTTGAGAAGGTATACTTCTTTTTGTGTCAGACATGACATGTACCCATCCAACAGGCCTTATAGAACCATCCTCCATACTTATGTGATGTCACTAGGATAGAATTTACCTTAAACAAGATACAATCTATACCTATGAATAGAAGAAGCCTAATCTCTCAAAAGTTTATATGCATTTTTACCTATATTGTTACTCTACAAAAAACGTTTCTCACTTCAACGTCAGAGTATTTATTGTATTAACATTCTTTACCGTTCCTCAACAACTCGTCAACACTAAACACCACTGTGGATGGTCATCTCGGAACAGTAGCATCCATCATCCGAGTTTCATTAACTAAAACACCTGTTATTCTTCTCGGGTAGAAGTATAAGAGAACAAAAGAATTAAAACTTGACTACAGTAGATGATGATACCTAGCTAGGCTCGGCCATATATTGTCTTTGTTAAATATGTGTACATTAGTTCATTAAATTCTAAATAGAGATCGGCCCTCGATTAAATTCCAAAATTTCACTACCGATGGATTTGCCTATATTGTAAGAATTTCATGTGTGCACACAAAATTATACTTGCCGAGATCAACGTGTGATTTACTGTGATATTTTTTTTTTCTTCCCCTTAGAATTATGGCATTTATTTAAATATTTTTATTTTATAAAGAAATAATTACTAGTATTTTTGTTGTAATTATAAGAAACATACATTTATTTTTATATCCTTATTTATTATAAAATTTATGTTAAAGAAACACTTAATAATTACTCATATCAGAAAGTATATTTATTTTTTTACATACAGTTACTAATTTAACTATTTAATACTATTTATACTTCTAGAATATAATATAAATTTATGACATACGACTACTTTATATTAGTATTGAAGAATTAATTATTTCTTTTTTATAAAAAATTGGAAAGAGAGTATTATATTAGATATTTTTTAAGAAATTTCAAAATTGGGATTACTAATTAAACTAATGAAAATTATTTATGCATTTAGTGGTTTAATTTTTTTATGTAATTATTTTTATTTTTAAGAACATCAACTGTTAGGAATGAAAAAAATTCCACGTATATAAATACTTGCAAGTAGAATTCAAATATGATCCATATTTATCCATAACACAAAATTACACATGTCTTGCAAGTAAAATTCAAATATTTACTTTGATTATCTTTAAATTTTAAAATAATTAATATTTGCCTGATAGACCAGAGATACTCTCGATGCACACACACACAAACAAAAAAATATGATTGTATTTGAATAAGTGTTCATTTAAACATTTATTAATAAGATATTTTTAAAATAATAATTTATATCCTAAATTTAATAATGTAACTTTTTAAAGTTAAAAACAATTTATTTTAATAAGCTATATCAATAAATTTATTGAAGGAAATTGAAAATAACTTGCAAGAATCATAAGTTATTTTTTGTAAGCCGTTGATAAGCTATTTCAAAATTGCATTCATTAACTTATTAATAAGGCAAAAGCGCTTATTACGGCATAAGTAATCACTGCCTACTATATTAAATTGCACAACGATCCTTAATTAATAATATATGAACAAGCTTATATTGATTTACCCGTTAGTTATAACATTGTATACAAATTTTTCTAAATTTCTTTTCTATTTTAGATATATTTTTTAATATTTTTAATCAGATAAATATCTATGGATATCCCATTGATACTCGTCAAACTGTAGATGTGTGGATAATGAACACCCATGCAGTATGAGGTGGACTTCACCTGTAAGGATGGGTGGCTACTACCTGCATCTATCCCACGTCAACGCCATCCCTAATAACAGTAAACATTAGAAAAAAGAAAAGATAAATAGGAAAATTAATATTTTTTAAAACCTTAAATTTTAATGTATGTTAATGCCTTTTGTTTTAAATTTTTAAAGTAAATAAAAAGTTGAATTTTATGTTACCTTTTCTTTATTGCCAAGCTCAAACAATAAGTAACTTGATATTAGATGGTATGAGGATGAAGATGCTGAAAATAAATCATTTGAGCGAACATCACCAACATCACCGTGTGTGGTGAAATTAATTAGAGCCCAGAGCAAATGAACAGTAAATCCACAAATGCATGGTAGGTCCAAATCATTCGAGTCAGTCATCATCAACAAAGTCAGTGTTGTTGAGTCAACCAAAAGGATGAATTCATTATATGATCATCAGAAGAAAGTGCCGCCAATATGATAAGCATTCCATGTCCAATTGAGGAGATACAAGAAGCCTTGTAGGGATGCCCTCTGTTTCAACTAGCATTCGCATCCTTTATTGAAAAATTATTATCCGGACGAAATGGCTGAAAAATGCCCAGTGTGTTTCGCTACTCGATAGAAAGTCGTTGCATATGTTATAAGATCGATTTGATTTTTTCATAATTTGTCCCAGACTTCCAATAGACTATATTCTAATGAAAAATCAAACACATACATTGAAGTACAATATTTTAAAATTGTCCTGCAAAACTTTTTTAGGCTGTTAGTTTGTCATGTATTCCAATATCAGATCCTCAGGGACATAAGGCCAAACAAGGCTGTTTGTAACAGAATCGCCGGAAGACAGAAGTGGTGGTCCACAGAGCGAATTTATAGAATTTTACTTGGTATAAAACTAACAACAAATCACGAAACATAAAATTGAAGGTCAAAGAGGAACGGCTAGAAGTGTCACAGATTGTGTGGCACAAATTGTAATTGACGTGAATTTAAAAAGAGGTAAATATTTTTGGGAGTACAAGAAATAAATAGAAGTCTCAATCTGTAGCAGTCATTCATTTTTCATGCAGAACAAGAAATAAATACAATCAATAAATAAAGTAATATTTTAATATCTCCTGTCCATCTTCCAGAGCATATTTTTAATATGGCTTAACCACGCTCTAGATTGTGGTCCAGATCCCCATTTTAAACAAAAGTATATCATAACTACAACATAGTTATCGTATTACTGTTAATAAGTCTGGACAGCTAGGCCAATTTTGTTTTTCTTGTGATCTCACATGTATCTTGTGTATATTAGTGTATTGAAATGTTTACTGGGTTCTGTAATAAACTAATGTGTAAAAACACCGCAAAATCTCTAGATGATTAGCGGGTAATAGGACAATAATTTGCCTATTGTCAAAAACAATTCATGCAGACATCAAATTGGCTTCACAACCATTCTATAATGTTGTACCTTTTTTGCCTTAATTTATGACACGACCAAACTGAAATAGACTACAGCCAATAAAAATTAGATCAAGTAAGAAGGTTTAATGTTTAATGTAAGGAATAGATTACCACAAGCACATGGTTGAGAGATAGCTAGGTAGCTTATGATAAGAGGCAGTGGTCCCGTAACTGCTGTCTGCACCCTGCAATTAACTTTAGACAAACCAGAAATGTTGTTACGAAGATTGATAGGCTTGATGAGACATCACATGTAAACAACACATGACTAATACAGGCAAAAACAAAAATGAAACCACCATGACAATGAAATCCATATTAAGCATGCTACCTTGTGACCTCAGCAAATAGGCAGAACTTGAATACAAAAAGGCCATTGGCTCTTTAGATTCTGAAGGGAAGACCTGTATGTCAACAATCTCTGTGGTCCTTACTATCTTATAGACTGTATGAAAACATGATAGGTTCCTATCTCCAATGCTGAATGATAATTCTGATGACGAGAGGCCGTTAGATCCATCATCTAATGCATATAACAAGTTAAAGAATCACCATCCTTTTTGCTTACCTTTTCAACTCTGGTGACGTTGTTTGGTTATTGTCTTGGCTCTGTCTAGTGTCTTCCTCACAATCACTATTTTCGCTACAGATAAATGTTCTTTATTAGTGTCTTCTGAACAAATCATGATACATGATGCAAAACAATTTATAATGGGATTATTATACACGAATAAATGTTTTTAAGGCATTGAATATTATTAGCTTTTTAATTTAAAACATACCTTTCAAATAAAGATGGTGGCATTACTGATATTGTATGTAGGTGATGTATTAAATTAATAAAAGTTGAGAAGTTACACGTATTTGTCTTTGTCTTTTTGTATCTTTTTCCCCTGAATCCCTACCATAGAATCTCTCCCAAAATAGCTTCTTCCGTCCACTCTACATGATTAAAAATTAATGCTCAGCTTCACCTCCCTCAACTAACCACTGTCTATTCGTCTTAACGCTAACACAAAAACACCACTACCGTCACTCTCGCTCCCACATGGGTGGTGGAGCTTCTTCAAACCTCACATACTTCTTCTTCCTCATCACTATCGTCCTATTTGTTATACAGGCAGAGAGCAGAGAAACGCCACCGCCAAGTCCCAATCTCGAAGATGGCGGCGGCATTGCTCCACCACCCCCGGAAAAACCATCGTCGACGTTCAAACCAGGCATAGCCGTCGTGGTGTGCGTTTTGACCACCATGTTTTCCCTCACATTTCTTCTCCTCCTCTACATCAAACACTGCAACGGCGGGAACATCGACACTGGAAGCAACATCACCGGCGGCAACTCGACTTCGCGACCGGTCCCGCCGTTAACCGGAAGGAAGAACTCCGGCATTGACCGCTCCATAGTGGAGTCCTTACCGGTTTTCCGATTTGGATCGCTGCGAGGTCAAAAGGACGAGCTCGATTGCGCGGTTTGCCTCACAAAGTTCGAAGCAGCAGAGGTTCTCCGGCTGTTGCCGAAGTGCAAGCATGCATTCCACGTGGAATGCGTGGACACGTGGCTGGACGCGCATTCCACTTGTCCTCTCTGCCGTTACCGCGTGGATCCGGAGGACATTCTCCTAGTAGAGGACGCTAGGGTTTTCCGACGGAACAACGAACAGGAACGTTCGTGTTTAGACATCGAAAAAGGGAAGGAAATTGCAGAGTCTCGGCGGAGGCATTCGTCAGTAGGTGAAAGGGAAACGGCAGAGGAACATAGTCGGAGTTGGACGGCGTCGTTTAGGAGGTCGTTGGACAGTGCGACGTCGAGAAAGAAGAACGAGAACGCGGTTACGGTTGCGGTTGGGGTTGGTTGCTTTGTGCGTCCGAGAAAAGACGGGATGTTGTTGACGGAGGAGAGAGAGAGAGATAGGAGAAGTATGGAACGGAGGTTAGAGCACCGGATCATTGTGTCTCCGGGTCCAGTCCCAAAGAGTGGGGTGGATGAACGGTGGAGCGACGTGCAGGCATCTGACCTGTTGTATCTAACGTCGGAGATGATAATGAGTGAGGTGCAATGGAACACGCGCGGCGGAGGAAGGAGGAAGAAGGAGAATGGCCGTACTAAAAATGATGATGAGCTGAGTCAGGAGGACAGTTGGAATGGCAGGGGGATAATAAATTCGAGAAGCGTGTCTGAAATCACGAGATTGAGCAGGTTCAATAGAGAGTGCCAACCACACCAACAACAACTTCAACGGCACGGGGATAGAGAGAGAGAGAGAGAAGAGAGGTTAGTGAAGAGGTGGTTGGCTTGGATTTCTAAGTCACGCACACTACCAGCGGTACGGTAGGGACTAAGGATGTTGTTATCGCCGGCTTGGCTTCTGACTCACCAAACTACTGTTCCCTTGCAATTTGTAGCTTAGCTTAGCATTATTTGTTCACAACACAACACAATATCAAAAAGTAACTTATTATTTTTTTCAACACTACTGTCTACTACACTATTTTATTTTACTTAGTACTTTATTATTTCTTGCCTTTTCAATTTGGAACATTTTCCATTGGAAGGATGGAATGGAACGGGCGTTAGTGAGCCACCTGCTGCGGATTCCCAAGCCTAGAGTGGTGAAAGTGATTAAGAAGCACGTGGATGGGAGGGACATCATCCTGCACCTATGTGCATGTATGTCATACGGAGATCCCTTGTCCTCTGCTCCCCACTTTCTCAATTATTTTTTCTCACCTTCTATCCCCCTTGGAATTCGGATACCCATACACATAACATCCATGTTTAACAAATCTTTATAGCTTTAAATCAATTTCTACTCTATAAAAAATGTTATCTTTAATTATTCAAAAATATTTATAATGTGAAAATAAAATATTATTATTTTAAATTAACTTTCAAAATTAAAGTTACTCAAATTATTTTTTATTTAGTCCTTTATTTTTTTTAAATAAGTCCCATAAAAAAATTATTTTTAAATAGTTCTTCGGTTAGAAATTTATTTATTTGTCTATATGACTATATTTGACTTTATGCATATATATTGACCTGTTTGCTTTATTATGCCAATGTTAAATTTTAAAAAAATAAAATTGAGTTGGATCTCTGCAGTCGGAGATTAAAAAAATTAATCTTTATTGTTTATTTTTTAAAATTTAAATTAATAATTAAAAAAAGAATCATTGGACAATGAATGTAAGAATTTTAAACGTAGAAGATCTAGATAGCTTCTCAGATAATTGTCTGGGAAAGTGCACAAATGGAGTTTCCAAACATAGAGAAAGGTGGTATGATACAAAATTAATATAAAAGATGATGCAGCAAAAATAAAAATAAAAAAATACACTAGTGCAAAAAATTATTGTTCATCATCTATATTAAAAGATTATATTTTAAATCATTTTTATTTTAAAATATGAAAGATTTGATGTAAATTTAATATCATTAATAATACATCTCATTCATATTATATTTTAATTAAATTATATAAATTAACTTGAATGCATGGTAAATAAATGATAATTAATATTTAATAGATCACTAATAGAAAAATTAAATAAAAATAAAGAGAAAATTTTGGGGAGACTAAGTTTAAAAAAAAAAGGACGAATCAAATTAAAAAATTATAAAGTTTTAAAAGATAAAACTTTATTCCAGTAAATTTATTTCTTCAATTAACGATTTTGATGATATCAATTTTAAATGTACTTTTAACTATTTTAAAATAGTAAGTTTTTATTATTTCTTTATTATATAAAAAATATTTAATTTTAATAAAAATTTACTATTCTAATTTAATTTTTAATCTCTCAAAAATTTGTAAATCCAAAAAACAATAATAAAAAAGGGGCTATTACTAGGCAAAAATGATCTTGACAATCGGAGTTTCACGCCACCACCTCTTGGTAATCGCACGAAACGAATATTCGCGGCCACCCTGCAGTCACATGAGTTTTGTTAAATTTCTCTTGCACGGTCCATAAGTAGCAGAAAACAACACACATGACTTATGAGACTAAGGTACCAACACTTTAATTGGAAACTTCAGCTTTGCATATAGTAATAAGATTGTCTTTGAGTTCCTTTAATTAACTACATATATTTTCAAATTAATTTTTTCCTTCTTAACTACTCAAATATTATGAGTTGTAATCCATAATGTCACATTGTAAAACATAATTGCTAAGTCTTTTTTTGTTTTTAAAATAAAAATATATATACCTTTTTATTTAATATTTGTTCTATAAAATACTAAAAAATATATAAACCTTTTGATCTGAACTTCTTCAGATAGACCTACAAGCATTAAGCACGTAGAGTGGCCTCGCCTGTTGGACTGTGGGTGAAATTTTCCATTTACAATATGAAAATCTAAACCATTGATTGAAAAATTCAAAAAATATATTTCATTAAAAATATGCATATATATATATATACTTATTTTAATGTATTCTAACGTATTATTTAATAAAAATTTACTATTTATTAATTCCTTGATAGCATCCTTCGACACCCTCAAGTTTGCACAACTCTTATCAGAATCTTCATCCAACGACCAATATCTCGAGAATATCTACCACGATCTACAAGGGTCCCTAGCATTGTTTTTTTGTCAACCTTGCATTGTATAAGTATTACTTCATTGAAGAACTTGGTGAGAGACTTTGGTCTGCTCTTCAACAAGCACAAATTTCTAGCAGAGTGTCACAGTAAGTTACAACATACGCAAGCAAGAGGAATCCTGATTCAGCAAGTGACAAGCTTAGAAAAACAGGCAAACTTGACAAGCGCCCAAATCTTGATAATGGAGAATAGAGGAATATATATTAACTTTATTTTCATGCACTAAAATCAATATACAAGTATTTGAAATGGAAAATCATAACTACAAGGCTTTACAAAAGTTTTCAACTTGCAACTTCTAAAACATCACATCATTGCCTTTACAAAATGTAATGTAGACATGCTAGTTATAGACTAGGCCTGTGTCTAAACACCAAAAATTTGCAGTTCCTTAAAAAAAACATGGGGACAGTCAAATGGGTTTTCCTCTCTTTGATCCTTTGGTGCAGAGGTTTTAAATTTCAATGCATCCGTATAGGCAACTTTCATGACAAGTAATTCAAAGAAAAAGTAGAATGTTTATCAAAAGTAGAAATTTTACTAAATTAACTCTTCAATCTTCAACTGTATTGCCTTTTAAAATTAATTAAAGCTTAAATAATTAGGTACGTAAAAACTCCTTCACAAACCTGAGTCTGATTAAGTACGTAAAACTAGGATACAGAATATTTTTGGCCAACAATGGAGTCAAAATCACAAAACAAAATTGAATTTTCAGAACTCATGTGAAAAGCGATCCAACAATATTGAAATTTGAAAATTGAAAATTTGAGGATAAAGAAAGAAAAATTGAGCGGAGAATGAGATAATAACAAGTTGAATTTGAATCGGAATTCAGTCTCGTTTTTGCGAGAACTGATCAATCCTTCGCTTTTAAAATTTGCCAACGGACTGTGTCCAGTTACGACACTGAATCTGGATCCGAAAAATTTACAAAGATCAACTTTATATAACAAACCCCATTTTTATCTAACCTCTAGCATTCCATGATGACCCCTTTGAGAAACTTCTTATTAATCTTTAGCTTTGTTGTTTTTCGAATAAGCCTTGAGCATGATAAAGAACCTTTTTTGACTTGTCAAGAATTCTTCTTGCAAAGGAAACACACCTTGAAGAGGGTACACAAATACCTTTTTTGTGAATTGTCAAGAACACTTATTCTAAACACGTCTGCGTTCAACACCACCTTCAGGTAACTCTGCTTTCAGAGTCACCACACAGCACATTCACAAGCCAACTTTTATCAAGTATAAATTTCGAAGCAAAGAAAATTAAAGGAAAGAGTTACCTAAGATTGAGATTCTACTTTATGCTTTTAGAGATTTTTTAATTTTTTTGTCTTTTTCAGTCGTTCTTAGTTTTCTGGAGTAGAGTGAGTGAGAAGGGACGAGAGAAGCTAAAGATGCAAAACCACGATCCCAAATCGAAACATAAATGCATATCATTTACTTTCATATAAATATAAATTTATTGATCTTAAGAATGACTCAAGATAACGTGGTTTTACTTCACTTTCTTCCACAAGTTCAATCTCATTGGGAACATTTTTTTTAATACTTGTTAGGTGATTGGAACTTATTTATTTTCTTGACCTCTTTCTTATGAGATGATTTTGTTCAGACTTTTGATCAATGCAGGCAAGTATGATAATCCCAAAGATCTTGGGGTTGTAGTATAGAAGAAGATGCGAAGCTGTAAAAAGGATTGGAGAATTGTTTTTTTTTTTTTCTTAGGACAAAGATGAATGACATTTTGATCATAATTATTGATTTATTCTTTTTATGGAGAAAGTTTGTTTAAGTCACTTTACCAGTAAATAATTCTAGGTGAATTAATAAAATTAGGATATTATATTAAAAATTATATTTAATTTGTATACATAAAAATTACTAATTCACTTAAAATAAAGTTATTATATAGGATAACTTGGACAAATTCTTGTAGAAAAATTGATAAAAGAGATGTCACTTAAAGCAAAAAAATAATAAGTATAAAATATATTATCAAAATAAAACTTTAATTCTAATCAATAAACAATGCCAAAAATAAACTTCATTTAAATTTATTATAATCTTGTGGAGCCAAATTTTTTTTATTATAATCTTATCTGCCTTTGAAATCAAACCACTGAGCAATAAAATATTATTTCTTTGATTTTCGTTGAATAAATTTATGACATTTTATCATTGAATATTCTTCAAAAGAATCTTTAGTTTTGATCTTCACTATTTGTATAAGGGGGTCGTTCTAAACGAATATAATCATACAAAATTCCTATAAAAGGACCTGTGTTACTTGCTTGCGTTAGAAAAATGGTGTTGTTCCCCTGCGCCAGAAGAGTGCCTTGCACATCTATGCTGAATAGCCAGTAGAGCCCATGAATTCCATGTCTGGCTATGGTATTCTCCTTTCCAATTAACCCACTTGAAAATAAAGGTGGGTCTGCTGTTGAATTGTTTATCCGAATCTACCCGCCCAAAATTAAAAGAAAAAGGAAAATGAAAAAAAATGTAGTTAGTAAGATAAATACTCTTGTACATTGCACTGTTTCTTTCTTACATCAAAGTTATTGCATAGACTTTTATACCTGTAATTCAGCAGAATGTACAGATGCTAAAGCCAATCGCAATTTGTAGGTTCCATTGGTATTTACATAATCAAGCTTGAAGTTAATTTGCCATGTGGTTCCTTGGTAAGTGTTATTGTCTTTCTTCCTGCAGAACAGCAAAGGAAAGTAATTGATCCAATAATCAGAGAGGAAGAGAGTAGTATGGAAAGGCCATATAAGCTTATGTCTATTGCCACTTTTATATGTCTATTATCACTTCTGATTTAAGTGACTTTTGCCTAAAATATCTCTACTATTAATATGATTATAAGAGAGATAAAAAGGTATTTTAGATAAAAATTACATAAATAGGAGTGACAATAGATACTCCCTCCGTTCCTTTTTTAAGTGTTGATTTTTTAGAAAAAAATTGTTACTGCTTATCTGTTATTGGTAAAGTTCAAGACTATGTTAATTATTTTTTACCAATTATATCCTTACTTCCACTTATAAATCATGAAAGGAGAACGGAAAATGACAGGAGTATGATTGAAAAAAGACTAATAAATTCATTAAAAATAATAAAAATTACTGCTTCTTGGTTTGTGTAAACAAACCTTAAAAGTCACATATTAAGAAACAGATGGAGTACGTAAGAGTGACAATAAATTCACCGTAAGTTCAATTACCAACAACATACACGAAAAGAAGACACCAACTGGCATTGGCCAAAAATAAAAACAGAAGCAAAAATCACACCTGTTAACCTGAGCAAAAAACCAATCTTTTCTGTAGTCACTAACACCAACAGTGTAAACTAGGTCTTTATTTGGATACAAATCAGCATACCTTTCCCACAAACCATATTGCCTATACCTGCCAGTTAAAGGGACATAATATTGGATAAAAAAACCAGGAATCTGGGAAGCAAACATGCATTTAGCTATTGTAAAGTGTAAACTTCACAATATGAAGCAGTTATGACAATTATATGCAAATAGGCAAAAAAGGAACCAACCTATCTGGATGGTTGATATAAAGTCTGTTAATGTACATGGGGTTTGGATCAGGAACATAGAACTCAGCAGCTGAACGATCAGGGATGCCTATTTCCCACAACGTAGGGCCATCTCTTGGTGGCTCATAAACAAGCTCACCCACATTCATTTCACAACCTATGTTACACATTTGCCTAATAAGTGAGTTTAGAACAACAGTACCATATAATTTTGAACTTTAGAAAAGCTTCATAAATTTGTCAAGACCTGAAGTTACGTTGATCACGCATTCATATTGATAATCACCAATGTATCCAGTGACCCAGGAGTACAGATTATAGTTCCCAGGGCGTATGTTAATAATTGAGAAATAGCCTTTATCATCAGTAGTGGTCCAAAATTGATAACCCTGTGAAAGAATAATTAATTGTATCATTTTTACCCCCAGTAGCTCGTAGTGCTTGTTCTTTATTCAAATGCTTCAAGGAAGTTTAAATTTTACCTTGGATTCTCTTTGCCAAGATCCAACCTCTCCTGTGGATGCTAATCCCACAGAAGCACCGTTGACTGGGATGAATGCATCACTCATGTACCTATTATTATACATTCCTTCGGTCATTATTAACATGAATTCACAACTTAATAACATGGAATGAAATATCCGTGTTAAGCCACACAGCATATTCTGCTGGAACAACTCTTAGTTCTATCATAACAATTTAAATTATTAATTGATATGTGTAAGATTGTGAGTGAAAGGATAAAAAAAATTCTTATCTTGAAAAATATTTTTACACATTTTGAGTACGTTAGAAATAATGTGTTTAACTTGAACCTTCGGTGTCTAATAATAATTTCTCATCATGAAGGTTACGCAAGTGATACCTACCTGTCTCTGACAAGCAATCTACCTTGAACTTTACCTCGTTGGTCAGATTTGAGAAAGTCCTCGGAAGCTGGAAATGCATATGGCCAGGTTTCAATTTCATTCACCATCTGCAATTAACGTGAAAATATACGGTTTTTATAATATATATAAAAAATCCAGCATAAGAAATTTATATAGAAGATTTTATGGAAAAATATAACATTTAATATCATTGTGTAATTTTAAATACGTTGAAATATATTATATGTAAGTTTTTATTTTGAAAAATGGGAAAATATAATTGGCACAACCTGTTGTTTGGCGTCCTCCCAAAGCCTGACGGGGCTAAACCCGTTAGACAGAGAATTAAGGTATATGAATATGGGCCCATAGACTTTCTTCCACGGCTCATTGGGTCCAAATTTCATTATCAGATCTATTCCTGAATAATGCGTGCTATGAAATACCTGATTCATGTGGGTTTCCCAAATAACCACACCATTAGGTACCACTTCATTTTCTTTTCAATTGAACAAAAACAAAACGCCGAGGAGAAATTAAAACCCACCAATCCAAAACAAAATTAATAAAAGTCTTACAGAAAGTGTGGTTGGGCCCACATGGGAAGTAAGATACTGCTTGAGGGGTCCAGCAGATCGGAACTCATAGCTTGGCGTAATGAGCCAGAATCCAATGGAATTGGATGGATCGATGCAAATCCAACCGTGAACACGGTTGTTTCGGCTCTCGCACGAGTACTCATACTTGTCATCTACCTGCTTTCGATACCATACAAAGCAACGGGCCCAAAATCTTTTAGTTCACTTGGGCTATGGTTTTGGGCTTATAATATCTTTATTCTTTTTTTTAAAAAAAACTGGGGCTCCTAACCTCTCCTTTGAACTCCGGCTCCACCGGATTGATAAGCCGAACAGCCTCAGGGTATGCGAGAACTTCCCCTCTTTCCGGTGACCGGTCATCCGGCAGAGGCATAAATCTTTGCCTGTTGTCCGCTATAACCATGTAATGGAACCTTTGGAGAAATAATAATAATAAAAAAAACACAAATGTTTGAAAAAATAAGAGAAAGAAATGCATGCTTCTGTTATTTTGTTTTTCCTAAGTCTGAGGAACCACGAAAAAGAACAAAACAAAAACAAAACAAATTACCTACTTGTCTTTCCTAAGCTTAAACGCAATCCTAGTATTGTCAAGATCAAAAGCAGGCCATTCTTCCAAATGCTCGTAAATGGCATAGGTGTAGAACCCCGAAGAACCACTAAGCATTATAAACCTTTTATCAATATTGAGTGGCGCAAGCTTCCCCTCAAGAGAGAGATTCCATGTTCTCGTGAAAGATACCTCTACTTGTTCTTCATTTTCCACTATCACCGTAAAATTTGTGGCTTCCATTCTGCGTATCATTACCAATTCATTAGGTTCAAACTTCATACATATAATTCCAATGGTATAACAAATTCCACGAATCATACCTGTCAAATCTACCCTTTCCCTTTGCTCCCTTTTTTGTTCTTTTTTCCCCACCCTCGTCCCACACAATATCCCAGTACCTACACGGTTACACCAAGAGGATGATAATAAATTAAAAAAGAAATTTAGGGCTATTATTATTGCATGTTTATTGTTTGTGAATTTTCTTAGAAGAGAGTTTCACCTGCTATTAATTTATTATACATTCTGACTAACATTGGAAACTAAATTGATTTACCCTCTATCAGATTCGTCGTTAAGAACTTCAAGCAAATTGTCGAGTCCATTATATTGAATTCCTGTGACAATTCCTTCGGGATTTGATAAGGTGACCTGGACTATGCCATTATCCATTATCACCTGGGCAGAGCAAATAAAAATGATATCCTTCATATTAAATAATAAATAAATTTTATAGCCAGAGAAGAATCAATTGCAGAAGTGGATTACATGTTTATCTTGGATATCCAATCGTACCCCTGGTGATGATGACAGTCTATAAATTAGTCCCTTAAAAATGTTCCAAATCTCTAAAAATAATATTTTCATAATATAAATCCTGGTGTAGTTTTTTTATTTGCGATGTTTAAAAACATATTTAACTGCAGAAAAAAGCATAGTTGTGGCATGCCAGTTACCAATTACAACACAGGACAATAACCAAAGGTAAAACACTAAAGGAGAAACCTGGATGATTAGTACCACAAACCAGAACCACGATGAAATGCATCATCAAGAACAGGAATTGATTAGTGAAGTTCATCGCCCTTTGCTTAGGCTTTGCTTTCTGTGGACTTTGCTTGAAGGCAAATGTTACTTTCAGATTCCTTGTCCTTGTCGATTTGTCTGCATAACTCCTTTATATCTCCACAAGAAAAGTTACAGAGGAGAAATTCTCCTTTAGGAGTGAAATTTAATAGTAGTAGGTTAAGGTTAATGAAAATATAATAATTAGGTACATAGTCTTGTTCATCTCTGGCCAGAGCATTTAAAAGTTTGTCACTTTTGTCAAACTGGATTTTGATATTGCACAAATTAATAGAAACCACAAATGATAAAAAAAGAAAGTAAGTTTGATACATTTTAAATTATAATTAAAGGGAATTTTTACAGAATCTGGTATGAAATCGATAATTATTAATGGGAAAATTTATGATTTAGAAATTTTCAAATATGAATATTTTGACAATAAATCATGTTTATATCTTTCTAAAGGAAAGATAATAAAAATCATCTTTGCCTTCTAAAGGAAAATTTAATGAAAATGCATTACACCATTCACCACCAAACCTTTAACCATGAGTAGGTAATTTGAATTTTAACAACTAATATTTATTTAGCTTGATCACTTCGTCATGGGGGCGTTGGCTTCTAGGAATATAGATGGTTGAAAAGAGAAGCATGTGACAGTTAAAGAGAGGGAGAAGCAAAAGGGTCTTAATAGAAATTAAGAACTTGATGGGGTGATCAAGAGAGTTGTTTAAAGGTTCAGTTAAGTCAATCAGTTAGGTAACATGAATGACACAAAATATAGTCATGTGAAAGAATGCTTCTAAGAATCTTATTGGATTGGTTTTCTTCAACAACAAGACAAAGCATTCGTTTCTTTACCAATTCTTTTTCTGTAACTACTTGGACAGTTGCCCACGGGTCTCTATATGAATTGAAAGTTTAGAACAGCAAAAGGCCAAATAAATATCAAGCCAGAGCAACCATAGATAAGGTTTATCAGCGAATCAAAAATTTTTGCTGCCAAAACTTATATCATAACGTAGACAATTACCCTTTTAGAAGAAACATCCACTTTTTTCCTTTTTTTTAATTTTGAAAACAAAGAAAAAACAGAATTTGAGAGAAGTGTTTAATATGATAGAGTTATGTAAGTCCTAATTTTTTTTATTTAATAATTTTTTATCATATTTTTATAATTTTTAATAAATTTTAATTAGTGTGCTAAAAGATGAGTTTCTGATCCTCTTGAAGAAAAGAATATTGATATCTAGAAACCAAAACCGCTATGCACAATTACGATAGCCACCGAGTTCAATTTATGAAATTAATGCCGCAATTACTGATTGAAGTCATATATAATAAAAGGTACTGCTTTCATATTCAGCAGACATTTTTTACAAAATTAGTAGTAGAAAGTTTTAATTAACTAATATCATTAATATATCTGAACATAATTTTTAATAAAATATTTATTATCAATTCTAAACCAGTATTCATAAAAAGTTATAATTCTTTTTTCTTTCTTTCTTTTTTTTTGTGCTAAACAACCGGTGGTGCACTTATTAGTCTTGCCTCTGAGTAATTTTTCCTAAAAATAATTATTTTAATAATGAAAAAAGTTGGCCAATGCATGATTAACATCTACATTCCCAACCAATATTGGTAAACAAACCATATCAGTTCAAATTGCAAAAATCTTCATGATTATAATGACAGGTTAACGAATTATCAACTAGATCATGATTATAACTTCAAGTGCAGACCCTTATGGCCCTATTGACTTATTCGCATGGGATCTTGGCAGGCAGAGGAAAAGTATAATAATATGGTTAATGAAAGAGACTGAAAAACAAAGGGTCTTCTTTCTTTTATAAAAAGATCATTAAATTAACTTAAGATGTTGATTAATAAGAATCAAATACAATTCTAAATATTTTAATAAATTAAAAAATACCAGTAAATAAATTTTATATGTTTATATATAAATGCTTTACTTTTTAATACAATAATAATTTTTTTTAACCAGTTCCATATTCAGCAATCATAAAAGTTTTTTCAACATAACTTTTAGGTATTTCATTCAACTTGTTTGAGCTAGATGTGGGGAGTATTTCCTGAATTAAGCCATGACGATGCTATTATTTCCTTTGGACTATCCAAAAGATGAAGCAAGGAGATCTCTGTCATGGTTAATTCGGGACATGGCTTGATTATTTTAATTGGTTAAATCTGTGGGAATCATTACTGAACCATGATTAAATCGGATATAACTAGATATATATACTTGGTTCAATTGCATAGTTTGATTCGATTTTTAAAACATTGTTAATTTGAATGATATATACTAAAATTGTTTTGCAACTTATAAACCTTGTTATACCTTGAGCTTTTATGGTTTACCTTTTTTTAAATTGTATCGTTATCTTTGAATTAGTTAAAAATAAATAATTTAAGTTATTAAAATTTATTTTAAATTTCATTTAAACTTGTTAAGATAAAAAATATTTATTTAATTATCGTAATACATTGTCAGTATTTTGATGGCTTTAATCTATGTCATTGATTATATTATTAAATAACGGAAGATATATATATATATATATATATATATATATTAATAATTTAATTAAAATATATTGGTAGTATAAAGATTTTTTATATTATCATTTAATTATAGATTCTTATATAATTAAAATTATTAAATTTGATAATAATTTAAAAGCGGTTACCACTAAATTCATATTCTAATTAAAACTAATATATTAAGAAAAGGCAACTAATGAAATAAATAAAATAGCTATTAATTAAGAGAAAATTATGCTATAAGGCCTACTTTTTAGCTCTAATATTACCTTGATTTTTTCTTTAAAAAAAGAGAGAATATTAACTAGTAACATAAGCCTAAAGAATCCATTTTTGAAGAAAATAACATATACTCTCAATTTTACTTATCAATTAATTAATATATTTTACAACTAATTATTATAAGTCTTAATTTTTCAATCATAACTTGATAATTATGTTTGTGTGCGCTAGTGGGGCTGCCACGCACGTTTTTCACTTTCTTATGTTGTGTAGTATACTCGCCGTCAAATATGCGGCTAATGACATGGTTGTATCCATGAAATAACAATTATAATCCTTTTTGTTTTGGGAAACAGATTATAATCCAAATTATTACATATCTCTAGTTGAACGGTCCAAGTCTAACAAAGACCTAAACAAATAAAAGAAACTGAAAATTTCTTTCTTTCAGAAGCACCACTCTTTATTCCCTATATTTGCATTGGATTTAACAGAGAAAACTGTATCAATATTTTGTTATTGAAGCTAGACGAGGGGTGGACCTTCCAGACGAATATAATCATACATAATGGCTTGAAACGGACCATTGCCTCTTGACTGTGTCAAAAAGATGGTGTTATCTCCTTCAACAAGTTGAGTACTCGCTATGTCTATATTATAAAGCCAATATAGTCCATGAATTCCATGCCTAGCAATAGAGTTATCCCTTCCTATCAACCCACTTGAAAATAGTGGACGAGTGGCCTTTGGATTGTTAACTCGAACCTAAAATTGTAAACATGTACTCATAAAAAATAGGGTAGTGTATATTGCACTCTTATTTAAGGAAGTTATATGTAAAATACTCGTATCATTAATATAGCTATAAGAAAATAAAAAAGAATATTTTAGATAAGAAACGCACCTGAAGTTCAGAAAATGTGGCTGATGCCAAAGCCACTCGAAGTTTATAGCTACTGCTTTTGTTCACTTTGTCGAGCTGAAACTTGATTTGCCATGTGGTTCCTTGATATGTATTATCATCTTTCTTCCTGAAAACAAGGAGAAAAAGCCAACGATGTTTTGTTTCAAATTTGCCACTGATAAATATAACGAATTCATAAAGCAAAACCAATTATGAATCTACTGTCTTTACCTAGTAACTTGAGCAAAGAACCAATCTTTGGTGTAGTCACTAACACCAACTGTGTAGATCAAGTCTTTGTCAGGGTATAGTTCAGCATATCTCTCCCATAACCCATATTGCCTAAACCTGCCAATTATAATCCACCATAACAATTATAGACAGATAGTCTCAGTCAATTTACAAGCTTTTACTGCATTTGCATGGGAAATTAATGTTGGTCCAATGGAATCAATGTTTGGCTTTTGAAAATATGATCATAATATAATAATGACCACGAAATCTTGCCCTGTACTTCCTAATCTAAATTTTCTGAACAGTCCTAGATTGAATTTGTAATCATACTGAAAGTTTAAGTTGAAACGTATACAAGAGACATAAAGGGTGACTAACTTGTCAGGATGATTAACATAAAGTTTGTTGATATATTTGGGGTTTGGATCAGGAACATAGAACTCAGCAGCTGAGCGATCAGGGATACCAATTTCCCACAATGTTGGACCATCTCTTGGAGGTTCATATACAAGGTCCCCAATGTCAATGTCACAACCTGTTTTCACATAAACCAAATATAAAATAGTTAATACGATAATTGTCAGTAAATTTAAAAATATATTTAGTTTGAATACCTTCTGTTATATTCATAACTACATCATATTTATAGTCACCGATAAATCCTGGCACCCAGGCGTAAACATTATAGTCGCCAGCATTTATATTGCTGATGGAGAAGTACCCATCATCATCTGCTTTAGCCCAGAATTGATAATTCTGATAACAATTAATAATGTAATATATCCATTAGCTAATGGTGTTTCTGTAGGCGTATTAAGATCATAAAACGGTACATTATACTGAAATGAGCATACTAAGAATAACGTTAACACTCATTTTTTTCCTTTTCAATTCACCTTGCATTCTCTTTGCCAAGATCCCACGTCTCCTGGTGGAGCCAAGCCAACATAGGCCCCTTTTGCTGATATATAGTCATCGGCTATATACCTATATATTTTATATGCCAAAATATAATTAATTGAAAACAAATCACATTTACTTTCAATGACCATAAAACTACCATAATACAAATGAAAAAATTTGCATTGCACTTATACTGCTACGATTATTCACTTAGTTCAGTCAATTTCACGAGCAGATTTAGGTGATTCTCTTTTGAAGTAATATTCAAAATCTTGATCACAAAAAATTATAATGACCAAAAATAATATCTAAAAACTATGGAATATATAAGAAACATGTGAGTACAGATTAAAAAAAAATTGAAAAAGCAAAATTTGCCTAATACATTATTTTATGAGAACACACCTCTCTCGAACCAATAGCCTGCCACTAACATTACCACGTTCGTCCCATTTTGGGAAATCCTCTGACTCAGGAAAATTGTAAGGCCAGCTTTGAACTTCCACCAGCATCTGTAAGTTTGGTTTGGTAGGTGCATGTATTAGTGTCACTATGTTAGCTATGTTAGAAAATCTAGGTATAAATATATAGGCTTAGATAAAGTAATTTTAAACCTGTAGTTTAGCATCTTCCCAAAGCTCAAGGGGGTCACCTCCATCATTCGAAGAATTTAAATAAATGAAAACTGGGCCAAAAACCTTCTTCCATGCCTCACCACCTTTGAACTTAGGCACCAGATCCTCTCCACTATAATGAGCACTCAGAAACACCTGATTATGTGATTTTGTAGCAAGGACTCTAAAGTCAGACCCAAGTCGCAACAATTGTATATTTGCAAAACATGTAACTATCACGTGCTATTGTCAATCGTAGGACGCAAACATGAACATGTTTGGAGAAATTAAGAATTGTATATTACACAAACCTTGAACACTTACAGCAAGTGTTGTAGGTCCCACATGTGAAGTTAAGTTTTGTTTGACGGGTCCACCGGATCGAAACTCATTGCTAGGCGTAATTAGCCAGAATCCCACTGCCGGATCCATGCAGATCCATCCATGAACTTGGCTATCTTTGTTGTCACATGAATATTGGTACTTGTCGTCCACCTACACGTAAATTCGACCAAATCATTATCCCAATAATAATTAAATACATCATCATCAACAACAATAAAGTCACGTAATTAACTATGCTCCAAAACTAATGATTACTCCCTAATAAGATCTCCTAAATACTAAAGTTATTTAAGAAATAAATTATTTATTTTTTAAATTAATAAAAAGCAATTATATATTATAAATTTGTTGTGTATTCCAAAATTATTTATAATAATAAATTGTTAAATTAGTATTTCATATATTTAATAAATAAGCATGTCTATTAATATTGATAATAAGTGAATGTCTCGTTGATATAACTCTTGTACTAAATAAGAATACCAAAAAGCTTAACAATGCATTTAAAAATGAGTTTTATTTCTTTTAATTACAAGAAAAAATTAATAATAATTCTTTCTTTCTAAAAATATCATAAGAATTACTTTAGTAATGGAGAATGTAAAATATTTAAAGTTATCGATCTATTAAATTTTGTAATATTATGTAACTTTTAATAAAAACTTATTATATATAAATTCTAATTGTATACTTTTGAATACGTGTTAAAAAAAATAATTTTTTTTTTTACATTAAGTGTGTTTTCTACTTGGACAATCTTATTTGAACTAAATTATTAGAGGCAGAACTTAAGAATGCAACCTAAGTTAGTCTATTTAATAATATTTATGCAAATGTCACGTAAAAATGTAATTAAAAATAGAAAATAGAAGGGAAAATTACAATTCCAACCCAAGATTACCTCTCCTTGAAGTTCTGGTTCGATAGGGTTGACAAGGAGAACTGCCTCTGGGTAGGCAAGAGCTTGGCCCCTGGGTGGTAATCGGTCATCTGGAAGAGGCATCTTTCTTTGTCTATTAGCTGCCATCGCCATATAATGGAACCTGTCAATACCACCGGGTATCCATGTTAACAATGTTAATTGATCATATTAGAGTCTATCTTTGCGGCTAAAAAAAATCACCTCATTTTTTTTGCTTATTTTTAAAAGTTTGAATCATAAATAAGGATGCTACTAATCAGTGCCTTAATGCTTGTTAATAAACCAACAAATAGTAATGTTTTAGCAAAAAATTCATTAAAATATTTGAGAATGAGTGTATTTTTATTTTTTTAACAAAATATTTTTTATTTCTTAACCAATACGTAAGATCATTTGTTAACATTTTCCAATAAATAATAAAAGAAATATTTTCACTATTTTTTTATAAACTTTTATAGATAAATATAAACTAAAAACAAGATAGTATTTTTATTTTGTCAAAAAAATATTTAGAATCTCTCCTTACTTGTCTTTTCTAAGCTTGAAAGCAATTCTTGCTTCATCAAGATTGAAAGCAGGCCAGTCCCCCAAGTGCTCAAATATTGCATAGGAGTAGAAGCCGTAAGAACCACGAAGCATTACGAACCTAGAATCACTCATTCAATTGATATGAGTTAGAATTTTCATTCTAGTTCCACAATCTTAACAACGTAATAAGACAATGATTGGTGTCACTTAATGACCTTTTATCAATATTTAAAGGAACCAACTTGCCCTCCAGAGAAGCATTCCACGTCCTGGTGAAGGATAACTCAACTTGGTCCTCATTTTCAACCATTACTTTGAAAGTGGTTCCCTTTATGCTGCAGTGACGTTTCACAATAACTACTTGTAACTTTCTTTAAGATATAGCATACATTGTTATAGTGGAAAGAAGAAAATGAAAACTCACACAATGAGTAATTTTTTTTTATAAAAACTTTTAACATTTAATGTTATCAATTTCTATTTTATAATTGTATCTTGTAATTTTTAATAAAAATTTACTATACATAAGTTTTTATTGTGTATCATTGATTACATAAAAAAATAAAAAAAAGAAAAGAAGATAGACATACACATCAAATATACCAGTGGTTCCTGTACTTGCCGGTGAGCTCCAAACAATGTCCCAATACCTACATCACAGATTTTTGTATTACTGATAGGAATCCCAAACGAAGTTCCTTAATTTGTAACAATAACTACGACTACCCTCTATTAGATTCCTCATTCAAAATTTCAAGCAAGTTATCGATGCCATTATACTGTATTCCAGTCACAATTCCCTCAGGATTTGATAAGGTGACTCTTAGTATGCCATTGTCCATCACCACCTGCACATGAAATTAATTTAATTACTTTGAACATGAATAAATTTTTTAAAGCATAGCGAATAAGAATTTCATATAATAATTAACAACATCTACTTCAGACTAACACAAAAATTATTAAGATATATGGAAGGAAAAAAGAAATTCACAAGATAGGGATTTAAATACATGATGATCTTGAATACTAAGTTGCACTCCAATTGGCAGCATGATGGCACGTGCAAGGAAACAGATAAGGGTGCAATGAAAGTCTCAAAGATTCAGAATAATTTGAGAGAATTAATGGCTGAGAATTGATCTTATAATGTGAAGAAAGAATGGGCTTTATATGGTACCAAAGGCTGGTTTTGAAGCAGTGTCTGGAGAAAAACCGTTTGTGCTTATGTTACACTACTCAGCAATATGCCAACAGAACTTGGAGTCTGAGCACTTAAATAAATTAGTTTAGTTTCCTTGAACTAGAGAGAAAGCATTCTTTTGAATCTCTTTACTTGGTCGCCAAAGTTGTTAGGTGTCTACGGAGTATTAGATAAAAGCGTGTGAGTGAAGGAACATTCAGTCACGTAATATAAGGATAAAAATATTGGATTTATTGCTTGTTTTGGTTTCGTTCATTTGCTATTAGTTCATTGGAAATTTTGAGCCGCATCCTCGCTTTACCGCTTAGTTTTCTAAAAGTTAAATAAACTTGATACATTATGAATCCATGTAAATTTTATTGAGCTTTTTAATTTAACTTTGAATTGATTAATGTCAAATATATAGTTTTGTTCTTTAAACATGCAAAGGTTTTCTTATGCTAGGTAGGTACACTAAACGAAGCTACTGCATTTACCATCTCCGCAGGCTTGATTGGTTACTAGACCTCTATATGTACTACTCATAGTCAAATACAATTAGAGCTTGTTTGGAACGAGGAGTTGATTTCAATTGAATGAAAAAATATCGCAGCCACTCAACCTGATTTATAGCTTGTTTTTCATCGTTGATTTTATCTAAAGACTCGTTTTTTATTGGATAAACTGATTACCAAACAGGCTCTTAGTAATTGAAAATACCGTTAGCTTAATTACCTACCCTCTCGACGGGCTTTATTGTGTCGGAAATAACAGAAAGCCAACCATGTACGCCTTATGAGCCTTCCGACAGCTACCTGAATAATCTTTTTTGGGCCATATACTCACCTTTGTATCCTTGAATATCTAAATAATAATGGAAATATTTTTTGTACCACTTTAGGGATAGCTTTTATGTATCTCTTTTATAGTTAGAATATAATTTTAGGATCCATGTATACAGAAAAGACAAAAAAAAAAGTGAGATAAAAATAATTATAGACAATTTTTAGTAACTCAAATAACAAAACTGAATTAATAATTCGTATAACAGCAAAATATAAAACGTTTATTAGAATTTGGAAGTGTTATGTCGTGTTTTATTTATTATTATTATTTACTTTAATTTTCCTGCTGACGTTCAGAACCCAGGGTGAACTTCCACATTATTCAAAACGGGCAGCATAAAACCATGTTCTATCTGCTGGTTACATGGTGAACAAACATAAATATGAATTTATTACGTGTAAAGGTATTCCAGAACCTTTGTACACTCTATAAACTACAGAAAAGGAAATATAATAATAGGTATACAATGGTCAGACAAATACGTTCCAATATGATGAAAATGCATTTATTTCCCAAGGTTGACTTAAGTTTCTGCTTTGAAACAAGGTGGCCCTTCCAAACGAATATAATCATACATGAGCCCCTGAAAGGGACTGGTGCATCTTGGTTGCGTAAAATATATAGTATTCGTGCCATCAATAAGAAGAGAACATGGTATATTCACATGGTATAGCCAATAGAGTCCATGTATTCCATGTCTTGCAATTGAGTTGTCCCTTCCTATTAATCCACTGGTAAATAGGGGTCGCCTTGAATTGGGATCGTTTACTCGAATCTTCATAGACAATGCATACAGGTCAGCAGAAAATTTTAAGAGGTCAAGTACTTACATGTTACATTATATCAAACGAGGCCATGTGTGTTTTAGAGAGTAAAAAAGGCAAGGGAGTTTACCTGCAATTCAGCTAGTGTTGCAGATGCAAGTGCGACTCTCAGTTTGTATGTACTTCCCTGAACCACACCACTGACTTCGAACTTGATTTGCCAAGTTGTTCCTTGATGAGTGTTATCCTCTCTTTTTCTGCAGTTGCACAAGCTTGAATTAATGTATTAACTCAAAGAATTCCAACTATAATAGATGAAGTGGGGCACTATAATCTTCAGCCATTTTATATAAATAATAATATTCGAAGAATCAGACCTGGGAGCCTGAGCAAAAAACCAATCCTTCGTATAGTCACTAACACCAACTGTGTATACCAAATCTGCATCAGGATACAATTCTGTATACCGGTCCCATAATCCATACTGCCTGAACCTGCAAGTTGAGAGAAAAAGGGAAGATCTTAGACAAGATCAACTGGCGTCTCAAGGAAACATTTCAACGCATGTAAAAGGCAAAATGCAAAGTTTGATGATAATTTCAGTATATGCACCATTTCATAATACGTATAGTATAGATTCAAAATTAAGCAAATCCTATTTAGGAATATAATGCGTAACAGAGCTAACCTGTCTGGATGGTTGATAAAAAGCTTATTAATATATTGAGGATTGGGATCTGGAACGTAAAATTCTGCAGCAGATCTATCAGGAATACCTATTTCCCACAATGTGGGACCATCCCTTGGAGGCTCATATACAAGTTCACCCAATTCCATATAAGAACCTGCATTGCAAGTTTAGTAAGCATAGATTATTTTGCAAGATGACAATCGGAAAAATGATTTCCACTTTGACCAAGCTAAGGAACCTGAAATTATCCTCATTAAATCATTAAATCTGTAGTCCCCCACAAAACCAGGTACCCAAGCAAAAAGGTTGTAGTCGCCTGCTCGTATATTTCTAATAGTAAAAAATCCATTCTCATCTGCTCTGGTCCAGAATTGATAGTCCTGGCAGGATTAAAAATTAAATAATCATCTAGAAAAGAGTTCTATGGAGCACCCTAGCATTCTTTTAATTATTTTGATTTGCACAATTTATGTTTTTCAAAAGAAAAGGAAACAAGGTTATGCTTCACATAACTTGCAAGATCATCATCCCAAATGCAAAAAGAAAATGACAGTCGAGCATAAACTACAAAAGTACAGCCTATGCAACTAAAACATTTGGTTTCAATAGGTCAGGGAAGAACACCTTGCATTCTCTTTGCCATGACCCTGCATCCCCGGGTGGGGCCAGACCAACATAAGCACCATTTGCTGATATTAAGTCTGTGCAGATGTACCTAGACATAATAATTAGAACAATTCTCTCAAATACACCAATATAAGGAAAAAAACCACAAAAGGTAAGTGAGAACATCTTTTTTTTTTTTTGCATATTACAAAAATAACAGAAATAATTTAATAAAAAATTGTAGCATTTATGCATCTCCCCACCTCCCTTTCCAAAAAATAAAAATAAAAAAATCCTTGCAATTATCAATAACTTGGAAATTTGTAATAGAATTAGGAAAACTATGATTGTGTTCCAAGCACCAGCATAACAATAAGATATACATCCAACAATTCCCTCAAGAACAATTAAAATAATATCTTACATACTTACCTGTCTAAGACAAGCAATCTGCCACTTACATTCCCCCGTTGATCTGATTTTAAAAAATCCTCTGAAGCTGGGAAAACATATGGCCAACTTTGAACTTCATTCATCATCTGAATATTAATTCAAATTAGTCTTTATCTTACAATTTCTTCATTCAATCGTCTATACAATCTACCTTCTAACAACAAAAATACAAGAGATACACGGGCAAACCTGTATTTTTGCATCCTCCCATAGCCAAAGTGGGTCGTCACCAGTTGATCCAGAATTAAGATAAATATATACAGGACCAAAAACCTTCTTCCATGGTTCACCACCTCTAAATCTGGGCACCAAATCTTGTCCCGCATAGTGACCGCTAAGAAACATCTAATGATGCCATGTTAATAAATAGGTTATAAGAGCAAAGAATCATGACAAATGATCTCAGCTAGTGATAACACAACATGATCGCCAAGTGAGAAAATCGTCATCTAGATCTGTTCACTTACTGCAAGTGTTGTGGGGCCTACATGTGAGGTCAAATTCTGTTTGACAGGTCCACCAGAACGAAACTCATCACTAGGAGTTATCTGCCAGAATCCCACTGGTGGACTGAAAGATATCCACCCATGAACTTGATTATGTATGTTTTCACATGAATATTGATACTTGTCATCCACCTGTGATTTAGAATCAAATAAAAACACAACAAAATACCTCATATACAATCAACTATGCAAAGGAAATAATCTCTTTCTCCTCTTAGACTAGCCACATGAAAAATTATGTGAGTGCCACTCAAAACTTGCCAGGTTGATCAACTACTCCATGTGTTTGAACTCCAAATAGTTTTTTTCTAAATAAGATGCAGTTTAGAGCAATTAATTCTGAATGAACTAATTTTGGAAGAGGAAAATGTTTGTCAAAAAGAAATTTAAGGAATGTGGTTTATTTTGGATAGTGAGATTAAATTGCTTTATGATCTCAAATTACTAAAAGGGTATACAAAATAATTGTTTAAAGGATTTAATTTAGTTCCCCCCTCCTCCTGTTGAGTTTCAGTAGCATTTTTCCATTCTCTGGTTTCATTCTGTTAAACTGCAAAATTGTAACTTTAACAAATAGAAGTTACAAAAATCAATTAAAGATTCCTGTACTCTCCTAAAACAAATGTTCTCCTTGTTAAAAGTTAGGAACAGACATGTCTTGATGTATAAACCTTCCAATTTAAAAGATTATAGCGTGAATAAGCTCTTTCAAAGTTGACAAAACCAAAAAAGACACAAGAATATAACAAATATGTTAATGGAGCAAAGTGACAAAGTTGAAACATAGAACAACAACAACCAAACCTTATTCATGTGAGGTAGAAAGTTGAAACACACATGGTGGCAAAATGATACTCCGCAAACCAGATGGAGTAAATCAAATTTAACCATATTTTAATGACATGAGTAGAGACAAATTGTAAAACTATGTGGCATATGGGTAAGAATGAATTTGGCTTTGAATTGATACTCAAACCATTTGAAGAATAGACATTTTTAGCTTCAATTAGCTAAACAACCTACTATCACCCAAACGATATCTAACACTGAAAAATTAAATCTTTACTTCAAACGTCAGTTTCAAATGTAAAATAGGACATGCCTACATGGCTTAAATAGACTACTAAGGTAAAATAGAATTAGAAGCTTTTACAAGATAACAACCATGCCAGAGGAAACATGTGTGATAGGTACCTCTCCTTTCAATCGTGGATCCTTGGGATTGACTAGTAGGACAGCTTCTGAGTAGCCCAAGGTTTGGCATCTTCCAGGCAAGCGATCTTCTGGAAAAGGCATAATCCTTTGCCTATTGTCTGCCATAGCCATGTATTGAAACCTATATACTTTATTGTTAAATGGTATGAATATCCAAAAATAGAAAAGGATTGCCTGTTGTTCGCAATGACCATCTCCATTAATGTTTTAAAACTCACATTACCAAAGATCTAGAAAGAGAATACGCTCATCTTATTCTGTCCCTGGATTTGTGAAATAAACTGATATTGGGAATTGCAAATACGATTTTGTCTATCCTATTCTCCAGGTGCATAGGTTAAGAAGCCAAAAAAATAGAAATTTTTGTATGTAATTAATTATTTTTATGTTTTCAATGTAATAAATTACTTCTTTTCTAGCAAAATTCTTATTTTTGACCTTTTAACCAATACACCCAACGTATAGAATAGAAAAATCATCACTTAATTATATGCGCATGCTACAACTAAAACAAGAATGAGAAACATAAGGAGAAACATTATGTGTGTGCACCCAAACCCACATAATATAATCAGTAAATTTACTTGTCTTTTCTAAGCTTGAAAGTGATCCTCGTTTCACTAAGATCAAAATCTGGCCATCCATTTAAGTGCTCATAAATTCCGTAAGAGTAGAAGCCTGATGAACCTCGGAGCATTATGAATCTGAAATTTACCATTTCACAAATTTTTATCCTGCAGTTATATTTCAAAAAGGTAATGATGCACAATTTAAGCAAGGACCTTTTGTCAATATTTAAGGGGACAAACTTTCCCTCAAGAGAAGGATCCCACATTCTTGTGAATGAAAGCTCGACCTGTTCCTCGTTTTGAACTATAACTTTAAAACATGTTCCTTTAATCCTGAACCATAACATGATAACATACACTCTAGTTAATTGTAAACTTTAATTGGCAAATGCAATTGAATGTATCTTTATGTAGAATTTGACTTGTTGGAATATTGAAGACATTATGTAGTTACAAAAGAAAGTAGCATTGCCATACACATCAAAGATTCCTTTGCTTCCTGGTGCACTCCAAACAAGGTCCCAGTACCTAAACATTCAATTGAAGGAAAAATCAGCTTTCAGCGTAAAAATAAGTGAGAGCTGCCTCTGATTTCCTCACTATCAGTAAGAAATATACTTTTCTTCTAAGAAAAGATGTAAAATACACTGTTATCTACAAGGCACATCAAATTTCATTTCTCAACCATATTCACGTTGCCTAGTGTAACTCTTGCTCTGTGTCATGGAAAAAAAAAGTAAATTTGTTACTGCCTATCAGCTTGAATTCTTGATTATTTCCTACTTCATTTAAGCATTTCACTTTGAAAAGCTGGCTACTCTATTCCACAACAAGATAGATGTTTGTGGTTGTGAGAGAGAGGGAGAGAGATGAGAATCATACATCACAACACACAAGGACCACATACCCTCTATTAGACTCCTTGTTGAGAACTTCAAGTAAATTGTCAACACCATTAAATCGTATCCCAGTGACAATCCCATCGGGATTTGATAACGTAACTTGGAGTATGCCATTGTCCATCACCACCTGCATATGCGAGTATTAAAATAAGTATGTGAAACATAAAAATAACTAACAGTGTTAAACAACACAAGGTTTTCGTTTTGCTCAAGGTTATCATAAAATGTTTGAACACATTTAATTAGTCATTGAACTTCGTAGAGGACACTTTATTGTGTTCCAACTTTTTTAGCTTGATGATGTGATATGGTTTTTAGGGATGGTTCTTTGAAGGATGGTTTTTGCAGTAACAAACTTTTGGATTCATAAACCTTATGAGGTGTGCAAGAACTTGAGGCAAAACCAACCTTGTGATTCTTGCAGAGAACAAACAAGTATGAGACAATTCCCTTTGAAAGGGATGATGCAAGGAGCAGTGGGCATGAAAAGAAGTGAGGTCTATGGGGGTTTTCTGTATCCAAAAAGGAGTCCAGCCTACCATCTCTTATTCCCTATTTATATCCCTTTGTTAAGGTGTCAATTAAGACAAAAATCATTAATAGGTGATAGGGACATGAGTCATTGCACGAGCTTTTATTGACCAGCATGCCTTCTACTCAACCTTTCCTATCATGCCTCCACATGCTTATCACGGTTTCCTATAGGGAAAATAAGTCATACATTCAAAAGGCTCGCCAATCTACTCTATCATCTACAACCTTCCCAGTAGAGTGTCAAAATGTTTTGGAATCGTTCTCTGCGGTTAAATGCTCTTGGAAGAGAGATTTTAGACATCCTAATTTATAAGATGTGCTAAGCAGAGTTGAGAAATTAAGGAGAAGGTGCCTTTACTTGCGGCTTTGGCTGTGAATGAATAGACATGACAAAGACCATAGAAAGAGATGATCAAAAGAAAATCATCAAGAGTTGATTGAGATATTTTATGGAGGGATGAGTGTTATGCCTTGGGCAACGAACAAGCATGTTTTTCAAAGAATCAAGGTAGATATTTGTCAAGCAACTTAAGTGAACGGACATAAGCTGAAAAGGGCATGACAAGTGGGTGCGAGTGAAATTCATTTTGGAGCAAGTTGCCGCACTTGGGAGACGGTGGTCTAAAAAATCTTGTGGTTTGGTTGCTCTCACATATTTCCTCCTCTCCTATAGCCGTTGTGTCATTTTCCCTGAGAGCTTAATATGCTCATGTGAAATAAATCTATCCAAAAGCTTGTCAAACCACATGACTGCTTCAAGTTCCCACTCATCACCTGAATTTTGGTTCCAAAGCTTCATCTTACACCTTAGTCACCCGAAAGCAGTTTCTCTCATAAGTCAAGCTGGCCTTCTAGTCCCTTTGAGATTGTTTTGCCTATAGGCTCTCACTGCAAGTAGGACTCTAAAAGATATATTTTCATAATGCAATTAAGCATACAAATACAATACAGGCATTCAAAAAAAGTTATTCAAGTAAAAGAATTTTAAGGTTACATACAATGGAATCAAAGTTTCCTGTAAAGTAATTTAACTTAAATTCTGGTGATAGGTAAGCTGCACATAATCGAATTCAAGTATAACAAGTATATTCAAGGTTTTACATTGAAGCCAAGATACAGAAACAACGAGAAAAAGGCACGAGTAAACTTACATGGTGATCTTGGATGTGCAACCGTACCCCTGGGCCAGACATGGCGAATCCTTGCTTTTCTTTTTACGACCTTGCAGATAACAGAAGGTATCTGAGTCAGGGTTGAGAATTCCAGCAAAGTTAAAAAGAAATGGAACTGCATAAGGAAACATAGCTATTCGTATCAATTTCAATGCCTGAATTTCTAATGATGTCTTTAAGTTTCAGAAAGAATAGTTTTCTGCTTCAACAAAAAACGTGTAGACGTGAAATCCTCATTTGATTCCTTCGGAAGTGAGTGATTTAACAACAAATTAGAGAAGCATACACTTGTTTGACGAGTTACTGTGAGAGAGATTTCAAATCTATATATTTGAAAAAAATGCACCGAGCAATCAATATCGTTCATGAATTACTCCACAATTGATGAACAGGAAATAGGAATGATGGGGATACATAGACACGTGTCACACGCCTGAGAGTTTGAAAATAGGCGATGGCATTGGAGTAAGCGCATAACCGAAAACAGAGCCAGAAAACATAACGCTCTACCCGCTGCCTTGTGTTTTCTTATTCCAGACAAATAGTTGTCTTATTATAAACAAATGCTAATGGATAATCCTATGATATTAGTTTAAAAAAACAAAAAACTATTAAAAATATTATTGGATACATATTTATTTTTATTTTAATACATTTTAAAAATTATTTCTTCAGCAAAATTTATATTTATATAAATAATATTTATTTCTGCAAAGTATTTATAAACATTATAACAAAGTTAACACTCATTTGGTATTTTTTTTTTATTTTTTGCCATTTAAGATTTTATATAAAATTAAAATAAATATATATTTAATTTTTTACAAAAAATATTTAAAACTTCAATTATATATAAAAAATACTTCAACTAAACACAAAATAATAAAAAAAATGGAAAAACTTGTTCATTAATTTTTTAAAATAACAATAAAAAATAAGCATAACAAAATTACCAAAGTGTAAAAAAAAAAAAAATTTTATTTATTTTAATTTTTTTGCCACATTATATCATTCATTTTTTTTGTATAAACAAAATAAAGTTCTTAGGGCTGAATTTAAGCATTCTTAATAAAAAAAAATTATAAAAAAAGTATACAGTTATTAGATTAAAGTTATAAAAATAAAATAAATATTTTTTTAATAAAATTTTATTATTATTAGTTATTTATCCATAATTTTGACGAATGAGGTTAACGAAACCCTGTAAATAATGCAAAGAATATCTACCGGACATTTTTATATAAAAGAGAGACAGTGAGCGTTGGTGAAAAAATGTAGAGGAGGATCGTAAATAGAGGGGGGGAAAACAAAAAATGTTATGAAAAAATATTATAAAAATAGTATTATTCAACTTAAAAAAGGGAGGCCATGCGAAAGGAAGGAATGGAAAGGAAAATATGACACAATGTTTGATCCAACGAAAGGGAGTAGAGAAAAAAATGTTATTATTGTACAATTAATTCAAGGATCATGGAAATTGACATTTTGAAATTGATATTTGTTTTTTTTTACCAATGCCAATTAATTTGAATTGTGTATAAAACTCTTCCAAACTTATGTTTTGATTTTAAATTTTTGTTTACCCAACCCATATTCGAATAGAAAAACAGGCACAGAGACTCGAACACACTGCCGAGGAACACTATTCAAACCCGCTCCGCGAAATGAAAAGTCTGTCGTTTTTCTTCTTTCAGGCTGAGTTCAAGGAAATCATTGAAAAACCTACAAGTTGAGCAGTTCACATTACTGTGGATAAAGAAAAACAGGACAAATAAACACAGAGGTTGTGCGTTTATTTTGGAAATTTTCGCTATAAGTGATATATCTGTAACAGTTACTGATTAGGCTCTTTATTTGAATTGACATTAATCTATGTAAATTTACGTTTTTTTAATAGACAGACGCGGATAAATTTGAAGTATTCTATATTAAAGAGTGACGTTGATTGCATCAAGAAAAATAACACTTTCTGGTAACACTTCTCAAATACACAGCTCTATTATTGCATAAAATTCACAATGTGTCTTGCACAAACTAGAATAAAATTTTTCCCTTTATCTAAAACGATTTTGCATTGATGTAAAAGAGACGCAGTTCCTTCCAACACGAACTAGACAATTGGAGGATTAAAACGAATAGCAACCTTTGTAAGGAATGACTCATATACTTACCTCTTGGTTCTTGGCAGTTCTTCCCATCCAATACTGAAACTACAATAATTTTAAAGAAAGCGCATAACAACTCAATATACGACAATGACAATGCCGGTGTGTTTTCATGCACTGGTAAAGTATTATATCTCAAAAGACTTCTGTTGTATGCGAATAAATTATACAGGGAAACCAGATTTACACTAATCATGTATCCTCTCCGCTGCTAATGCACATTGCTGAGCTCTGTCTTTCTCTGGAAAAAAATAGATCCAAGGATAACAGCGATACCAGTGATTGCTATTGTGAAAAGAAGACGTCTTCTTGAGAAATCATTCTGCTGCCGTCTTCGAGCACCCCTATCTCTTTCAGCTGGCCGCACATTCCTTCACACAAAAATTAGAAGTAAATTAGTTCAAGTTAAAGAAAATACAGACCCCTTTCATCAATGACCTACAACTACAAGGTTAACCGTGCAACTCCTCTGGCGAGATAAGACTTTTTTTTATTAATAAATAAAATAAAAATAGACGAAATGACCATTTTAGTCCTCTAAAGATAACTTGGCATCAGTTTGGTCACCTCACCCAAGTAAGATAAATGACATTAAATTAGTCCCCCGAAGATAAGCAAACTTCTGCAGATTCCACTTTAGTTTACCTTGGACTAACAATAAATCCCCAACATTTTAAAACAGATCAAAAGAATTGTGCACACATTGTAATTGTTTAATGATACGCCTCAACTAAAGAGAATCTTAATGTATTATAAGCAGGAGAAGAGAATGCAAGCTTATTGTATGAAAAGCAATAAGAAAGCCAATAAGTCAATAACTAAGTCACTTCCATTAAGCAATGCGTCCATTAAACAAAAACAGTTGCAACGCCTAATGACCAAAACAACAACACACGTTTGGAAAGAATCTTAATTTTCTAGAAGCAATATTAATAAGTAAGAATAACTAAATTTAGGAGGTACTTTTTCCTTGGGGAAGGGGTTTACATGAAAACATAATCTATTCAAGTTAATCTTTAGGGGAATATAGCAAGTATTAACTCCACAACCAATAAGCACCAATACAAGATAGTAAAATAATGCATTTAATACATGCACAGATGGACCAAAATTAAAAGAAACTAGTAAGACAGTAAGATATACACCCATCCATTATGCCTTAGAAAGACTATCAGTTACATTAAAAAATTATTTTTGAACAGCGCAAGTTTATTTTTTATTATTTTTGGGGAAAAAAATATTTTTCAAGGCTCTCTTCAAGGATCTTCAAATTAGAAGCTGTTTTGAGCACAAAATAAACTAATCCAAAATCCAATCACACTGATGTGCTTCAATCAAAAGATGACATTTCCTACCTTGAAGTCCCCACAGCATTGCTTTGGATTCTTGTGCAATTATTTTCATGGTTGTATTTTTCACGTAGTCTAACATATTTGTTACAAAGGTGACAAAGTTCTGTTCGATTCCCACATACTTCCTGAAAGTTATAAAGACCCAACTGAAATTAGTACCAAAGTACATTGATTAATATAACCTTAATTCAAAAGTTCTTTATTAACGCTACCTGATGCTCAGCCAGATCAATAGCTGGCAAAGGGAACTCACAGAACTCACAGGTGACAATTCTTCGGGGGCATTTTTCGTCTTTATGGATTTCTAAAATATCACGTTCCATTGTCTCACTGCACAACGAACAAGCAACCTGCACAAAGTGACATTTTCTTTTGAAAACCTATGCAAGAGGGAATTTTAAATCTGATTTCATAGACTGATTCATAGTGTGCGGCAGCCTTTGGGGAGAGAAGGGGAACCCCTGAAAAGGAACTGATAGCCTCGTTTACCATATGGAATAATGAGTTGACATTCCAAGTTTCACACCTTTATGATACAACAGACACCTTCATATTACATACATGATACACGTAACTGTAAAAAATAGGACTGGCTCAAAAAATTATACACTTCTTACTAAAATTTTTTGGCCTTGATTAATGAAAATTAAAGTCAGGTTTGCTAAATAGGAGAAATTGAAAGCCATAATAAAGCTGCTTTAATAAGTAATCTTATGTCTCTGAGTACCAAAGCTTTACCCACCATGCTATCAACTGCATAAAAAGTATCAAAGCCCTTATTTAAGAAACTGCAAAACATTGTAGAACCAACTCCCAATTTTCAAAACCCAAATATGTGAACGAAAGTACAAATTACTCGACAAAATCATTAAGAAACTGAAAGATTATTCACATGAATGTCCTTCAAAATATAAATATTTTTGTAAAGGGGAGTTATTCAGAGAACAATCAGGACATCCCAGAATCCTTTTTAGGAGAACATGTTTCAGATCTCCAACAAGTTCAAACAATGAAACTTGACACCCAGCACTCAAACACATTCAAACTGCCTTGATACTAAATTTCTAAAACCTAAAAGCCCTGATAGGAAAGGAGAGAGGTAGCAGCTCATGATGCAGAAGATGGGTTCTTCAGCGTGAATAAAGAAAAGAGAGAAGTTGCAAACGTTTTTTGAAGTATAACAACTTTGCCACTTCAGTTCCATCGTTTCCGTTTCTAAAAATTCTCACAGAAAGTGTTGAAAACACATTTTACTTATTCTCAATTTTGAGCCCATTTTCTGAAACATCTTCAAAAAAATGTTTTATAAGATATAATCAACCGTATTTTTTTTATTGTGTTTTCTGTTTTTCATTGAAAATGAAAATAGAAAATAGGCAAACCGAACATCACAAACTAATTTTTAAAGTTATTGTTACAAACTAATAAGGTCACAAAAAAACTTATTAAAATATAAATTTGAAACCTAGTAACCAGATAGTTCTTTATTTAATTAAATTTTAAATAATTAATTTAGCTAGAGTTATTGATTTAAATGATTGTCGGTATATACAAGCTTAATGGACATTACTAAGCTGATGAAAAACATAATAAAACTGAATAAATGAAAAACATGCTAAAGATAAAATTCCTACATAAGGAACCATCATACAGAAATTTTTAGAGAAAGATAGGGGATAATAAGAGCATAGACAAGTGACAGAGTTTATTGGGTTTCACTTTATGAGTTGGCACGATCAGTTAGTCCGTTACATCTGCAGTGTAAGAGGCCTTACACACTCCATAAGACGATAAACTCAAAACTACAGTTTGGCAATTCCCTCTTGAAGAAGTGAATATCCAAGATATCTAACCATCATAAACAGAATAGATCTAAAAATCCCAACCCATTAAACATGTTATCATAACAGGTTGAGTTGGATTGGACGCTAAATGAATTAATGGATCATTTTCCACCCCATACGGATATTGTCAAACCCATTTTATTTTGGTTCAAATAAGTGCCAAATTAGTAACTAACTGTTACAGAGACATCACCTTTACACCCATAAATACTTCTAAATAAATTCACAATCTCTTGTAATTAACTTTTCTGTTTCTGTTTATCACCAAATAACATGAACTTCTCAACTAATAGGTTTCACAGTAAGTTTTTTCGAACCGGGCGTGGAAGGAAAAACAAAACAAGAGAAAAGTTCTCATACCGGCGCATGGGTGTTTAAATAGTGTTCCTCGGCATGTTGCTTTGGAACCATGTCACCACAAACTTTGCATTTTTGAAGGTTACGGGAGCAATGGGCATAATGCAAATCAATGTTCGCAGCAGGGATTGCCCGATCACTAATACCATAAAAGAAAATCACGATTAAGTTTCTTGAGGACAAAGCACAACCACATAATTTACACATTCAATAAAAACAAAACATCGCCCCAAAAGAGAAAAATAAGAAATCAAGAATCGTACAACATATATATGGGAGAAAAAGATTAATAAACATCAGCATGGTTTTCATCGCCCTGAAGTCCTAACACCCAAACCACTCGAGAAAACCATAAACAATTCAAAAAATTGTAAAATTACTTTTACCAATGAAACAAACAATCCAATTAGCCATAATATTCAGCTTAGAGGAAGTAAATCAAGAACGTAAAACTCAAGCAACAAGGCCTAGTTCACAAATTCGACGATGGTAAATAATTGGAGATCATTGCATCGTTTACCAGTGAGTGCATGTACTAGTGGGTTGATCGGATACAGCTGCCATGTGGTAGAAACAATAAAATCAAAGAAAACGTGGTTGTACGAGCAAACTTGAAGAAAATGGAGATTTGATTCGTCTTGTCGAAGAACTTCGGTTTTGAAGACTTTTTGGGGTTAAATATATGATTGAAGAAAGTAATTAAGGCGAGGGAGCCAGCAACAACCTACCATTTTAATCAACTTTGGGCCATATGGGCTTCGCTCTCTCCATTTATATGTCTGGGCCCCTTAATCACAATGTTAATATTTGACTTTTAATGAAGTACAATTTGCTGAATCGATCCAATAAAAAAATGTACAATTTACTAAGACCTCAAAATAAGCACAACTGTTCAAATGGTCACATGATACTAATTTAGAATAGCTTCATTATTAAGAACTAAATAACACCAATCTTTTCACAGCAACCAATAATAAAGTAGGGAAAACAAAACACCACATATTTTTATCTTAAATTTTAAAAAATTTCATATTGTGATTTAGCTATTTAGATAATAAGTCTACAATAAAAAAGAACGCTAACTTTTTAGACCAATCAAATCATTCTAAAATAATGTTTGTTATTAAAATATGATGTTAAATGATATTAATATTATATTATATTATAATAATTTATTATTTTATCTATCATATAAAAAAAAATATATTTTTAATTATCATCCATCTAACTGCAATTAAATTTTTAAAAATTATAAGTATTGACGTCCGTTTGTTTAACGACTAATCTGATTTTACATTATTTCTCATGTATTCAACCAATATTGCCAATTCGGAAATTTAATATTGATTAACCCAGAGAAACGGTAATAGCATTTTTTTTATAATTATTAATATAAACATTTTCGTTGTCAATTAAATAATATTATAAATTAGTAATTTTTAATAATATAATAATTTATAATTGAATAATACTATAACTTTGTTCTACATTATTAGAATATTTTAATTAATTTTCTGAAAAATAAAAGTATTTATTAACAAATCTATTAATTAACTTTTATATGTAATTTTTGAATACTAATTCTTAAAATCATTTCATTTCTACAAGTTTTTCAAATATAAGTTATTTCCCTTTTGCATGATAGCAAGTACTTTTTTACATTAAATACTTCTTTCAATTTTATATTAATTAAAGTTTTATATATTTATATTTTTAATTAAATTTTTATTATAATAGATTTATTTTAAATTATTAAATTAAAAAATATTTTTTAATTATTAATTTCAAAAAGTTTAAATTTAACAATATCATGCAATCAAAGGAAAATTTACTAGTGCAAGGAAAAGTGGGCATCACAAGATTGCAAGCCCAGTCCATCAGATGTTTTGACAAACACAACGAATATCGGATAAGCTTCATCCACTTCCCTGTCTCGGACCTCGCTGATATCCGTTCTTCACACATTCTTGGTGGAACCTCTCAATCTCAACCATTACTCAAGTGTTGTAAATTTGGTGAAAAGCAATGGATTTGATGGCACCCCACGAACACCTTTCTTCATTCCACCACTTCCACATAGACGGCGCAACCACCAGAGGTAGGGTTTGGGACAACGCTCTTTCTCGCCCTTTCATTCTATCAGCTGATACTGTTACTCATTTTAGAAAACCCAATGCCACTGGGTCTAGAAAGCATTCGTGCAATCGCGTTTTTGCCGTTTCGAACTTCGAAACTTCTGGTTTGAATGGTAGATTACAACACATTGTAAAATCCCCAAACGGGGATTTGAATGGCATAGAATCTTCTACTAATGGGATTAACGGTTCTCGAAATTTTGATGAGTTTGTGAGTAACAATCATCTTAGGAAGTTAGTTAGAAATGGGGAATTGGATGAAGGGTTTAAGTTTTTGGAACACATGACTTACAAAGGGGATATCCCTGATGTCATTACTTGCACTAGTTTGATTCGTGGGTTTTGCAAAACTGGTAGGACTAAGAAAGCAACACGAATTATGGAAATTCTAGAGAATTCTGGTGCTGTTCCTGATGTGATTACCTACAATGTTTTGATTGGTGGTTACTGCAAATCAGGGGAGATAGATAAAGCCTTGCAGGTTTTGGAGCGGATGAGTGTTGCGCCCGATGTTGTTACCTATAACACGATTTTGCGTAGTTTGTGTGATAGTGGGAAATTGAAGGAAGCAATGGAAGTTCTTGATAGGCAGCTGCAGAGGGAGTGTTATCCTGATGTGATTACTTACACTATTTTGATTGAAGCAACTTGTAAAGAGAGTGGAGTTGGTCAGGCAATGAAGCTGTTAGATGAGATGAGGAACAAAGGATGTAAGCCTGATGTGGTTACTTTCAATGTTCTTATTAATGGTATTTGCAAGGAAGGTCGGTTGGATGAAGCAATTAAGTTTTTGAATAACATGCCGTTGTATGGTTGTCAACCTAATGTGATTACCCATAATATTATTTTGCGTAGCATGTGCAGCACTGGAAGATGGATGGATGCTGAGAAGCTTTTGGCTGACATGCTTCGAAAAGGCTGTTCCCCTAGTGTTGTTACTTTCAATATCTTGATTAACTTCTTGTGCCGGAAAGGCTTACTGGGTAGAGCCATTGATGTCTTGGAGAAGATGCCAAAGCATGGTTGTACCCCAAATTCCTTGAGTTACAATCCATTGCTTCATGGTTTTTGTCAAGAGAAGAAGATGGATAGAGCAATTGAGTATTTGGAAATAATGGTGTCAAGGGGTTGTTACCCGGATATAGTGACCTATAATACTTTGCTTACAGCGCTATGCAAAGATGGGAAGGTGGATGCTGCGGTTGAAATACTGAATCAACTAAGTAGCAAAGGATGCTCTCCCGTTTTAATTACTTATAATACAGTTATTGATGGGCTTGCAAAGGTTGGAAAAACAGAGTGTGCTACAGAACTGTTAGAAGAGATGTGCAAAAAGGGTCTTAAACCTGATACAATAACGTACTCGTCATTGCTTCGGGGACTTATTCGTGAAGGAAAGGTTGATGAGGCTATCAAAATTTTCTATGATATGGAAGGATTAGGTATTAGGCCCAATGCCATCACTTACAACTCAATCATGACAGGACTTTGTAAGGCTCAGCAGACTAGTTGCGCTATTGATTTTTTGGCTTATATGATAGCAAAAGGCTGTAAACCCACTGAAGCTACATACACCATTCTTATAGAAGGCATTGCTGATGAAGGATTAGCTGAGGAAGCTTTGGAGCTGTTGAATGAGTTGTGCTCCAGAGGATTTGTGAAGAAAAGTTCAGCTAAACAGGTAGCAGTCAAAATGTAGGACGAAATGCATTTTTACATTGTATGCCTAAATGGTTGTATAATATTTTTGAGCATATAGATTTTGTTACACGCGTTAATTTAGTGACTTGGTCTGGATTTTGGATTGTTAGTTTGACGAGGGAAAGAGGATAGTGAAATGCATGTCAATTTTGTTAGGTCATTGTAATTCAATCCAGACATTTAAATCTAATTTATGTTCTATATTACTAATCATGTTTCACACCCTTTTTTTGGCACCCATGTAAACAGTTTTTGAATCTCATCTTGCAAGATTTATGATGCTAGTTTCTTGACTACTAATGGTCATATGATTGATTCAAAAGATCAATTTTATATGTATTATTATTTTATTTAATCAAGGGCAATCAGCAAATGGATACTAGTATAGAGACTTTTAGTGCTTCAATATGCTTTATCAACGAGTCTGAATTTTATCACAGTATTATTGTTGCCAAAAATATACAAGCCTATTGGTGCTTCATTATCCTCCTAAACCAAGCACTAGTGGTGGGTGCAATTTCTTTCTTTTTGTTTATCTGCAGTTTTTGGTACAGCAGCATTGAAAGTGTTAACCTTGGAGGAGAAAATATTTATTGACATCTTTCAGCTGTCTGTTATTCTGTATAATATCATCGAATCGCGGTTTAAATCGTAAGATGTAGAGACCATAGTAGTCAATAGCAGTCATAGCGGCTCCTATCGCGGAGGAGCAGAGTGAAGCAGCAGGTCGCCGCTATGGAAAGCTTATAGCGTCACGTTTTAGTGGAGAGGCCATCGTTCCGCAAATAGCGGCCAAATCGCAGGAGAATTGCAGCCATAGCGGCTACTATTTTATCCCTAGTTAAAACCCGACTTTGTCCTTGCTTTCTTAACGTTGGACATTTAATAATTTTGGGATTTCAACCCCTTTTACATTTTTTATATCTTCTTTCTTATGAGCCCTAAGTTTTCATTTTCATCTCTCAATTATCTAGTTCGTTCTTCTCTATCTTTGTTTTTCCCATCTTCATTCTCTGCGACATTCTTTTGCTTTTGGCGAGCTTCTGACGTGACAGAGTCCGGTTATCTTCTTTGTCTCCGACAAAGCTTCTGACATAACTTAGACGTATTCTAATCGTCTTTATCTTTGATTAGTTTTTTCAACTCTGACAAAGTTTTCAATGTGATCCAGGCATTTTCGGCCATCTTCTTCATCTCTGATAAAACATTCGATGAACCTGAACATTTGTTAGTGACTAACCAATTCTCTGTTTTCTTATTTTCTTATCTATTTTTTATCTTCGTCTTTATTTTTTATTTCTCTCTGTTTTGGATATTATTTTTATATTAGGTATAATACTTAGAACTTCAAAATAGCAATTATCCTGCTATTCACTATGCCACTATAGCGTTTTTTAGATTGGCCGCTCTGCACCACTATTCGAGATTGTACATGCCAAAAAATAGTTTGAAATATACTATAGAAATTATGTGTAAAATAATACACATAATTTTACTAAAGAATGATCATGAATTTCACAAAAATAAGTTATAACCAAGTGTGCGAAGTCTCTATTTTCCATAACTAAAATAAAACATTAAATTAGCCAAATATAGTACAGCAACAGTGTGGCATTTGTTTTCGAATAACGTAGATAGAGCATTTGAATAACTAAATAGGGTGTGTTCGGTAGCTTTTTTTAGTTTCTTTTTTACTTAAAAATCTAAATTTATGTCAATTTTCAACTTTAACAGAAAAATATGAAAGCAACGTATAAAAAACTTATAAAGAATCATTGAATCGTGTAATTTACATGTATGATATAAAATTGTATCTTTTTTTTTTAATTACAAATATTTTTTATAGGAGAAAATTCTATTTGAATAGGTAGAATTACCAACATGAGAAACAAAATTCTATTTTAAATACAATTGTATTCACTGATGTTCTAACTCAATTTAATCATATATTGTAAAATTTAAAGTTATTTATAATTTCACGTAATATGAATTGTTGAATTGTCAAATATTATTGAATTTATCCTTTGAATGCATCATAAGATTTTAATAATTATTTGTGTGTTTTCTTTTTACAGTACAAGTATATTACTAAATTAAAATAATTTTTAATAAATTTTAAGACATAATATTGTATGACTATTTAAATTTTTGAAAATTATAGTAAATATTATATTATTAAATTTATAATATTAAACAAGATAAAATTTTAAAATTTAGAAAATAATTATGAAAAATAAAATATTATTTTTTAAAAAAATTATGAAATTATTTCTATTTAAAAGTGAAGGTTTACATTTATTATATTAGATTAATAAAATATTATTTGTTAATATCTCTTAATTAAAAAAAAATACTGTTAATTCATAGAGATAAAGGGAGACGCAATGATGTTGATGCTTAGTTTTGAAAGTGGCTATGGGCTTTGCTAACGGGAGGGTTAAGGACTGCCACTCGGACCATTTGAAATCTTTTGATTATGAATCTGCACATTGTCGTGCCATCTGTTGCTTTTCTTTGTCACAGAATAAAACCAGACAATCTCCAGTTTTCACTTGCGACACGGTGTGGGTTTTCAGATGCAAAACAATTATTAAATTCTGATTTCAAACGCAATTGCTTAATGCTGACTAGCTTGGTGACGTAGAGGGTCTAATTCCTTGCCAATTGTGAGGACTTATTTTAAGTCTCATTAATTTTATTATTTTCTAATTAAAAAGTAATACATCAACAAGAAAACCAAACAATTAATTAAAATATTAGGTTAAATTATCATTATAATTTCTATACCTATAGTGTAATTTATGCAAATACCAAAATAAAAAATAATATTATATATTATGTATAGAATCTAAAATGTAAATTCTTATTGTGATAACTAAAATGAAATACAAGCATAAGGATTAAATTTTTTATCAAGTATGACAAAAGAAAATTATGTAAAGTCGAGGAATTAAATTTAACATCATTCTTCTACCTTTAATAAATATTAAGGACTAGTTTATAAATAACTTTTTATGTACGAACTAAAATTAACAATTTTTTTAATAAAGACTAAATAAAAAAAAATGTAAAATGCAAGACCTAAATTTACATTTAAACGAAAATACTACAACTAAAGAGAAGAAATATCTTGCCAATGTCTGATCTTTTATTTGAGTGGAGGATGATTTGATTGCATTGCATACTGCTAAACAACTACTGAAATTGAACGGTGCAGAGTAGGGTCTTGGACGTCAATGATTGAAATCTTGCACAAGTGTACCAAAACAGCATCTAACAAGAAAAGAAAACTAAAAGATATCATGGTACCTAAGATGTCATCGCCTTCTTCCTCTTTTATGTTAGGAGTAGAGAGACCAAAAGTTACTGAAGGGACTATGCATCTAATATAGAATGATACCCAAGTTGCTTAAATAGTTGGATTTTTTTTGGGGTGACTATTTGGAATGGCGGGTTAAACTTTACTATGAGATTTCATTCCTACATAGTATCTTCCTGAACTATCACTGTAGGGATCAATGGTGGGCCTTGTGGCATCTCAGACAACTATTATTAAGAATTGGAATAACAATTCTATTACCAACTACAAACATTTGGAATTGGAGAATAATTCATCCTTTACACGTCAGAACCGGCTACTATCAATAGCTATTGCTACAAATAGCTAGTCCATCTTTTTCACTTTAGATGGGTCTCATCAAATTTTTAATTTGTCCTTTATAAAACTATCCCACAAATATAAAAGCATGAGATGTATTTAGGAAACTTTTTAGAGTTACAAGATTAGAGGAAAAAATTAATTGAATTGTTTAAAGTAATGAAAATGTTATAGTGCTATATTGAAAAATGTGAAAAGTTGTATAAAACAAATTTTAGTAACTCATGTGAATTGCTTGGATGATGTTGTCCTCGATAAATTAAACTTCAGCTGTCACACGGGGCCAAAAAAAATCAGTGCCAACTTGATTCATGATATATGGAATAGATAAAGGCATTGCAATTTCGTAAGCCCACTATATAGGATATATTGAGTACACTATAAATTTTAGTTTGGAGAGTGCAAAAAATTTCATGAATTAATTATATGTCATCATCATGGTTGAGTTGTTTTATAGTATTTAGTGATTCAAAACATAGTTCAAAGGTCATGTCTGATTTTAGGTTTTCTAAAAAAAATAAAATTGGTATTTGTTTAAATGCGTGAATGGTGAATCACAACACACAAACAAACACACTAAGTTGAAGGGGAAAAAGGTATTTCTCCTTTGAGCGAAACCATGATTTACAAATCATAATCCAAACATGGTAATTAATATGGCAGAAGTTCTGTCTCCTACGAATATTCTCTTTCAAAAATCAAAACCTCCAAAGAAGTGTCCCACCCCTCATGATCAAACAAATAAGTCTCTTTCTTGTACAACTGAGATAATTTCAAACCCACCCACCTGCAGTTCTTTTAATTACTTCCAATATTGAAACATTCACTATCCACAATCATATTTGATCCACACTATTGATTATGGAATAGCCAAAAATGTCTCCATTATCTTCATTCTTTAACGGGGCTTGGAACGGATAGAAAATTTTAAATAATGGTGCGGAGATGATCAACCCAATAATTAATATTAAACAACAATATCCGTATAAGTTCCATTTAGATAGTAGTAACACTGGTCCTAGACTTCGTTTTTACTTTTTAATTAAGTATAAGTTTAGTTCAATTTAATTTTGAAGAAATAATAATTTATTTTGTTTTTTATATTTAAAAAAACAATTTTTTTTTCAAAATAATTTCCACCCAACATGCACTTACTGTTATGAACAACTTGAAAACATATTGTGATGAGAAATATTATTCTCCTCTAAATTATTAACCTACAGGGCTATTGATTAGACAAAAAAAAAGTGATAGGTTTCAGGTGAATTATTATCTTTCTACTTTCAGCCTCATTAGCAAATTGTCCTCCACATATTCGGTTTTACTATGAGAATGAAAATCTAACTGCTGCATTTTCATTCTGAGATTCTCTTTTCTAAGAAGACAAAAATATATTCACTATCGTCTCTTTCAAACCCAAAAATTGTTTTTCTTAAATTATATATATTATTGCCTACCACACACTCAAAATCCTTAGCAAATCAAAGCTGTGAATATAAGAAAAGACCCCAGAAACTCTCTAAGACTGAAATAGTTTGGTTCCATGAAGCTTTCACCAAGTCATGGAAAGAAGTTCATCTCCTAAAAGCAAATCAGAAAGGTTACTTTCATGCTGGGGTTGTCTCAAATTGAAGCTTCCATGGGTGAAGCGAACAAGCACCTATAGACCCGTTGGTGGGTTTAGGTATGACCCTTTAAGCTATGCTCAAAATTTCGATGAGGGTTGGGTAGAAGATGACGAAGAATCTTTACATCGAGGGTTTTCTGCTAGATATGCAGCACCTCCAACCAAGTCCCTCAAACAATGATAAGATTGAAGCGTTTAAGGTAAGCTAATAATAATAATATATATATGTATGTACAAGAAAATTCTCCTTTTAGAGCTTTTATTTTATGTAGAAATTTATTCAAGCTCTTTGTATATAAATTGAAGCCCAAATAAAAAAGAAAAACTACTTATAGTTGCGCGTGCTTATCGTTGATTATCACGTATCAACACGAGTGTTCGGGTGCATGAATTAGTAGAAAGAGAGAAAAAAAAAAAAGCCAGTCACATAGTTAGGACAAGACTTCAATGTATCCCCTGCTTATTTTACTTTCCCTAGAAAGCTAATATAAAGTATATTATATAGTAATTTTTATACGGTACTTTTATAACATTCTTTTTCTATTTTTCTTTATCACATTATTAGTTTTATTTCGCACTTCAGTCTTCTTATATATAGATTTCTCGTTATGGTAAATACTAAATAAAACTATAAAAAAAAAATAAGATATCATAAATTATTAACGTTTGATGTAGCAAATATAGTACCCAAAGACACGGATAGAGAATGTTATTTACAGGAATAGTTGAAAGCTCGTAGTTGTATTGGACATGTTTACTTACCAGCTAGTGAAACAGTTCCTAACTTTTATGCTCGGTAACAATGGTTGCTTTGCCCATATCAGGGGCTTCCCCTGTTCCGACAGAAATTGATTAGCCACGAAATCAAATGGAGCAATTTTCAACTATCTAAAACAACTTGCTATCATTGCTATTGGAAGATAGCAGAATCGAATTTATCTTGAACAATTATTTGTTCCAATTTCATCTTATTCACCGTGTGAGGTTGTATCATCATTTGCACCACAAGGTGGAGACGGGCAAAATAATAACTTATCCATTATTTAAACCTTTACAAATTGATAATATATGTTTTATATATATATTATCCTTTCTATATACACGCATCACAAAAATACCTTATAAATATAAAGTTTTAGGCGTTCCTTTTAACGGTATAAACAACAATTTTCAAAAATAAACCAATATATTGTGTATTTAATATTCAATCCATTTCAAAAGGGTGGGTTGAGTATTGTACCATGCACTGGATACTGGGTGTGCAATTTAAAAATTCACCCTCTACTCATACTGTTCTTAAGTTGAGAGCACTTTCATTATTCAACAATGTTTATTTTGGTAAATTTTATACAGTAAATACATAATTTGATCCTAAGAGTGTCATCCTGTTTATCTTTAATTCATAAAAATTTTACTTTATACAATTTAATCTCCAAATGAGTTAATTTACTTATATTTCAATTATTCTTTTGCAAAATACAAGTAAAATGAATAAATTAACATATCATTGGACCAAATTATACACACTAACAATTTTTACGACCAATTAGTTTTAAAAAGGATCAAAAGTGTGAGCAAGTAAACACATTTAAGAATAAAATTGTTCAAAGTAAAAATTTGAGAGATAAAAAATGAAGTGTTAATTTCAGGGACTGATTTGTATATGTACTATTTGTACATATATAAATGAATTGGAGCAGCAGAGAACACATCAAGAAGCAAGCAGCACTGTTGTTTTCACTCTGCTAGTGTACAGTTCCGTTTATTGTTTACACACTAATAAAAGCTTACTTTCAATATCAATTGCCGAAATATTTTTCTTTATAATAAACAAAAAGCAGCGCAGTTTGATGTTCTTGCTTGTGCCCTGATTGATGATTGGTTACTAAGGTCTAAATTTGTAAAACACTGTTTGATTGCAAAATGGTTTGAAAGTTGGCTTGCATTATGGCAAAAATGCTTCCCTCACCCGATCCCTATATAACTTTGATCACTCTAGTGTGTGTGATTAATCCCTAACAGTTGGTTAGAAATGGTAATGAAACTTTTTTGAGAGCTTGATTGATATACAAATTAATATGCTGGAACTCCAACGTCTCACCCGTTATCTAACAAGTAAAATTTAAACAATATTAAGGCTAATTTCGATAAAGTTTTTAATACATACTTGTAAAATAAAATAATGAAGTAAAAGTTTTTTAATAAATTAAAATTAATGTATGCATTTCAATTTTTTGAAAAATTATACAAAATAATTTTTAAAATATAAAAGTACTTAAACTGATTTTAGCTTATAAAAAATTGTTTTTTTTTTATCTTCTATAAATGTTTGTTGAATAACTGCCCATACGTCTAAATTTGAGATATTATGAAATGAAATAACATTAAAAATAACAAAATTAAAAAATGACGATTTAGCCATTTAAAATAAATTTTCGATATTCTTATATATATATATATATATATTTATTTATTTATTTATTAGTTTAACAAATTAAGCATACAAAAATAGATATTAGTTTTTTAAGAAAAAGAGTATATACTCCAGTTAAACTGAAATATCTCCCTGTTCAGAAAACAGAAGATACAAAGTGCAAGCAATATATCCCGACAAACAACCTGTTTAATTGTATCCCCTTTCTCTTCACATAGGATTGTCTAGCTAAGTGTGCAAACTCCGAAAACAAGGCAAGAGGTCCAACAAGACACATCAAGCAACCTAATTCAACCAGTATTTACAGGACACCACTCACCAACAATACCTTTGCTTGTTGGACATCTAGCAAGTTCACAGTGTTCATCTTGTCCCCACCAGTCGATGCTTTTTTCCTCCATGTTAATAGCAAAATACAGTAGAATTGTCATGAAAGCCAATCCAGCGTCCATAGCTGCTGCTAGCACATAATTGTATCGCTGCCACCATTCCTTACGATATTTAAATATAAAGTAGTTAAAGATTGTCCCAACAATGATCCATGCATTGAAGTTTACTGTGCTAGCGGGTGGCATGTTCGCTGTTGCTCCTAGAAGTACAGGAAGGTGAATCATGGATATCCATTTTTGTTTGGGAAATGCTTTATGGAGTAGCCATATAACCAGTGGTCCCAATGCTCCAATTAAAAAGAACCAATTGAGTTTTGAGTAATTTCCAAGAGTACCAAATATTCGTTTTGGACCAACCAAACCCCATATCACGGATGCATCAAAGAAGACTTGGTCACTCGGGCAAGTCCACGGGCTATCAGCAGGCAGTTTATCTTCGTTGCATATATTCTTGATTGTACCCAGCAACCACCATGCCACGCCAACGTCCACGGTTCCAGCTACAAGAGTCCCTACAATCTAATATGCAATATAACAAATTTGGATCACCCAAGTAGAGTTAGATAACTATAGATATGTAGGATTTCATTTTGATTGCTAGTATTCAGTCATATATCGCCACGTATTAAAATAATTTAACTCCCTAGATGCTTGTTATCACACTCGAACTCTGATAACAATGTAGTATTATATAATTAATGACAGTGTAAATATAATCAAAATTATGGTTTGACCTCTGCTTTCCTGGTGTAATAATAAAACAATTACTGGAAATGTATACTTGAATGCAGTTAAGTGGCTCACGCAGTAAATCTGAAGAAAAAAATAAGGGGAAAAAAGAGGTAAGTAGCAAATTAGGACTGCATGAAGTGTAATATTCCTTAGTCCTTACAGTATCTGGTTCTTCTGGTTACCCATGTCTTTTGATATGTTATTAAAACGGGTGTGTCATTTTGACACGTGGAGTCCGGTTAAAAGTGTCTCTTGCTTGAAATTACTTGTTCAGAATTGCATAATTAGGCGCGCATATTCTATCATCAAGTGAATAATATCTTCACTTAAAACACTAAAATGCCTAATAGAAGTATATACCTGAACTATGAACATTGAACGTGGTGGAACCTTCATGTAATGTCCTAGCTTGAAATCAGATAGAAAGGAAACAGCCTGTGACATACTCATGTAACCATATGTCTTGAAGCAAACGTTGGCGATTGGTTTACCAGGTAAAATCACACCTATGATATACTCGGTAAGGATATTCAAACCTGGACTCTGAGAATGGAAGGGGAAAACAATAAAACAAAACAACGGTTAGTGTAAGTTTTGAGTATTACATATTAGTACAGAATAGGTGATTTAATTAGTAGTTTCTTACCTGATTAGTCGTGGCCGTTATGATGCTAATGGGAAGAGTAAAAGTTGCTGCAAGCCCAGCTGCAAATATGAGACCCCACCATGGCATTTGTATCTGATCTTTCATGGCAATACAGAGCACAAGTGCAAGTACAAATGAAGCCAAAAGCGTCACATGAAACCACCAATTAGGTATTTGCTTGTACTTCTTCATCAATCTTGTGTGAATATCTTCCGTTCCAGATCGGGAAGATCGGAATTGTCTACATATCTCCCTGTTTAAACCAACGTATATATATTTAACACCAACATTATAGTACAAAAAACTTCAAAATCATTTGCTTCTAATAAACCATTTACTATTACCTTCCATTAAATATGGCCACATGAGTGAGGGAAGAGGCAATGGCAGCAAAGCCGAGTCCATAGCTAACAGCAAAAAACACACTCATGTTGACTCGACCTTGTTGCTCGTATGCATTCATATCTATCTCGAACTTTTCATTTACAATGGCTGTCACATTGTATTTTTTACCATGGGCAGTGAATAGAGTTGAAGAGTATATGGGGAAGTTTTTGGCATCATAGAGATTAAATCCCCAATATGATAGAGGTATGAGAAGGTAGATTAATAAGACGTATCCCACAATGATATTAGCTATTGCAAAGAAAGGAGTAACAAGAGGGTTGCCAAGGAATGCGGCTACAGTGGTCCAATCAAGGGAAAAAGAACCCAAACCAAGTCCATACTTGCCTGATCCTATTTGATGGGCTGTGATTGAATGAGGAAAAATCCAACACACCCACGAAATAATTGACAACGTTGTGAAGAGGTAACCAGGAACCACGTACCATGCGAAGCTGCAAATAAGCGCTATCAAGAAGAATTTCTCTTTCGACATGCGCCTCCGTTCTTTTTCATGCAATGCCCTGCATGCCAAATGTCCACATGCATTGAAATCAGAATTGTTATTTGACTTATTTCAATAATAAAATAATTACATATAACTAAGGTTTAATAATATTGTTATTTTATTCAAATTTAGTTTTTCAATGTATAATTACTTTTAATTTTTTAAAATTTCTGTAATTAAATTTTTATTAATTTTCTTTTACATCAAACTATTAAATTTTATTTTAAAATTTTTTCTTTTTAAAATCTTTCAGATTTTACTACAATTTTGAATTATAGACTTTATAAACCACCTTTTACCTGAAATTTAGCTTATTTAAGAAGAAAAAGGATTTCAATGTTCTGTGTAAATAAAAAGTGGTAAAAGTGACTGTAAAAATTAAAAAACATTAATGAACGTGAGCAATAAAGATTGCTGAGGGATTAAAGTCGAATGTCATAAATACAATAAAGCGTGTACATTATTTATGTGGGAAACAAAAGGAAAGAAAAGGGGTGGTCCTGAAATATGCTTTTATTTTATTTTATTATCTAACAATATAAATTAAATAATATACACATCCATATTTGGTAGAAATATGTAATAAATTAATGAATGGGAATAAGATGACATTCTCAAATTGTACTATAATAAGAAATTTTTCTTGTTTTGATCTAATACCAAAAGAAACATGATTTTGTTTTATTTGTAATATTAAATGTTTACCATATCACAATATTAAAAATATAATTAAATCATAAAATAATTATAATAGTTAGAGTGAAAAAATTCAATAATATACATAAATAAACCATTTGACTTCGAGAGGTGGCCCCTAATAATGTTACCTATCTTAGGTTCGGGCCCCAGAAAAAAAACCCCTTTACTGCAAATGAAAAATTATATAAAATTTGCACAAAAAGGTTTTAGGTTCTTCTAGATTTTCAAGCAAACTACACTAGCAATGCCATTGCACGCGCCATGTCTGGCTGTCGTACATTCATATTGATTCTCCTGAACTCCGATTTCTAAATACAAAAAATGAGACATTACTTTTATTTTTTTAACTTTGGAGAATATTTTTGAGATACATGTGTATATATATATATATATATATAAAAGAATAGTTATAATTAAATACATTATCTCCTATTATGTTAACTCTTAAATATTTAAATAAAAAATTAAAAATTCAAATTAATGAATAAATTTAATGTTAATCTTTAAAAACTTTTATCATTAATTATAACTTTGATGAATAAATTTTAAAAAATTTTAAACAAAATCCAACGCCACAATTTCCTCAGTCTAAATCATTTCTCTCGTGATTATATATATATATATATATATATATAAAATTTGAAACTAATAATGTAAATGACCTGAACAGAGAGACTTGGACGAGAGTAGCAGGCCACCACATCTGTGCGGGCTCCACCACGTACTTCTTCATAATCCCCGCCCATCCATACCCCAACACCTGCGTACATCCAATACAATCACCTAAACGACACTTCATCATTCAACATTCATTCGTTTCCAAATATTCTAACTGAAAGTTTCCCTTACCTGCGTCGTCATTACAAGAAGCCAACTAGCCAAGAAACTAATTTTTCTACCATAAAACGCTCGAATTATATCCACAATACTCAACGCGTATGCCGAACCGTTCCCAAATGCAGCACCAGCGTTTGCGAATATAGAAATTAACACGTGCTCTTTCATGTTGAATGGCCCTGGATTCAGCGTTAGCTCTTTTTTACCGATTCGAAACTTCCATTTTGGAAGCACTTTCGCCATGAACCGTCCAATGGGAAGCGTCGCAACCTGAATCGATATCATCGTCACCAACAGAGGTTCCTTTCTGTACCCAAAAAATGTGTTCAAAAACGAGAGGAGCACCACCGAGACCAGTCCCAAAAACCACATACGGAAAGTCCAAACCGGCAAGGTCGGATCATCTTCGTTCGATACGATCAACCGAACTTCCTCGATCGGTGAAACGGTGTCGTCCATGCTTTCTATTGTGCTCTGCCGGCGCTCCAGCTCTGCCTCTATCTCTATGGTGGCCATGCTGAGGGTTGCTGAAAATGATGGAATCAAAAAGGGAAGATGCTTGCACTCGGCATTTCAACAGTGATTATTTTCGCTTCTTGCCCCTTGGCATTTGCGTCTTGTATAGTACTTTTTCGGAGGTTGGAATTTACGTCACACCATGCTGCTTAAGGCGGTGATTTTGTCTTGGCTTGAATTCCGAGAGAACATATACTTTTATGTTATATTATATGCGTATCGATATTTTTTTAAGTCTTGCAACATGGGATACAATAAAAATTATATATTAATTTATTGAATTAAATTAAATTTTATAATTTATAATAAAAATTAATATATAAGTTTTTATATTATATAAATATAAAATCATATATATATATATATATATATAGTTAATTTTAAAAACATTATTTTATATAGTCATTTTCTATATTTTTTTAATTATGTCATTGACTCTTTTTTTTTTTTATAATTTCTTTCGTTTTCCACGTAATGCGCGTGAAATTAATTTCACCCTATTTATTATGCATTCTATATAGGATAACTTTCTATAAATAGATATACAGGTATATAATACTAGTTTAAGTGTTTCACTATTTTATTTTAGAATAAATAAATATACATATATATAATAAAATTATTTTAAATAAATATTTAAATTTAATTTAGTATTACAAATAACATGTTTTAAAATAATAAATATTTAACTGAATTAAATAATTTTAAAAATATAATATATTTTAAAATAATACTTTTATTTTATAATATTAAAAATATTTTAATTATATGTCAATAATTAATATATAATAATAACAATAAATTTAAAAGATAAGTCTCTTAGAAGTAAATTTTAAATTTAAAAAATTAAAAAATTAAAATAATTTTTGTAAATAAAAAAAATTTACAAAAAATTAAAAATTTATACAAAGTAATATAAAATTTTAAATTTAGAACAAAATTAATAATTGTGTAGATAAAAATTAAATTATTGTATTGAAAAAATGCGTAAGTGATAGAGATAAGTGGGTAGGAGGGTGCGATTGTGTGAAGTATTTCCGTGATTATTTGCAGTGGCGAGAAATGCTGAATCACGTGTAGTGGATAATGGTTTTCATGATGGCACTAGATGGGTTTGGAATGTTAGTTGGCGAAGAGGACTCTTTTAACATGAGATCTCGAGCTTTAATATTTTGTTGGAGCTTGTGGATGGAGTTTCTATTAAATTACTACAAAAAGAAAAATGAGTATGGAGCGCAGATTCTTCAGGTTGTTATTCAGTGTAATCTGCGTATTCATGGCTATTTGAACTTTTTGGTAGTCCTAATAGTGTAGATTAGTGTACGGCAGATGCCTTACAAAGGCTATGGAGAGGGAAGGTCCCTCTTAAGTGTCTGGTTTTTTCTTGGCAATTGTTGTTGAATGCACTTCCTTGTAAAGGTTTACTGATTGATTGTGGTGTTCAAATTGATGATATAACTTGTTGTTTCTGTCATGGTTTGAAGGAACTTTCAACTCATTTATTTTTAACGTGCTCAGTTTCATCTCAAATCTGATACTTTACTACGCGTTGGCTTGGATTCTCACTGGTTTTGCCTTCAGATTTATCGACTCACTTGCTTTCTTGGGTTGGTGTTGGCTGTAGTAAAAGAGAAGGAATATGCTTATTAATTATTTGGGTAAGTACAGTGTGGTCTTTGTGGTTGCATAGAAATAGAATTATATTTTTCAATTGTGTTTTGGATGAGAGGGAAGTCCTAGATTCTATTATTCTAAGATCCTGAAAATGGTTATCACTTGTTAGTAAGGGAGAAGCTATTATGTTAGCTAATTGATATTTGAACCCACGAAATTGCATGTCTTAATTTTGCATAAGTATATTTTTGCTTTTTATTTCTCTAAGTAAGTAATTTTTTGTGTATATGGATTTTGAGTTCCCCTTGAACTCTTTTTAATAAGATTTGTTTTGCGTATAAAAAAAATTTAAGCTTTCAATTTCTAATTAACTTTTATACGCTGAGATGATTTTACTAAACATACCTTAAATAGGATTTTTAAATTTAAGACTAAATTTTATATTTAATGCACTTAAATTAAATTAATTTATTTAAAATATAAAAATATCGTTGGTTTAAAAACTTATTAACCGAGAAGTGAGAACAGTCTTTCAAGAATTTAACGACAAAACTGTGTGAAAAAGTAAGGAATTAAGTCCTCGTTATCCAAATAATAGTCTTTTTTTAATTCAACTGTTACCAGTGTTTAACTTAGTTAAATTTTAACTGACTAGCTTTTAGTATTTGTTTATCTCACTCGACTTCAGCATTTTTGTTGACTTTTCATATAGACAAATATGTATAGTGTATGTATGCATTAATTTATCTTATTTTAAAGTCAAACAAATGTTTAATCTTATAAAATAAAAACAGAAACGTAATTTTGTTTATTTACATCGTAAGATAATGATTTGCGGCTTGGTAGTTATGATGTTGTATTTAAAATTTAAAATTTGACATGCGAATATCTATTATCTGATTATTCGGTTGCTCAGGTGGATAGAGTTGGTTAGCATAAAATAAGGAGGAGGAAGATAAACTTACTATAAGAAGAGAGACAGCCTTCACAATTATTTTCATCCACTCTCACTCTCTCTCTCTCGCTGCCATGTCGAACCACAACATCCCAAATCCCTTCTCCAAAGTGAAGTTGATCTGCAGATACGGAGGCAAAATCCTCCCCAAGCCATCCAATAACATGAAACTCGCTTACATTGGCGGAGACATAAAAATCATGAAAGTTGATCGCAACATAAACTTCTTCCATCTCTTGAAAAACATCCACTCCTTCACCAAAAACCACGTCCTTTTAAAATACCAACTCCCCGGCGAGGATCTTGACACTTTAATTTCCGTTGTTAACGACGAGGATCTAGAGAACATGATGGCTGAGTATGATCGAGTGTGTCACGCCTCCACCAAGTTCCGCCACTTCAAGCTGTTCCTATTCCCATGTTATCAAACTCCGAAGTCATCCCAAGGCGATTCCGATTCCGATTCCGATTCCGATTCCGATTCCGATTCCGATTCTGATTCTGATTCTTCTGCCACTGCTTCTATGCTTGATGGTAATGCAGATATTATTACGCAGTTGCAATTGGAATTGGAGGAACGGATCCTGACTAACGAGTTTCAGAGTTTTCTGAAGAATATAAATACAGATGATCACGTAAGAATGGCTTTTCATCTGGAATGGCTCCTGACTAACGAGTTGCAGAGTTTTCTGAAGAATACAAATGCAAATGATCACGTAAAAATGGCTAATAATCTTCCTCTTCAGAATCACAACATTCCATTGCATGGCCAAGCTTGGACTCCAATGTCATTACCAGTGCCAGAGAGCCACGTGACCGACGGTGATAATGCATGGAGAGCCCAAGCCCAAGCCCATCCTACTTCCGTTGTAACACCTATCTCTACTCCCAAAAGTCACGTGACAAACGATGGATATGCTTTGGGGGGCCAATCACACGCTCATTATGCTCTACCTCCCCACTTGGTCAATGGTGGATATGCATACCAGTCTCAAGAAGCCCAAGCCCATTCTACTTCGGTTGCTCCACCATTGTCTACGCCGAAAAGTTACGTGACAAGCCACTGTTATGAGTTGGGAGCCCACTCACAAGCCCATTCCGCTTTGGCTTCCCACGTGACTGGGAGTGGTTATGCACTTGGGGGTTCTTCACCTGTGTCCGGAGTGTACCAAGAAAGTGCTCCGCAACACATGGCTACACCAGTTGGTGAGGGTAACTGTATAGACCCGGGCATGGCTCTGTTCATACAAATTTACGGTACCACACCCAGTGAAGCTTATTCTCGCCTTTATCCATCTCTAACAGGGCCAGTCCCAAATGATGGCCGGAATTACTGAAGATGCTGGCCATGGGCATGGTGGCAAGATTTACTGCGACACAGTTCAAGCAAATCCAAATTAGGACAAATTTTGTTTCGTGATAATAGAGAAATATTTTTTTTTTGGCTTTATTGCTGGTTATTATTTTCCATTTTAATATCTATGTAAGAAAATAAACAAGATGTAATAAAAATTTTGTTTTGGTTTTCATTTTCTATAATATCTTGAAATTGTATGTTTATTTTTTCTTATCAAAGGTTTTTAAGTTTGTAAAATTACGTAACAAAAGAATAAATTTTATCAAGAGGGTGCAGCACTGGTAATTAGGAAATATACATAAATTACTCACAGTTCGTGTTGGCAGCTTCCATACTTATGTGGGAAACTGGTGTCAAACTCATGTTGGCCATTTGCAGTTTATTTGTTTGTTGAATCAAATACAAACCATTATACTTTCCAGCCCAACTTCGGTCCATATTTTTTGTTCCGTGATTCAATCACTTCATTTTGTTTTATCTAATCCAATCTAGTCACTGGCTAGTCGCTAAACCAAGTAAATGTTGAAAACCAGTAACACGATGAGTTGAAAGAAGTTTCAAAATTAAGCATGTAGTATTTCATTACCTCCTCTCCTGCTAGACATCTTGTGGAAACCTGACATTGGAGAGAAGAATGAAGTGGTTGCAGGGGACTGAAACTTTTGCAATGGTGAGTGGGCAAATAATTTGCTTCATGCCAATCACTGTATATGCGTATTCAACTAGAACCATATTATGTCACCTTCATGAGTAGCTGCGGTCTGGTTATATATAAATGAAGCAATTTGCTTAAGATGATGTACATGCATTCAGACGAGGTAAATTCTACAGTGCTCTTTAAAACAGGAAGTATTTTTATACTCTTTTACGTAATAGAGTTAGTGATTTATTTAAAAAGACATACATACTCTTTAATTTTAGAGATATTAAAGAAATCACACCCCTTAATCTAGAAAGCATATACTGTAGCAAACACTTTCAGACGATTTCAGTAATTTTCCAATTTGATTTAAATCTTTCTAGTGGGCTGTTGCATGACAAATGTAATTTATTTTAAAGGACAAATATTTTTTAAAGAATATAAGATATTATAGTTAAAACTGAAAAATTTTATATTATAATTTAATCTTATTTTTAGAATACACTTATTCTTGATTAATAATAAATTTGATAACTTTAATCTTTAGAGTTAAGTTTAAATATTTAAAATAAAAAATATTTAGAAACAATATTATAGTTATATATAAGAATGTAATAAATAATTATTATAATCGGTTACTTAATTCAATCTTAAATATTGAAATTAACCATTTTTATTTTTATATTTTTTTATCATAATTTCAAATGAATACATAGATTATGTGAGTTACCATTTTTATTATAATTTGTATCATACATTAATTAATATAGATTTTGAAAAAAATAAAAAATAAAAAATTATATTTAAAATATAAAATTATACGAAATATAAATTCTCTTAAAAATTCAATTTTTAATCTCTTAAAATTTTGTAATATTTTCATTTAGTATCAATTTTTTAAACAGAGTTCACAATTTTTTAAATTTATATTTAGAATACATACTTAATCTTTAGTATTAATACTTATTTATAAATTAATTCTTATAATTTAAATTTATTCGATAGTTATACAATATTTTTTTTACATTATCGTATTTAATATTGTCAACATGATTTTAAATGATAAATACTTGTTTAAAAATATTTATTCAAGTGAAAATTAATTATAACCTTATTTAAATGCTTCGTAAAAATATAAAAATTAATTTATAATTTAATTAAAATATTATAAAAATAGAATAAGTCAAATTTTATAAATCGACAATTTTCAAAGTAACATTTCAATAGCCTAATAATATTCATCCGGCACAAACATTTACAGCTATCCTTAATTAATGACCATAAATCAACAGTGAAATTAGTTGTACTATATACTTCCACTTGCATTGTTTTTTAATAATTTTTTAAAATTACACTAATTTAGTAAATTCAAAAAGGAATGCCTTAAATAAAAAAGCCAATAGTGCTCATAACAAGTTGACGCCCAATAATGAAATTATGTCAATCAGCTGAAAAGCTAGGTTTATAATTTATTGCCAGCTAACTAAAAGTTATTTGACAAAATTATGGAATCACTTTTTTTTTTCAACAGATAAGTTTTAATTCAAAAATTAGTTATTTTAAATTAAATTAAATTAATTTAAATAATTAAATATAAATAAAAATTAAATATCAATTAAAAATTATTATTTTTATTAAAAATTACCTTAATAACACAAAAAGTACAATAGCATATTATTATAAGAAAACATTAATATACTCTTAAAAAAATAAATTTTATTTTTGTATACTTTTATAAAAATATAATAAATACTTTTTTAAAATACTTAAAATCAAATTTAACGCTGGTAAAAGTATATTTTTTGCACTAAATCAAAGAAGGTATTGATTGTTGATGACATCGGTGTGAGCGGAAACTGCTACCCTAACGACCTTCATCTGTCTATTCATCATGTTTCTGTCTTCCGCACCACACCCAATCAATCCCTCCAACCCAACTCACCACGTCCTCACAACACCACCGTGCGTTCTCCGCCTCTAATCTTTTTCTCTCGCAATTATAATAATAATAATAATAATAATAATAATAACTCCAACCTCTTTTTCTCTCTTGAAATTTCGCAGGGAAAAATCTTTGGCTGTTGTACTGGTCGGTAATTTTATCTCCCAAAACGACTTGCCTTTTATTATTTCTTTCGTTTTATGACCGACCAATCATCCTTCTCCCTTCCCAGCTGTCAAACTTTGTTTTCGTTTCTATTTTCTTTTTGGTTAATTAATTTTAAAAAATAAATAGTTATATTTATGTATTTTTCTAATTCCCAATGAAGAGTGTTGGCTGGTGAGTCAAGTTGGATTGGTGAGAAAGGGAGTGGAATGCAGTGAGAGAGACAGAAAGAGAGAGAGAGAGAGAGCGATGGTGGTGAGGAAAGTGGGTAAGTATGAGATTGGGAGAACGATTGGGGAGGGAACCTTTGCGAAGGTGAAGTTCGCTCAGAACACAGAAACTGGGGAGAGCGTGGCCATGAAGGTACTTGACCGTAGCACCATAATCAAGCACAAGATGGTCGACCAGGTATTACTACTACTCTTAACTTAACTTTCCTAATTAACAACCAGTTTCGTGATAGTAGTTGTGATTAGTATGTTTGTATTTTGAATTTTTATTATGCAGATCAAGAGGGAGATTTCGATTATGAAGCTAGTGAGGCATCCTTATGTTGTTCGTCTGCACGAGGCATGTCATCATTACTGCACTTTACTCTTTGCTTTCTATTTTCGTTAAGGTCACTAAGGGCCTGATTGGTTTCCGTTTTCAAATAATAACTTATCACCTAATTCCGAGTCATGATTGTTTGGACTTTGATGTGAGGAGCACTTCTTGAAACGTATTTTATGAATTTTCCTTCATTAAATGTAAAAAAGACTCACACCGACTCAATGTTTGCTCTGATAAGCCATTACTTGTCGGTGACTCACAAGCCCTTGATTCTGTTGTTAAACATTGTTTTCTTCAGGTTCTTGCAAGCCGCACGAAGATTTATATCATATTGGAGTTCATTACGGGTGGTGAATTGTTTGATAAAATTGTGAGTAGCTCAACATGGAACTGTCTTCTTGTTGCTTTTAGCGTAATTTTTTTATTAATCACCACTCATGATATTGGAGATGTTGATGGAGAACGACATAATTGTGCAGATACACCATGGGCGTCTGAGTGAAGCTGAATCTAGAAGATATTTCCAACAGCTTATTGATGGGGTAGATTATTGCCACAGTAAGGGAGTTTATCACAGAGATTTAAAGGTTTGCATTGAGTGCGATCTGAAAAGTTGTCCGTCACCTGTTACCCTTATCAAATTCTTCTAATTTTCTTTTTTTGCCTTGTGCAGCCTGAAAATCTTTTACTCGATTCACTAGGAAATATGAAGATTTCAGATTTTGGTTTGAGCGCATTGCCTGAACAGGTGAGCTTGTTACTACCAAATAGCTTTTATATATGGCTTCGATTCATGTAAGATATGATGATACCAATGGCTTCAAACTTGTTGAATATTCTCATAGGGGGTGAGTATCCTTCGGACAACATGTGGTACTCCGAACTATGTTGCTCCTGAGGTAAAAACTAGGGTGGCTTGTTGTTTAGTTAAATTTCAGTTTATATCAATTGCAGATACTAACTAGCCTTATGCTGGCATCTATATTTTGCATTTGATTTTTGTGGTCTTAGGTACTCAGTCACAAGGGTTACAATGGTGCTGTGGCGGATGTTTGGTCCTGTGGGGTTATCCTGTATGTCCTACTGGCTGGATATCTCCCATTTGATGAGCTTGATCTAACAACCTTATACAGTAAGGCATGAATTTACACGTTACATGTATATTTAGTGTAGAATATATTGTTTTGTAGATCAAAATATTTATTTTGCATATATGGACATGCATAAATTATTATTTATTAGCAATTTAATATTATGACAGGTGGTAATACATTTGCTACTAGGGGGTCAATTTATCTATTAGTTTTATGTGGTGAAAGAGCGTTCAGAGCAACAAATTGACCCTGAATTGTGAGTGTGAATTGGAAATGAAAATTTCATTGTTAGTATCTTGTATCTCTTAATAGGTGCTGGCTGCAGTTCTGACAGGCTACAATTTCTTGTGGTTAACACTCTTCTATTCTATGCCCAAAGGCTTGAGATATATTCCATTATCTCATGGTTTCTAGTCTAGATGTTTTCATTGAAATGGAATTCAGATTGTTATTGATACTGATGATTTTTCTTTGGTTTTCTTGTTTGTTTCTTGCAGATAAATAAAGCAGAGTTTTCATGTCCTCCTTGGTTTCCCTTGGGAGCAAAAACACTGATACATAGAATTTTGGACCCAAATCCTGATACTGTAAGTATTTGATATGCACAACAGTTGAGACACAACCTTTCACTATCAATTTTAAAATTAATGTTGTTTGACCACAGAAGCTGAAAATGAGTTGAGTCTTTGATATCTGTTGTAATACAAAGGCATCTAAAAAACCTTAGAGTATGAATGTATAATGATATGTAGTTCTTATCCATGATTGTGAACTGTATGACTTTTTCCCTTTAAAAGTGAATGGAAATGTGGAAAAATTTACGGTTATGTTGAGAGGATCGAATATTCAGTTTTGGCATATTATGATTTTATTTTTTCCTATTTGGATATCAAAACAAAATATTTTTAGTGTCTTTCACTGGCTATTGTTGATATACAGTCTTAGTTGTTTAGACTAATTTTAATATGTAAAATGGATGGCCTATTATAAAAATGTGTATTTCATACTAAAGTAGTTGGGCATTTTAGTACCCATAAAATGTCCCCTCATAGAAGAGCCCTTTGATGAAAGGCTTGAAGTATGAGCAATGCATGACCTTTCGAATGATATTGAATTTAATTACAAAGATTGAGAGTCGTAACTACCAACTTCCATAAATGCTTAAGGTTTTATGTAGAGGCTCATGAATGACTTTTATACCTCAATCTTTAAAGTAACATAACACTTCTTTGGATGTGGAAAGACTAATCTTAGATGAAACTTTTGAATTGGTTTAACTCAATGGTGATCTGTAATACTTGAGTTATTTATAAAATGTTCACAGTCTGACTACACATATCTCATTGGCGTGGATCACATATTTTCTCAATTTCATTGAGCAAAACTTGAATTAAAGTTGTGTTTCACATGATCATTCTTTCAAGTACAGACACCACATTGCATGGATGAACATGCTATATTCATATTTAAATTTCATGGATTTCTTCCATTAACTGAATTGGACCCTCCCCCACTTTTTGTGTAATATACTAATACCAGCTTTCTGATGGATTTAAATCTTCGTGATCCTGATTGTTTCTGACAAGTATTTCCCTTGTTGTTCATGGTTGTGCATGTGCAATTGCAGCGTATAACCATTGAGCAGATAAGAAATGACGAATGGTTTCAGAGGGGTTACAATCCTGTCAGTCTTCTTGAATATGAAGATGTAAATTTAGATGATGTGAATGCCGTTTTTGATGATGCTGAGGTCTGTTATATCTCTAAGATTTTTTGTATTTAATTTAATCTATCTACATTTTTTCGGCCTACCAATTCTCAGTATTTTTAGAATGAATCTAACGTAGATTTGACACACTATTTTAGGATTTTAATTTGGGATTATTTGTTATGATTTGGGGATATTATTCTATTTTGAATTATCCATTCTGGCACAAATACATAAATACACGATCAACGTAAACATTTGGGACATTTTTTTTTATTATATGAAATTGATATTTCCTTTATCTGAATATTTGAAACATGGTAGAAGGAGCACTCTAGGCTTGTTTACCTGACCAAGAAGAACCCTGTTGGTTCCTGTCCAACATCAGAATCATATATATAATGTGTCCGCATGTCCACAACTCTATTTCATAAAGAGACATAAAAGAACCATAAACAATAACAATATTTGTTAAAGATATTTTGAAAACTTAATTATACTTTTAGTCCCTCTAATTTACACTATGTATGATTTTACCCGTTCAAGTTTTTTTTTTTAACTAATTAAGTGGTTATATTTTTAGAATTATACAAATACAGTCACTTTTTGATTTTTTTTATACTTAAAATACTCAAATTATTTTGGATATCCTAATTTTGAGGAAGTTTGTAATGAAATTAGAATATGAAGTAGTTTAAAAGGCTTAAATGTATAATTTTAGCGGAAACTGGATAAAATTTTAATGATTTTGTGGGACATGGGATCAGGGTTTGAAGAAGTGAAATTTTGATTTTTTTTTATTGAGAAATTTTGATGTTTTGGTAGGTTAGTTTTGAATAAAAGACATTTTAATTGATTCAATTTAGAATAAAAATTAATAGGAAATGAGAACTTAGGAGTTTTCAGTAGAAAAAAAAATTGACAAGAGAGACCAATTTGCTAAATTTTTAAAATATAGTACAGGGAGTTAATTTACTCAAGAAAAGCTTGATACCAAAATTATACATAATTCAAATTAGAGGGACAAAGATGCAATTATGACCTACTTTGAAATTTCTTAGTCCTAGAAAACCATTCCATTACTAGCACGGTATCATTGAAACTCTACGCTCTAGTGTACTGAAGAAACATCAGGGAAGACGAATGGGATTTTCAGTTATGGAAACTGAATGTAATGCAAATTGGAAAAGTACCAGTGTTGTTTTTTTTTTTTTTTCCCCACATTTGGTATTGTTTTCTCAAAGAGCCAGGCTTGGTTTTTCTCCTGCTGTATTCATATGGTAATTATCCTCCAAGTTTTGCTGACCTGATGATTGTTTTGTCACTGAAGGAACCTGCTGATCAGCAATGTGATAACGAGGACACAGGTCCTTTAATGCTTAATGCATTTGACTTGATAATTCTATCTCAAGGCTTAAACCTTGCAACAATATTTGATCGGGGTCAGGTATTTAATCATATCAGTTTGTTTACTACAAGGCTCAATAATCATATCTACAAATGGTCAAATCATAGCCCATATAATGTCCCAACTCCCGAGAAACTTTGCAGGAATATAGATTTAATCCATATCACAGGTTCCTGCGAAGTATAATATATTCTAGCACCTCCAATATTGTGTCATTTAAAGGTCTGAACACTATTTTCCATTTGAGGGTATGATCTCATATTTCTGTCTAATATCCTACAGGACACTGTGAAATACCAAACCCGCTTTATCTCTCAAAAGCCAGCAAAGGTGGTTCTATCAAGTATGGAAGTTGTGGCACAATCAATGGGATTTAAGACACATATTCGCAACTACAAGGTAGGTAGCCTGTAACACACATGGTTAATTGATTTATCAGTTTTCCCCTCCCCCTTGCTTCCACTGCCTTTGTTGCTCTCCATTCTTTTTCCCGTTATTTCGTTCAATCCAGTACTCACAATTTTCAAATCCTTAGCATCTGATCTGATTCCATTTTTTACATGGCATGAAACCTACCTAAAGTCATCATATCAAGTAATATTTTTTTATGAATTTCCAGATGAGGGTAGAGGGCATTTCAGCAAATAAAACATCTTATTTCTCAGTCATCCTGGAAGTAAGTTTCTGGCCTCTACCAGAATTTCAACAGCCTTTTAACATTTTGGCTAATTAAATACTTCTTGTTTATCTGCTCAAAGATTTTTGAAGTGGCTCCTACGTTTTATATGGTGGACATTCAGAAAGCAGCTGGAGATACAGGTGAATACCTCAAGGTGAGTTTTTGGAAACCTCAGTTTTGTATCAATCCTGATTCCGGAGCATATAACCTGGTTGGATTTAATTTATGGCAAAAGATACACTTGTTAATGTTGCAGTTTTACAAGAACTTTTGTAGCAATCTTGAGGATATAATCTGGAAACCGCCTCATGAATCAAGCAAATCAAGGACCTCCAAGACTAAATGCAAAAGACGATAGTTTCATCACTCGTGATGGTTTCTACTTTGATGGAAAAAGAAAAAAGATAACACACAAAAAGTAATATGGAACAAAACATTTAAAGAAGGGTTGACATATAGACACATAGGCCATATCAAGGTTTATATGGTTTGCGTAACCCCAACCTCCTACATATCTTCTTCATACCCACCCTAGACCGTACCGGTCATCATTTCATACAGGAGAGGAGACCAAATTCGATGAGTTATATATAAAGGGAGTATATAATCTTGTGTTTGGTGTATGGAACTCTTATTTTGTATTTTAGTTCTATCACTAGAATTTATCGTGCATCCCTAAGAGTAGAGTTGGTTACAATGTACGTTATTTGTTATCAGTTATCGCTGCCACAACATCAAAGGGTATTTGTATTTGTCACTTGGCTTCATGTGATTTGTATATTTGGGTGCATAATTGAAACAAGAGAAAGAAAGCAGAGAAATGGGATTGTACAATGAAATGTCAAGTGCTAACTGCTAAGCGTGTCCTGCCTCTTGCCCTCCCTGTCCCGCTGTTTCCATTATACCCTTACCTTGAATTACGCTGCGTGGCATCTGGCTTTTTCAAAAAATTTATATTTTTATATAACAGTAATTTAGTTACTTGTTTCTTCATAAAAACAAAATTATGATTATTCATTTGTGAATATAGAACTAATTTTTAAAGCCATGGCAAAAATAGTGAGTTACATCACTCAACATTTACTATAAAATGTTCAAAAGAAAAATGATTTTTAACGGTAGTTTTTCATTAATTTAAATAAAATTATTCGTTAAGTGGTACCTTGACAAATCTTAAGCATATATTCAGTGATCAGTTAATATTTGATGTTGCATGTAAAGTGTATATATATAGTCATATAAATCTATTATGGCTGCAACTACAATAATTTTTTATCAATGAACCCATTATAAGTTATTGTGAAAAGGAAAGTTTGTTCTTCACTTCTTATTTTATTAAATGCGTCTTGAGTTACGTCGTTGTTAACTTTTCAAGATTATTACATGCATATGAGAGATCAAGACACTCTACTCAAGTCAATGGCCATGGTCTCAAAAAGAGAGATTATTTAGATCATTTTATAGTTTTATTTTTCTTCTCCAATCTTTTGTGGGAGCTTGTCTCTAATAAAATAAAAACCAAACAATAGAGTGCAATTTTTTTTAGTCAATGATCAATTGTATTCTAAAAATAAGATTAAATTATAATATAAACTTTTTCAGTTTTAACTATAATATCTTATATTCTTTAAAAAATATTTGTCCTTTAAAATAAATTACATTTGTCATGCAACAGCCCACTAGAAAGATTTAAATCAAATTGGAAAATTACTGGAATCGTCGGAAAGTGTTTGCTACAGTATATTCTTTCTAGATTAAGGGGTGTGATTTCTTTAATATCTCTAAAATTAAAGAGTATGTATGTCTTTTTAAATAAATCACTAACTCTATTACGTAAAAGAGTATAAAATACTTCCTGTTTTAAAGAGCACTGTAGAATTTACCTCGTCTGAATGCATGTACATCATCTTAAGCAAATTGCTTCATTTATATATAACCATACCGCAGCTACTCATGAAGGTGATATAATATGGTTCTAGTTGAATACGCATATACAGTGATTGGCGTGAAGCAAATTATTTGCCCACTCACCATTGCAAAAGTTTCAGTCCCCTGCAACCACTTCATTCTTCTCTCCAATGTCAGGTTTCCACAAGATGTCTAGCAGGAGAGGAGGTAATGAAATACTACATGCTTAATTTTGAAACTTCTTTCAACTCATCGTGTTACTGGTTTTCAACATTTACTTGGTTTAGCGACTAGCCAGTGACTAGATTGGATTAGATAAAACAAAATGAAGTGATTGAATCACGGAACAAAAAATATGGACCGAAGTTGGGCTGGAAAGTATAATGGTTTGTATTTGATTCAACAAACAAATAAACTGCAAATGGCCAACATGAGTTTGACACCAGTTTCCCACATAAGTATGGAAGCTGCCAACACGAACTGTGAGTAATTTATGTATATTTCCTAATTACCAGTGCTGCACCCTCTTGATAAAATTTATTCTTTTGTTACGTAATTTTACAAACTTAAAAACCTTTGATAAGAAAAAATAAACATACAATTTCAAGATATTATAGAAAATGAAAACCAAAACAAAATTTTTATTACATCTTGTTTATTTTCTTACATAGATATTAAAATGGAAAATAATAACCAGCAATAAAGCCAAAAAAAAAATATTTCTCTATTATCACGAAACAAAATTTGTCCTAATTTGGATTTGCTTGAACTGTGTCGCAGTAAATCTTGCCACCATGCCCATGGCCAGCATCTTCAGTAATTCCGGCCATCATTTGGGACTGGCCCTGTTAGAGATGGATAAAGGCGAGAATAAGCTTCACTGGGTGTGGTACCGTAAATTTGTATGAACAGAGCCATGCCCGGGTCTATACAGTTACCCTCACCAACTGGTGTAGCCATGTGTTGCGGAGCACTTTCTTGGTACACTCCGGACACAGGTGAAGAACCCCCAAGTGCATAACCACTCCCAGTCACGTGGGAAGCCAAAGCGGAATGGGCTTGTGAGTGGGCTCCCAACTCATAACAGTGGCTTGTCACGTAACTTTTCGGCGTAGACAATGGTGGAGCAACCGAAGTAGAATGGGCTTGGGCTTCTTGAGACTGGTATGCATATCCACCATTGACCAAGTGGGGAGGTAGAGCATAATGAGCGTGTGATTGGCCCCCCAAAGCATATCCATCGTTTGTCACGTGACTTTTGGGAGTAGAGATAGGTGTTACAACGGAAGTAGGATGGGCTTGGGCTTGGGCTCTCCATGCATTATCACCGTCGGTCACGTGGCTCTCTGGCACTGGTAATGACATTGGAGTCCAAGCTTGGCCATGCAATGGAATGTTGTGATTCTGAAGAGGAAGATTATTAGCCATTTTTACGTGATCATTTGCATTTGTATTCTTCAGAAAACTCTGCAACTCGTTAGTCAGGAGCCATTCCAGACGAAAAGCCATTCTTACGTGATCATCTGTATTTATATTCTTCAGAAAACTCTGAAACTCGTTAGTCAGGATCCGTTCCTCCAATTCCAATTGCAACTGCGTAATAATATCTGCATTACCATCAAGCATAGAAGCAGTGGCAGAAGAATCAGAATCAGAATCAGAATCGGAATCGGAATCGGAATCGGAATCGGAATCGGAATCGCCTTGGGATGACTTCGGAGTTTGATAACATGGGAATAGGAACAGCTTGAAGTGGCGGAACTTGGTGGAGGCGTGACACACTCGATCATACTCAGCCATCATGTTCTCTAGATCCTCGTCGTTAACAACGGAAATTAAAGTGTCAAGATCCTCGCCGGGGAGTTGGTATTTTAAAAGGACGTGGTTTTTGGTGAAGGAGTGGATGTTTTTCAAGAGATGGAAGAAGTTTATGTTGCGATCAACTTTCATGATTTTTATGTCTCCGCCAATGTAAGCGAGTTTCATGTTATTGGATGGCTTGGGGAGGATTTTGCCTCCGTATCTGCAGATCAACTTCACTTTGGAGAAGGGATTTGGGATGTTGTGGTTCGACATGGCAGCGAGAGAGAGAGAGTGAGAGTGGATGAAAATAATTGTGAAGGCTGTCTCTCTTCTTATAGTAAGTTTATCTTCCTCCTCCTTATTTTATGCTAACCAACTCTATCCACCTGAGCAACCGAATAATCAGATAATAGATATTCGCATGTCAAATTTTAAATTTTAAATACAACATCATAACTACCAAGCCGCAAATCATTATCTTACGATGTAAATAAACAAAATTACGTTTCTGTTTTTATTTTATAAGATTAAACATTTGTTTGACTTTAAAATAAGATAAATTAATGCATACATACACTATACATATTTGTCTATATGAAAAGTCAACAAAAATGCTGAAGTCGAGTGAGATAAACAAATACTAAAAGCTAGTCAGTTAAAATTTAACTAAGTTAAACACTGGTAACAGTTGAATTAAAAAAAGACTATTATTTGGATAACGAGGACTTAATTCCTTACTTTTTCACACAGTTTTGTCGTTAAATTCTTGAAAGACTGTTCTCACTTCTCGGTTAATAAGTTTTTAAACCAACGATATTTTTATATTTTAAATAAATTAATTTAATTTAAGTGCATTAAATATAAAATTTAGTCTTAAATTTAAAAATCCTATTTAAGGTATGCTTAGTAAAATCATCTCAGCGTATAAAAGTTAATTAGAAGTTGAAAGCTTAAAATTAATAAGCTAGTTGATTAAAATAATAATGTTTGATAAAATTAACAGACGATAAGCTGTAACATAAAATTAAATTATATTACTTGATCTATAACTTGAAATTTTATAATAAATTATATTTTTAAATAATCATCGTTCTTATATTCAGTTTTTAAAAATAATTTATTATCTTAAAAATATGAAATATTATTTCACTAAATTATATTTTTTATCGTTATAAATATTAGTTATTTTATGATAAATTTTTATAAAAAAAATTTGTTAGGATTTAGTTAATAAAAAATTAAGAAATTATAATTTAATTATTATATAGTTAACTCTCTTTCGTTAAATATTAAGCTGACTTGAGATATAACATACAAACTTGGAAGATGGAGTTGGAGGGAGGATAATAGAAAATGGGGTATATGAGAGTGTGGGGTTGATAGGGAGAAGTGGGAGAAAGTGTAAGGTTGGGGGTGCAAGATGGGGTTGAAAGAGAGAGTAGAGAATAGAATGGACAAAAGTGTAAGGTTGAAGGCGGGAGTGCGAAGTAGGGTTGGGAGGAAAAAGTGAAGAATAAGGTGAAAGAATGTGTGAAGGTAAAGGTGCATGGTAGGGTGAGGAAAGGGGATAACGTGGTAGAGTTAGAGTAGGGGTGTGAGATTGTAGGGAAGAGGAGGGAGAGGGAGTGAAAGGAATTATAAGAAAGAAATAAGTAGAGAATTTTTTTTATAAACATTAAAAATATGTTGAATAATTTATTTATAAATATTAATTTTAAATAATATAATTAAATGATGTAATATATTATGTGAGAGTGTTGATTCAACTTTTTATGAAATAATTTAATATTTAACAAAATAAAGTTAACGGTAAAAATTAAATTTTAAATTTTAAATTTTTTAAAAATTAAATCTTAAAAAAAATTTATAAAAATTTATCATAAAATACTTAATATTTATTTGGATAAAAAATATAATTAAGTTTAATTATTTTTATTAAAAAATTTATATTATAAAAAATGACATTTAATGATTTATTCAACTAATTGAGAATTTAATGATCTGATGACTGATGACGATGATAATAAATGTATTAAATTAAATTTTTATTATGTCAAACAACATGAGTTTATTATCCATTAAAACTAAAAGCTTAAAATATGAATTTTGAAAATTCTTAAAGATAAAAATTTAAATTAATAAATTTTTGTGTTCAGCATTACAATTTAAAAAATGAAATATTCATAGTTATTTTATTTCATGATTTATCACGTGAATATTGTAACAATAAAATTAATTAAAAAATATTTTTTTTAATAAATCATATTTTAAAAGTAAATTTGATTTAATATGTCTTTTTATTTGTCTTTAAAAATAAAGTTGATAAAAAAATTAAATTCAACAGAGGTAAATATTAATACTATAATTAGACACAAGAATATTAAATGAAGATAAATTTAGTATATTATAATAACTTTTAAAATATTAAAAAATTAAGTAATTTTAATTTGTTTATTAATTTATATAATTTGGTTCAACGCCGTTTGCAAGAAAGACACAGTATATAGTAGAAAATTTGAAGAGACAAATTCCATTCCTAATTATCTTACATATAACCTATTATCTATCTCTCATGAGACTTGAGTTATTCAGCAGAGTATATATTTTAGTTTACCATTTTTTAGTTATCTGATTTTCGTCTTTGTCCTCTTTACATTGATCTTACGTCCCTTAAGCATTTGAAAACGCAGGAAAGAGAAGAAGTAACCTGACATAAAGAGGTGAAGGAGGTTAGGTTTGATAGAATTGATCGGAAAGATAATAGATCTGATAGTTTGTGCGGTTTATGAAGGGTGAGCAATGGTGAAAGGCGTAGTTGGAGAAGAAACGCGACTCAACTCCATTGAGGATCGACTCAGCCAAGCCGCGCTTCCAGCTGAGGCACTCGCTTACTCATTTACTGATCAAAAACTCTCTCTCTCTCTCTCTCACACACACACACACTAACATCACTTTCCCCCAATTGGATTGCAGGTGGGCCTTCTAATCGGCAAATTCAGTTCCTCTTCGGAGCGTGCCTTCATCTTCGACCTCATTCCCACTCCACCCAACGACTCGGCCCAACCTCCTTCTTCCATCACCCAGCCCGATACCAGAAAGGCCCCCAAATCCAAATCTCAGCCCATCGATTCCTCTTCTCTCTTCATCGACAAGGGTTGGGTCGCCGAACATGCTCGCCAAGTCTCTAGAATGCTCCTCGGCGGCGTCAAGGTCGTTGGCCTATACGTTTGGGTTAACGACACTGCGTTTAAGAATTCAACCATTATGCTTTGCCAGGTTCGTTATTATTTAACAATTAACATTGATAATTGCTCGCTTAATCGTACTTGTATTCGTGATTTATGAATGTCATTTCCCTTGCAGACCGTGAGGGAAGTTGCTGAAGCAGCGCCAGTTTCGAATGTTGACTGGGATGAAAGATTGCTTCTACACATTTGTTATAGTCCAAGGAGGTAACCCTAATACTTCTTTTTTTTCTTGCGATGTGATGTTGCTATTGCATTATTATTAATGTAATATATTATATATTTATTCTTATATTTCGAATGCTACTGTAGGTGGAATTGTCGAAGCTGCTCCCTGTCTTCAAATATTACAACTAGTAGTCTACGGCCTTGTGATTTTAAAATGGGAAAGGTTTTGAGTTCCCTTCAAACGTTTAAGTGCATGTACAACTTTAACCTGAGGTAACAAGAACAAAAATATTGTAATGTTCATCGATTGTGCACTGAATCTGTTGGTAATTTGAGTTCTTGGACATGGTGTTGTGTCTTGCAAGGTTACCCGTATTGCATGACAGTGTGTCCAAGTTCCAGACGTTGAGTGATATTCTTCGTCATGCTATATCTGTTCATGCCAAAGAGCTTACAGGGGCAAAGGCTTTGATTGATGGTAAATTGGTAACTACTTTACTCCCCTGCTAGTGAGTAGATTTCATTCTGCTAGATTGTTGATTGTGAAGTTGGATGGAAGCAGCTAGCCCGCTACTATTAAATTGCAAACAAGTGTTCATTGTTTTGTTTTGGCATATGATCTAGTGATTGCTTGTTCACTTTTTTTTCCAGTATGTTAAGCTTCGGTATCTAGAACCAATTACATTATTAAATGGCCCAGGTATTTGACTATTTGTAAATATTCCAACTAGCAAATGAATGCAATGCTTGAATTGATATGTTCATTAGCTAGTGCTGCATCAATGAAGTCAGTGCAAAGCTTGATGTCCAGACTCACTTAAATCATAAGCTGTTACAATAAGATTGCAATTTGTTGAAGGTTTTCTGGTTTTCTATGACCGAGACAGTAGTTAAATGGAAACAGATTATTGGAAGACTCGCAAAATGATAGAGTATGCCCTATATTTACAACCTTTTTTACTTGATAGAACAGGATATTTAGTTTCATACTGCCACAAGGTGTGGGGCACAACAAAATTCACCAAACACATCAAAGAACATAATCCTAATGTAATCAGCTTCTGGACAATCTTCAGTTAAATGCACTGTTTCTCTGAACTTGAAGAGCATTTCTTTTGAGCATTTCTGTCTTAATGAAGGACTTAGAAGGAGCTTCAAGTGTCCAAAGTGGTTTTTCAAACAGGAATTTCTCTTTATCAGATAAAAAATACCTTTTAGCCTATTGGTTAACAGATACTCCTGTGCTAGAAAAATGGATATGATCAATAAAACTTATTCAATAGGAATTTTATGGTGCTTACTGATTAGTTGCACAGTTCTATTGTGTTTGGTGGTTGTCTTGAGATGTACTTAAGTTCTTCATTATTTAAAAATGGTCACATTGCCTGATCCCTCTATGCCATTATTTTGTAAGAAATTTATTTCTTCTTTATAAATCTAGGTTGTTGAGAGTGAACCATGCTCATCAGAAGGTCTGCACGAAGTTGAATTGCTTCTCCCATTTCTGAATAATAGTTTTGTTGAAGGTATGTTTGCATACAATCTTATTTCGTACAAATATTCAGGTTACTGTTGCTATTATTATTTTTGCATTTGTTTAAAACTTCATTTTCTAACATTAACAGTTAATATTTTGTAAAGCATGCAGCCAAAGAGATGTTGTTGGTATTCTTTCATTTAGTGGATCGATATGTTCTTTTGCATATCTGAATTCAAAAGAGCCAATTTCACAAGCTGTCGCTGATATAAAGGTGAGCCAACAAGTATCCATTTTTATTATATTGATGATTTTATGATGAAAATTCTGTTCTTTGATTCATGGGCTGTCTTAAATTTGGCTTTTGTTTGGAAATATCTGCCTTGAAATATGGTTAGTTGATTGTATACCTTCTCTCATGGGTTTCTAGAATGAAATGATAAATTCACCAACTTTCCTCTCTTCCTTATTTTGTCCTATATTTCCTGGATCACAATTCTGTACATAGGGGGATATTATTGCAAGTCTGCAAAGTAGATTGGATATAATCTGTGATGAGGCAGATGGTGATTCAGGTAACAATCATGATGTTGGAAGCCAAGTAAGTGATGAGTCTGAAAAGCCCGTTCCCCAACTAGTGCTGCAATTGTTAAGGTATGTAACTTGTAACAATGGTATTTTTTTCATTGGCATACTTCAACTTTGCTTTCTGTAAAAGCATTACCAAGAGTTTATTCTTGTTCTTGATGCAATCCAATGGTTCCTTGCCTTCTAAGTTTTTATTATCAGATACTCTGAGGTGTGTTTCGTAATGACACAGATGCAGCGCATGCTTGCTTCATCTTGTGTGTTTTATAAGGTTACTGCATTTTATATACCTGGATTCTTATTCTCGTACAATGAGCCAAAGGGATTTGTCATCTATCCCTAGTACTCCAGGCTCCATACTAGCAGGGTCTGGGGAGGTAGGCCTTTTCCCTGCTAACAAAGAGGCTATTTCCCAAATTTGAACCATTGACCCAAGTTACAAGGAAGTAACCTTGTTGTTTTATTAATATAATGTTTCACATGATCATTGAGTCATTTTATTCTTAGCACCTCGTTACCATGCTGATAACATGGTTTATTATACTTTCTGGGAGATTTCAGCCTTTTATTTTTGTTTCAATTATATTCTTTGATGCATGAATCATAATAACACATGTTCATACATTTAGGAATATCTTACCTTCATTGCATTTTACAGGTAGATCTGATTAGCTATTTAGGCAGATTGTTATTTCATAATGTTTTCCTAGGGTTTTGTTCATTTTGTGAGCCTGGTGACTAGGTTCAGTTGATTTGATTGCTAATTTAGTAGTTTGTAATGTTTAAAATGAAAAGAGGGAGTGTAGACTGAAGAGTAGCAAGGTGGGATTTGAACCTGGAACCAAAGAATCTCCCAAGGGACATCCTTTTTACCCGGGATGCAATGCTTGTTGATATTCTGAAACTTCATCAGGGTGCAATTGTTTATGGAATGGATTGTTGATTAGCATCTCGTGTAAAGTGATTGTAGAAGGTTACATAGAGAGTAAATCTAGATAGCTGAAGCTAACATTCTACAGCTATGCAGGGATAAACATCTTTTAAAATTTGATTGGGCCTAACTCAACTTTAAGAGCTAGCTCAAGGGTGGCAGATTGTCTAACTGTCATAAGGAGTATTTTAGTCATACTCCTACCAAATGTGGTCATCTTAACATCTAAAAGTGATAAATTGATAATCATGTCAATTCATATATGATAATGGATAATTCAGGCATTTTATTATTTTGGCTTCCCATGCTCTGGTTTGTTTCATTTGATTAAATGTATCATTCTCTTTTGACAGAAAAGGATGTAGTCTTCCATTTCCTAGAAGAGTCTTTACTCCGTGGTTAGCAGGGGTGTATGTGTGTGATTACTTGCAGCCTTCTGAAACTGTTGAGGTTTGTTCCAAATCAACCTGGTATTACCTGTTGCATTGCGAATAAAGTATAAATGAATTTAAATGTGCTTGAATTGAGCGGCATGAATTACGCAGTTTTCATTTTCAAATGTCAACATAATTGCAAGAGGCTGCCCAGCCGGTAAAAACCAAAGTAATATTATAATGTTGGAAACTCCTGTAAACCAAAACCAGTAAGAGACATAGAACGTAGAACAGCGCACTTAAGGATATCATTGTTTACTGTTTCCAGTTTGCCTACATCAGCCGATGTTTTCATAATCTAGAGCTGCTTTATTGCTGTAGCTTCTACAAGCTTATCACTGTTACAATGAACCTGTACTTTTTTTCCTTAGTATTTTGGCTTAATTGCACTTTCGGCTCCTATACTTTATTGTATATGCAATTTGGTCTCCCTAGTTTTAATTACTCACATTTAGTCCATCTAATTTTTCAAATGTTCAAATTAAGTCTTTCACTTCAAAATTTTATCTAATAATTAATAAAAATATAATGAAGGGATGACATTTTATTGATTTATACAAATAAGTAAAGAAAAAATGTACAAAATATTTAAATAAAAATACAAAATAAAATGTATAAAATATAATAAAAGTCTTAATTTTGGGGTGGACTTAATTTTAACATTGGAAAAACTAAGGAGAACATTGGAAAAACTAAGGGGACTAGAATGTGAGCAATTAAAACTAGGGAGATCAAAATTATACATATGTTAAAGTATAGAGACAAAATGTAATTAAGCCCATTTTTTAAGAAAAATTATAATTCCTCTGATTTTTAATTTTCGTTTTTAGGTTTTAAAAGATCATTGTATGGAGTTATTATCCATGAAAGCTCCAACTGATGTCTCTACAATTCTGGAGCCTGAAAAAGAACTGCTATCTTTCAAAACTAAATCTTTCTGGGATGTGGCGGTGCCCTCATATTCAGAAATTCACCTCGTGGAAGATAAGAGCAAACTTAATGGCGAAGGTAAGAGTTCAAGTAGTAAAGCTGTGAAGCCGGCTCACATTAATGTTGTAGCTGCTGGTCTCATCCTTCTATTATCTGTGTTAGTTGGTTTTGTGTTATTCTTCCTGAAAGGTTAAGGGTGATATTAAAAATTTTCTCTCAATGGAATACACATTCTTATAGTTTACAAAGCTGCATGCGTAGTTGGCAACTATTTTACTTTGAAATGATACAACGGCAGATATGGAAACAATATTGAGCAAGGTCCAATGCCTTATAGCTTTTTGATCATCTTCACCTGGAATCAACCCAAAATATATTGGTTTTTGTGGATTTAAGAAAATTAACTTCAATTTATTTTACTGCGATAATAGTACATTTTGGACTTAAATGTTAAATAATTTAGGACTTAGATTATTGAATATTTTCTATCATATGAAGTATAACAATTATGTTAGTATATTCACTATGCCAAAAATGTTTAAGTTATAACACTTCGGCACATGTTTTTATAGCATTTTGCAATGATATCTTTTTTTCTGGTGTAATAGTATGTGAAAGAAAAAATATTACAGCGCTTAAAATGAGTTTTAGATAAAAATTTATTATAGCATTTAACCGTGGAAGCGCTTTAATATGTTATATTGTATTATTTTTATAAAATTTATTTGTATAAACACTTTAGTATTACTGCAATTTAATCTCTTTAAGCATAGTAGTTCTTATTCATTGAAGGGTTGAACTTTTAAGATTTTGATCATCCAAGGAAAGTTAGGTTTAAAATCACCGATTTGACCATTGCTAATTAGTTCATTAACCTGCACAAAACTCCTGTCACACATGGTCTAGGGCTTGAAAATTTTGGTGACCTTTTAGAATAGGGCCAGTAGGTCATTAGGTTTAACTCAAGTTAATGCAATTCCGGTTCACCATAAAAAGGCTAATTTTTAACCTCTTTAACAAAAATATTAGAATGTAACTTTAAATAAAGATAAATTTAAAATGGGAAGGGTCACAAAACATACTCTAACACATTTTTAATTATTGACTAAAATTTATTAAAAATGAGTAAAACTCAAAAAATTAAGTCACAATTTTAATTAAAATTTTAGACAATATTAATGCATTTAAAAATGAGAATGTGTTAAAAAATGAATTTAACTTTAAAAAAGAACAAATTTAAAATGCAATTAATTGTTTAAAAGCGAATTTATGAACCAATTATTATTATTATTATTTTAATCCATGTGATCTAGTTAAAATAATCTTACAATTAGAATTGAAGGAAATAATATATAAAGTTATTAGAGGTATTGTCATTTGATATTTACCTGATCTGAACTCGGTTATATCCACTCATTCTCAAACTTAGACCAATTAAAGAAATAATGAGTCAAAATTTGTAATTGTTGAACTGCACACGAAAAGACGACTGACTCGATACTCGATCATTTGCCTTAATTACAAGGCCATGGAGAAGAAAAAAAACTCAATTATTTTTGTTGGTTCACATATATTCAGGATAATAGTTTATTTAGGCCAGTTAAAAATCGAAAAATTCAAAATGCACAGTTTACTTCTAAATCAATATCTTCAATCCAGTTTTACCAAGGAAAGTTAAAATATGTCAAAGGAGCGTTAACCGTGAATAAAAAAGATCGCAATGTCTTTTGTCCATACATGAAATTGAGCCATTTAAGGAATGCTAAAATGTAGTATTCGTTGTCGGCATCCATCTTTTTATCATAAAAAGTTGATACCGTGTTGCGTTTAGCATCGTGAAAAGCTATAAATGTGATTGAGAAATAACATAACCGAAGAAAATTCCATCATGTAACAGAGCAGGGAAACCATCATTTCGCCTCCCCATTCTCAGGATGTTTCCCGTCAACAGCATCACTGGGAAGGTCAAGGCCATATGGAATTTTGCCAGGATAGTTGGTAGAGGACTCATCTGAACCTATCATACTGCAAAAATGAAATTCAAAGGTGAATTTTCTGCAGAAGCTTAAGAGTAAGTTGTTCTTCAAATAAAATGCTCACCGTCTATCAACGATAACCACTGAACGTAGCTCACAATTAGCAAAGCTGTATATACAAAGAAACAGAGAATTAACTGTGTAGTCGTGTGAAAGTTTGATTCAAGCAAGGTTTGCAAACACCTATTTGCTAAAAAGCTTTATTCTGTTAAAATTGGTTATGATATAATCAGAGATTGGCTTTTCATACAATTTTTCGTACAAACTATTTTTCACCTTCAATTTTAAGGGGAGTAACAAATAAAGGTTAAAACATTTACATTATGATGTTGTGCACATGTTGAGTAATCGTGAAATTCCCTTTTCTTCATCTTCTATGTAAACCTCTCAAAAGGGAAGTGGAGATTATTACCACATAAACTAAATGATACAGAGAATTAAATTAAACAAGCAAACACAGAAGAAAAAGATGTATTTGGAGATTAGCCAATATATCAAAAGTTGTCAGATGAGTACCCGAAATATAATAGAACAAGTCACGATCTTTTTTCCTTTTGATATTTAATTTCATTTTGATGCGGTGATATGCAAAAAAGTTTTACACTGCTATAGCCAATAATGAGTTACCATACTATTTTTTGAGTTTGACATCTTATCAATTGTGAAATACATTAATGATGTGAAACTTGTCGTTGGAAGATAATGTGATACTTCTTAGTCCTCATCAGACAAGTAAAAAAAACACTTTTTTATGCTCTCTGTCATATATCTCAAAACCTGCACATGTTATTCTTAAAAAAGAAAAGGCAATACTTCCATCCTATTTTTTGAGAGTGACATCTTATCAATTGTGAAATACATTAATGATGTGAAACTTCTTAGTCCTCATCAGACAAGTAAAAATAACACTTTTTTATGCTCTCTGTCATATATCTCAAAACCTGCACATGTTATTCTTAAAAAAGAAAGGCAATACTTCCAGAGGAATACTAACTGTGTACAGATTTCATTCTTCACTGTTGGATGGCAATCATTTCCAAAAGCACTTAGGGCATGAAACAGAAAACCGCTGTGGGTAACAACAGCTATCTCCTTTTCTTTACGTGTCCACAACCTGGACCGATAAGGAAATGTGAAAAGAAAATCTGTATTTTTTATTATAGGCACATAGTCATATCTTCCGCTAGATATATCATTTGCATACTAATTTCAGTAACATATTTTATAAGCACAATGTTATGAAGGAATCAGCCAAAAAAAAAGAGCAGATTGTGCAGTAAATCTCAATATAATACCTTCTTGAAATATGAAGCCACCAATATGTAATCATAATGGACTAATACAAATACGTGCTTCAGATGCCATACAGTAAGAAGTAAAAAAAAGCTAAAAATTGGGCAATGACATGCATCATCTGAATGTCGGGATATTATCATACTAAAGTGTAAAACAGCCACTACCCAATCCAACCAATTATAAAATTTTCAGCTTAAGCCCTAAAGCCTACGAATATGAACATCTAAATTCATTACAATCAAGCAGCCTCTTAGGCTCTCCCTACTTCAATAAGATTCTTGTTGAATACGCATATAAAGTCACGGTCCAGAAACATAAATTGAATAATCACACTCACCATTCCAAAAATTTCAGTCCCCTGGCAGCAACTTCTTCATTCTTCTCTCTATTGTCAGGTTTCCACAAAATGTCCTCATCATTTTCTATCTAAACACAATTTACACCATGCATGAATCCCATCTAACCAAACTTCGATTATATTCTAGCAAGTAGCAACTAATGCATCAAAACAAACTTAATAGCTCTATTCCATATTAAGAGCAAATAAAAAAAGACCACTTACCAGTGAAAAATCAATTGCTGGAAACATATGCTGGTACTCTGTGATGCTGCTTCTCTTATCACAAGGATGAACTCCCTAAGTCATAAAAAGAGGAAGCATTACACAAAACTTGAAATTAAATGCCAAATGACGTATAAAATAGCAGGAGAGGAAGTAATAAAATACTATATGCTCAATTTTGAAACTTTTTCTCCTCATCATAAGCTTATCTAATCTAGTCACTAGCTAGTGGCTAAAACACATGCCACGTAAATGCTGAAAACCAGTAACCTCCACCAATTGTTCAATGTGAAAAAAAAAATTGAATATCTGTATGGGCAGAATATAAAGGAATACGAAGGAGCCAACTGCCCAACACACACCCCATGCCCTCACTCCTCATCATATAATGAATCAACAAACTTCAGATTATTTAACATGATATGGGAAACTCAGTTAAAGATAAACAAAACGAAGTGATTGAATCATGGAACAAAAATAAAAGAAACAAGTTGAGATGGCAAGTATGAGCATACAAAAGAGCAGCTCCTTGGGCAGCCGATAATGGTTTGTATTTGATTCAACAAACAAACTGAAAATGGCCAACATGACCTGACATCAGTTTCCTAATAAGCAGGGAAGCAAGATCCAAAATGGCAAGGTAGAGACTGACAACATGTAGTTTCAGTAATTTATAAGGTATATTTCCTAATTGCCGATGCTGCAACCTCTTGAAGTTTGGGAAGAAATAAGTCATGACATGCCAAAGCTAAATATTTTTATCATGACATACCAAATGTTCTCGGCAAAGCTCTACTGCTATAAATGGTGGGGAATTCAGACTAGATATTGCACCACGACCACTATCTCCCACATTGTCATACATCAGAGGAAGTACATCAATCCCATCGGTGTATTCTTCACCACCAAACACTCCAACTGCTGTTTGCATGGTCCTGCAATGGAAAGCATCTGTTCTGTTCAAATACCAGTTTAATATAACCCCACAAAACTACATTTAATAATTTCTATTGTATATATATACGTTGTTTGTAATTCAAAATGTGTGAAACATTCTCTGAATATATTTGTGCTCTGTAGGGTTTTGATCAAGAGAATAAAAATATGTTTTGGAGGAAACATGACCGTTACGCCATCCTTGGACATTCAGTGTTTCAAAAAATCAAATCCGATTTCTGTTGTTCTATATTTAGTTATTCGAGTCTTATTCTGTTAACTTATCATCGTATCTTCCAGTTACCAGATTTAGTCCAACTTGTAAAAGAATTCTCATACACCAGCACGGTCATAACATGTCTTCTTTCAACTTATATCACCTGTAAGTATCTCTATCAACCCATCTGGTGTAGTTCAATAAATCTTTAAGGCCTTGCTCAGAAACAATTTAATGGGAAACAGTAAAAGGAGTAACAAATCTTGACAAAATGAGACTAGTAGAAGACTTAAGGGTGTGTTTGGTATCCGGAATCTTTTAACTTTCTTGGAATATTACTTAAAAAGTTTCCTTACCCATGTTTCATATAAGATATAAAAAAATATTCTTAGGAATTTGAGATTCTCGAAAAACTTGAATTTTGAAGAAATTGAAATTTTTATTTTCCCACCTCAATAGGTGGATATCCTCAACTTTCGTAAGAATCTGAAATTTTTGAACAAAAATGTCCCTTTTTACTCTACTTCACTTTATCAATTCCAAATCATTTTTGTACTTTCTCTTCTCTCTACTTCATTGGTCTCTCTCACGCTCTCTCTTCCATAGCAGCTCTACTTCTACTCTTCAGTTGTTTTTTTTTTTTGTTAGTTTAACTGTTGTCATTATTTGCAGAACTTTATATGGCTTATATTTAAGTTAAGAGTATTTTTGTAAAAGTAATAACATTCTCAAATAAGTTATTTTAATACTAAACATGAGAATGAGAGAAAATAAAAAAATTCCTAATAAATTTACTTAGTAAATAAACATGAGTAACAAGTTACTCAGAAAACACATTTCCAGGAATCTCACTTAAGAAAATTCCAAATACCAAACACCCTATAAAGGAGTATTCTAATTTATAATGAAATTATACCTTAACAAGGGGGAAGTAATAACTAGTTCAATTCTTTTGGAAAGACCACTTGCCTTAACATGTGCTCTCAGATTATCAACCTGTCATAGAGCCGCAAGTACTTCACCATGACATATAAAGAACAAAATATTAACTAAGAAAAATTGAAAAAATCACGTCAGAAAAGCTAGCCATTATAGTTGAAGAGCTAAAGGTCGTATAAAGCCTACACAAGAATCCCATACTACCTGACAATTGGACATGACACAGCCATTTTGACAAGCAATTACCTGCTTCCAGCCAAGAGGGGTCAGGTTTGCATCAAAAAGATCATAGGACAAGTACGCTTCAGGGTTTTTCTCTCCTTCTACATTGTGAAATCCTTGGGCATGTCTAACCTACAAGACGTTAATACTGTTGAACATTAGCAAATAATCTTCTCAAGAACCTACAAATACGCCAACATACAAGCAAGGAACCCCAATATTTTCCTAATGATCCTTTTCACCCTTAAAATATAGTTAATGGAATTTAATCCACATTAACTAAATTTCAAGCACTTCCTAATCTTCTTGAACATCACAGCATATTTTAAAATATCACAGGTGAGTTAAGCTTTGGGATTTTATTTCACACATACCGAAAATAAAGTTATCATCATATAACCCACATATTTTATTCTATAATTTATGATATCATCGTAAGGAGAAAAGGAACAATCTGCTTAAGAGAAAAAGTTTCCACAAACCAGGTGAAGAGTTTTACACCGGTGCAAAGGGTAAAGACTTTGAGTTGCAGCAGTATCCATATCTGCGATGATAAGAAAATAAAGCCAACAAGAATATGTGACTGATGAAACTATCGGTAAGCCAGCGATATTTTTTGGTTCTTTGGAAACCAAGAAAAACCAACTACGGATATAAATAAATCTTGTCTCCTTGAACAACACAAGAATAGCTCCATAAACAGATTGCTCATAAGTATTAGTACCTAAAAAGATTACATGAATCACACAAGATTACGCTACGCCTACGCTCCAAGCCTCATGGAACATACCATAATCACGTCCAAAATTCGATATATGAAATAAAAGAACAAGAAGAAAACAAGATTTGAATGCGCGTCAATCGCTAATAAAGAAGATAGAAACGAAAAATTCCTTAGAAAATGTAATGTAGATTGAATGCTTAGAAATTCTAAAGCGATTAATTAGCATAAAAAACGTGAAGAAGAAAAAAAGAATGGGAGAGAGGAGAGTACCTGAGCGAGAAGAGAAGCAAAGAAAATGAGAACGTTGGCGATGTTCTGAAATGGGAGTGGGGACAAAAGCGGAATTCAACAAAATAGGGTCATGCGAAATGAGCATGGCGCTGCCGTAACAGAATTAAATAATGGCCGTTGTTGGAGTTGGAACTCGCGACCGTATAGAATGTAATACACTTATCCCTCTCCCATCCCATGCCACACACTCATCACACATATTTTACGCAGCAAATGATTGGACCAATCCATGTCGTTGTTGTTTAGTCGGTGTAGTAAGAACTAAGAAGGTTAGAAAAGTCATGTAAAAAAGGGATTCAGTCATGAATACCTCCTTAAGCTACCTGTTTCAAATTTTAACGGGTCAAAAACGTACCTCCGTTTCTTGGGAAACTTCGAAAGTTTATTCGTCTTTTACGCAATTTGCTTTATTATTATTATACCTATCGTGTTTCGGAATAATACCCAACGTGCTAAGAAAAGCAGTAAATATTCTCTATAAATGAACGCATGTTATCACAACTTGCAACTGAAAATTAGATATATTTATTGAGATGAAGTATGAATCCCAATGTCTCTGTCTCACCTTGAATAAAATGTAAAAATTAATGAAGATTCATAATTTAGCAGCTTAATTTTTGTCATTGTATGTAATATTTAGATCTGTTTATTTACTTTGCTTACGATTCATTAATAAAGATCTTTTCAGACTTTTTAACCCACTTTGTATGCTCTTAACAAGTTTTTTTTTATTTTTGTTAGAAGAAAGTGACAATTTTTTAACCTAGACGAACTGGAAGGCCTGAAAATTAGATCCATTCCCTTTTTTTTTTTTCTGTACAAAGATCCATGCCAAAGTTCTTTCTCATTTTTTGTTAATGGACTGGACTACACATTTTACATCATCACAATGGACTGGATTTGCCTCATTGTTGGCCCAGAAAATGGCTACTTGGTAATGGATCAGTGATTCACGTGAATCATAGATTAATAGTGGAAAGTTTTTTAAAAAATTGCAAAATATTGAAAAATAAAAGCGAAATTGAAAATTCAGTTTCGGTAATTACATTTTCTACAAGGTTATAAAAATTATCAATATGTTAATAGTTATCTTACTTAAATTATTATATTAACTTTTTTTAGTAATTTGTTATTGAGAACGTGAATTAAATATAATTTTTCATTTTAAGTTTGAGTTTAGTTTTGTTGTATTGAATATTTAAAGAGGAAATTTATTATCTATACTAATCTTAACTAGACTAAAAATTATTTGTCCGTATATATTTTTAAAAAATTATTAATTTTATTTTGTGAGATAACAACTATATTAATAAAAATTATCTTGACATTTGACAAATTTTTGTTGATAATAATATATATTAGTATTTGTATAATTAACCTTTTCTTCTTCATTTTATCTGAAAGAAAGATTTGTGTTTTTTTTTTTCTGCTGCACAGTATTGGAATTTAAAACGTTATCATTTTATATTTTATTTGTTTATTTATGTTATAATACGAAATGGATATACAGAACGTCAATACTACATGGTGATTAAGATTATACTTTTTAACCTCGTTTGTTTACAAATAGCTAGGGTTAACAATATATACTCAGGCTTCCAGAATTTCACATGCAAAAACACTTACTAACAGCTAGAACATATTCGTGCGACACGACTAATCATTCTTAATATGTACAATAATCTACTTAATTAATTAAACATGAATTATGTGTGACAAAATCTCACTCGTCTTTGATGATAGATAACAGGCCAACAACTAATCTTTACTCTCCACAAACAGTAGCCAAAATACTTTAATAATATATCCTCAAAAGCAAATCAGAACAAGAACAATATATTGGTTTATAAGTTATTCTCTTATAATTTAGCTTTGATTTTGGTTTTGTCTTTAGTGTTCCTAAATTTGAAAATGCAGAAACTGGACAATAATATAATGAATATTTGTTTCCCTAGCAAAAATGAGTTGTACAGTGCGCATCTATCTTTTAGAAATAATGTCTTTCATCACTAAGCTATACGTTTCTGGTCAATGAAGTTTTATCAAATGTAAGTGAGTAATTCTAAATATATTTTATTAATAAATACATATATCCTTTCATTTAATACTTAATTTATGTTAAAGTAAAAAAAAAACATTAGAAAGATAAATAGAAAGATGTAGCAAGTTCAATGTAATTCGATAACATGACTAAAAGTTGACAATGTTGAAGTTAACTCGGACAGCTAATAACTATTGTGTCTTATACACAACTGTAATTGGAAAAATAAAGAGCTAGCTGAACTTACCAACAAATTTTTTATACCATAATTTAATAACTTACATATAATTAATCACAAGTTTACGGCTACAAATTTAGTCCACGAAACACGCAAGTTGGATTACATAATTTATGACATGTTCTTATTTCATTTCTAACCTAGAGAATTGGATCCTTGATCTATATAATCTTGATTGATTTTTCAGGAGTTTGTCTTTTCTCCAAGCTCCCCCACACAAATTTGACTTCGAAGTATTAGTTTGATCAATATATATGCTAGCTCAAACCAAGATGATTTCCTATTATCGAAAAAGACAAAATTAATGAATTGCCGGATATGTATCACCCAAATTAAGTGGGAAGGTTTTAAATTAAAATATTTTCGTATTCAAAAAACGAGTTTTTCCAAATTGGGTTATTGTACAGTTGTAATTCCCTCTAACGGAGGATATGTGAGGTAATTATTTCTTTCTATATTCAAATTAGCTTAATGCCAAATCCATTGCTAGTGCTGCATTTCTACTATATATATTTCTATTTACAAAATTATAGAAACCTATTCAATTTTGCTTGAAGTGGGCATGTTGCATGGAAAAAACCTAAATAATCTCTAGATTTAAAAAAAAATGTGTATGGAGAAGGATTCTTTGCATTAGTTTGTGCCTGTATACCAATTTTAGCTTAATGAATAAATATCTATTATCTTCATTAAGGTAGTGGTGTATAACATATCATCATCATCATTAAATATGTCAATTAATATAAATATACCCCTCAAGTGTCTTGAAAAATCAATCGCTTTCTCTATCTCATAAAAGACAAAAGGTTAGATTACAATGTAGTGTGACCACCCAACACATAGCCGCTCAATTTGCATGGAGCTGAACCCATGATGATCACAACTCACAAGCACTGGGTTTTTGATGAATTTAAGTGATGAAAACTAGTTGGTAGGGCAATATGAGAGAAGACCATATATGATCGGTCTTTATGAGAATCTCACAAAAGATATTAGCTAGATTACAATAATATGTATTTGGTAGTAAACTACGATTATGTACTCCTCATCCATCAAATAATTATAATGCTTGAGTTCCAATATTGGTGGATTACTTGGTGACGTTTTCTCTCGAACTGTCTACACATGTTTGACGTCTAACACACACTATAGAATACTGATATAGCTAATTAATTTGGTATATAATCACCAAGTTGACGTAACAAAATTCTTTAGGTATTCCTCATCTTTAATTTCCAACCATCCAAATAGAAAGCAAAAAATTAAAAAATTAAAAATGTTCTTAATTTTACTCAACAAACAATTAATGCTTGATGTAAAAACGTGAATATTAAATGAGATTATCCGAATCTTTTTCTTTTTTTTTAAACCTTACTCTTAGTATAGTGATATAAACTTATAAATGGTATCATGCAAAGGGAGGTTGCTTATTTTTTCATCCTAAACTGGAAAAGAGAAGGCCTTCTAAAGAACTGAATGGATAAGTCAGCAAAAACACCACTTTCCACCTAACTTTTTGTTTTCAATAAATATATAGTTATTATAATTGTTTCGTTAAATTTGTAATTTGTTAGTAATTTTTTTTAATCTTTTTCCCAGACACTAATCCCAAACAATTGAGGGGAAAACACAGCAAATTGATGATTGTTTAGTTAATCATTAATCAGTTGAGAAATTAGTTAGGCGATTACTTAACTCTCTACTTGTATATAAATACTTTGTAGCTACTAATTCACATTTATTACTCTTACCATTTCAACGAATTCCATTTTAAAATACTAGGATCGATGGATTTCTACCTAAGTACATACACTTCTTTTACCTCCATCCTCCAATGCTACGGCCAATGACTCCTTACCGGACATTGAACTCTAATTTATTTTATCGTCAAAAACTGAGACAATAAAGTAGCAGTGATCAAGGTCGCACTTAACCACGTTGTGAATCAGTTGATACTTTTTGTAATGAGAGACATGAGTGGTGAATTAAATTTTCTCCAGAAGATAATAATATCAATATGACATAATGTATATTTAAAAAATAATATATTTATATAATATTTTTAAAATTCAGTGTATCATAATTTTATTAAGACTAAGCACGGGCACCTTTCATATTATTATGTGTTTAAACCGTAAAAATTTATGACTCTTGCATAACTCTGATCCCCTTAAATCAATCACAACTTATTTGATATTTTATTTTATACATAAAGAATAGTTTTTTTATCTTATTAATTTTATACAATAAACTCTTATATTATTAATGTTAAAATGTTATTTTTTTCTCAAGCATATTGGATAGACTTTTGTTTTAATTATTTTTCAAATTTCCTAAAAAAATGAGTTTGTTATCGTACAAATAATTTTATCCTAAGACACAACAAACTGTAAAAGTTGGGGGGGGGGTCAATGACCAATATCAAACAGTACCTAAAAATTATGGACTATTCAACCCCGTTTAAATTGGTATAAATATAAGTAGGTATATATAATAATTTATAAAGTTTATTTAATTTTAATAATTAATCAATTATTATAATCCCTTTTCTCAATCTAAAATAAATTTAGATAAACCAAATTCGACAATCATAATACATGCACACTACGGAAATGATGACTAAGCAAAGGAAAATTAAAGTAAAGAGTAAAGTTCATCATGCAAAGAGGAGATAGATCACAGGCACGACTTTTGATGAAATAATTAAGGGTGAATAACTGGTGGGGTTTGCTGCTGCTTCTCGTTTTCTTGCGCAGGAAATGACTCGTGATCGACCTAGAAACTACTTTTCCGAACACTTCTATATGTAAGATAAATTCTCACGTGTTTGTGGTTTCAGGAGTTAAAATAATATTTTTTATGTATAATATTTAATTTTACATTTGAAACAGTTAA